ATATATATATATATATATATATATCGAATTTGGCAGTATGATAAGTAATTTTCGCTTACAATACTTTTCAAAGCGCAACTCTTTAATCGCACAGTACTGTAGTATTTGTCAACAAAAAATTACTTTTCATTTTTCATTATTCACGGAACATTCTTTTTTTTGAAACAACTTTGGAACCATATTGGAATTGAAAAAGTTGATAAATAAGCAACTATTTAGCAAGATTTTTTTTAAATCAGCAAAATTTTGCATTCTTTAACAGATAAAAAGAAGACGATTACCAAACGAGATGATAGCGGGCGACACTCTTCAAATTCTGCCCAACTTACTTCACAGTTTACTTTTACTGGATATGTTCACTGGTATGGGAGAAAACATATGTTGTTTAAACCAAATGATTGCAGCAAAGCAGTAATCTCCAGAAAGACACAGTAATAACTACCGAGGCATTAGCCTACCAGTTGTTTTTCCCTTCCCTTTTGCTGAATAGATTTATGGCACTCAGAGCTCATGAGCTCATGTCCTCATCAACACTTATTAGACTAAGTTTTTCCTCGCAGGAGCTGACATATTTATCTCCATTAAACAGAAACTGCGATGGATGGCGTCAAGAGCGAAGAAGGCCCGTTAAATCATGGATTGCATTTAAGAGAGATTTTGGACACGAGGGCCGCCCAGCAATGAGCTTCGACGATGGAAAATAGAGTGGCTTCAGCTGTTTTCAGAACGCCACCGCATCTACCTCTTCTACTTATCCTTGTAACCGTGCCAGCCTGGCAAGTAATAGTGCGAACTCTTGGAAGATTCTTCATTCGTTATTTCTCGTTTACTGTCACTTCTTGCAGCATCGCTTTCTAAGCAAATAACTGTGAGGAAAGAAGTGTGGCGACAGTGGTTGCGATGAAAAGACGAATGAATTGTTGAAGATGGAAAAAAATGTTCGATCTGAGAAATTACCTCCTACTAATCTATCTATTCACATCTTTTCCGTTATACTTTTCCGTCAAAAATAATACAAAATTTCCAATTAAATTTCGATTAATTTGAACGCTTCAAAAATGAACCGATTCGCGAATATAAGATGTTGTCATAAATCGGTTAACACTTAATAAGTTTGGGAAATTTGGTTTTAACTTATCATCGTCCAAAGTTAGTAAGGTGTTTTAATAAAACTTCTAGATTTAGATATTTAGCTGCTAGGGAAAAAATTATATTTTATAGGTCTTGCAGCGAAAATCTAAAATTGCCTTGGACTTCATGGCCAATGAAGTTTCATTTTCTTTATTTTTTGTTGTCTATGAGTGGTAGGCTTTTTGAGGTTAATTCTTGGCAGTTCGTTTCCATTTTTCTTAATAATTTTTGGTGTTTTTCGAAAATATTTCCTACTGGAGTGTTATACAATTTGTTTATTATCATTTGCCACGGCTCGCGGGGTTTTGCGGGGTTGAATGTCCCCCGCAAACGGGCTTTTTTCCCATTCTCGTGTACAAATTTCAGTGACATTTGATTGATTATACTTTGATATTTGCATTAATTTTTCTTAATTAATTGTTTCCTTTAATCGCCTTTTAATATTGATATGCATTAATATGCAATATCGATATGCATTTCTTTTTCTAATTTTTATAAAATATTATAATTTTATTTTTGATCGGTTTGATGAATTTCTTTAAAATGATTTTCGTAAGCTTTTTTCATTATTGATCGTTCTTTAATATTTTTTATTAATATTAGCTGGTTTTTTGTTTTTTATTTGGCTTTATTTCTTAAATTGATTAAATTTTTGTGTTAAATTGATTTTCTATTCTTTTGTCCTTAAATAATTTTGTTAACTTTTTAATATTGACTTTAATTTTTTAATTTATTCAAGCTAATGTGCATTTAATTTTTTTGATTTTGCTTTTATTTGTTTGTTTGTTATTATTGTGTTTTTTATTTAATTTATCAGTTATTAATCAGTTTTATTTAATTATTTTAATCAGATAAATATAAAAGTTTAATCGTTGATAAATAATTGATTATTTAATTTTAACTTATATTTTTTTAGGTTTCTTTTATTGTTTATTATATATATTAGTGTAAAGTGGTTAGCGCTCATTTTACCTGATTTAACCCAGTCTACTATCTGGTAGTACCATGAGAAATTTTGTCGGTGGTCTAGTCGGACTTGGATGCAGATGCATGTGCTGCAGAACCATTTTTATTGACAAGTACCGTCAGGAGCAGGAGTCTTAACCTTGACGTTCTCAACAATAATTTGAGCAACAGCCACTGCTCTTAGCTATTCGGTCATCATTTATTCAAATATTTTCTCGTTATCGTTATCATTAGGTGAAGATTGGTAGTGTGAGAAAATAATGATTGCAGTTTCATAATTTCTGTGTCGTATAGCGAAGATATCATATTATTTTCACTGATTTAATTGATTTTTGTTGTTCACTTTCCTTTTTTAAAATATGAACTCAGTATTTTAATTTTACAAATTTCATTTAATTTTATATTCTATTATAAATTTCATGTTTTAATTTTCAACTTTCATTTGATTTTATATTCTTTCAAATTGTTAAAATTAAATTGATTGACATCGTTTTTTTTTATTAAATTTTATTCATCAGAAACATTTTTTTATACAAAAAAACCTTTTTTCAAGACTTATTTACTAAATTATAAGGTTCTTACAACTTGTACCATTGATGATATGGATTGCCCTACCGGCGGCTAGGATAAGACATCTCCAAGCCTACCGATCCGATACAATGTCAAAAAGATATTTGTGGAAATCAAAAATTTATACTATTATTATTTATACTATTATACTTTATGAGAAGAAATTTTTTGAAATTTTTTGTTTTCGTTTAATTTTTTTGCTGATTTTCTTAGGCTCTTTAATAATTTTGTTTATTGTTTAATAAACAATGATAAAAATATAAACAATGTTAATATAAATTTGTTCATCTTTTTTATCTATATTTAGTTTCAGACACAGTTTCATTAGTTTCAAATATATATAGGCAGAAAAAACAAAAGAATATAAAAAATAAGAAAAAAAAGAGGATAATTTGGAATCAATTCATTGTTCATGTCTTTTCTGAATTTCTTTCTTGTATGTCGAAATTTCATAATAGAAAAGGAAAATATGAAATTGAAAAAATTTCTTTAATATGCGAAAATTTTCAGTTGGGCCTGCTGTTTCGATAAGTGTGGAATTTTTGGTTGGAAATATTAATCTTGAATTTTGCACTTTTTCAAATGGGTATTTGGGATGATTCATTTTGGCTGCCTGAAAATGTCACTTGGAATGATCTGAAATCAACTTCAGCCGTCAGATATCCTGATGTTAATGATTTATATTATGTTATCAAGTAAGCATTTATTTCATGAAGCACTCATTATTGTTGGTTTGATTTGCTAATTTCTGTAGACTAATAAAATGAATTTATTTTATCAGAGATTATTGGAAATAAATAGCTTAGTAGCTTTTGGTTAGGCTGGCTGCACTGGTTATTGGCAGTTTTTATCTTGGCGTCATTTGGTGATATTTGGTGATACTACTACCATGCAAATTTTTTTCTTCTAGTAGACCTAATTCTTTTCTGTAGACACGATAATCGAATCCATTTGGCTATCCTGTCTCTAATAGTTGAACTGATAGTCTAATTTTTTCAAGGACTCTCTAAATGGTGCCATGAAAATACATGGACTGCCAGAGTTTAAAATTTTAAAGTATTTTTCATCTAAGTTTTGAATGAAATATCTTCTTTTTCTTCTAAAAGTTCTCACCATTGCTGGTTAGGCTGGCTACAAGATTAAGACATTTCCAAACCGCTCTGTCCAACACCATCCCTAGTAGTAATAGAAGCCATTTTTTTTCCATCGTCTAAATCTATAAATTGCTGATACCCCTATACATTCAAAATTTTTTCTGACTATATCAGTCCATGTCTTGATTGGCCTGCTTTTGATGCCCAGCCATAACAGGGTTCGGCAAATAGCAAAATATGCGTCACCTCATGTGGTGAACGATGGAAAACGTGCCCTAATCAGCAAACACTTTGTGATGACGCTTTATTAATGGAGGTAGTATTTGAGCGAAGATGGATGAAGATGGATAAAGCGAATTATGTGCGATTTTATCCATTCGACGGATACGTAAAATATATCTTAGACACGAGTAGTCAGAGGCTTCTTAAATATCTTCCATTGACCATGTTTCGCAGTCATATAACATAAATTTTCACTTAATTTTGGATTAATAATTCTTATCGAGTAGATTTGCATCTTTATGGTGACTTGGCGACGGTTCCATAAAGATTTCGTCAACCAGAAAAGTTTCCAGCTGTCATTATCTTGGTTATAATTTCATCCTTTGCTTGAATATTTTGGATTAGAGTGGATCTAAGGTATTTAAATTCGGGCGTTTCCTAATGAATCTTTTTTTTTAAAGAGTCCTCACCACCACTGGTTAAACTCGCGCTCCACTGACTTGTCGCACTGGGCAATATGTCATGAAGTCCCTTGGCGATAGAAATACAGGTGAGTTTCCAACATCATCCGGATTTTTATACAGGTTTACTCCTGCAAGTAATCGAACCTCAGCATCGGCGTTCGCAATAGAGCAACAACCCACGGAGCCATTCTATTCTTCCTTCCTCATGAATAAATCTAATGAAATGCATAAAATATTCATTAAAAATGATTTTTTACCGTTTTACTTCAAATACAATCCGAATTGGGCTCCCACTTGTCTAGAGTCGTGAGAACTCCGGAGCTACTGTAGTGGCTAATATGATAGCCACTAGACTGACGAATGCTCGGAGAATACTTGATGAAATAATTCAATTTTATCAGTTATGAATCAATAAATCAGTACTTCATTAACGAATAGTCTTTTTTTCATTAACATGCTATAAAAAGATGGTTCTCAAAAGTTTTTTAAAAGTTTTTATAAATTACTTTTTTTCCTTATCTTAAAGCATTGGCTTAGAATAAGTTGTTGCCCCTAAAATTTACTTGAGTTCTACTTTATTTCACCAATTTTACATATTTCTGTTAAATTAGGACTAATTTTGTAATTAAAATTAGGATATTATATTTATATAAAGCAACTGCAAATAATATAACATATGACATAAATTTTCACTTAATTTTGGATTAATAATTCTTATTTTACAGATACACTTTAATTTTATTATTTGTGCGAATACTCGTGGAATCTTTTATATTTTTACCGCTTGGAATATTTTTTGGTTGGGTAGATGTATCTTATGGTACAATTAATCGGATTTCTGCACATTTATGCTTCGGATTTGCTGGAAAAAGTAAATTTAAACGTGTAGCCGAAACAGCATGGCGTTTCCTTTTTTATTCTTGCATATGGCTCGCTGGTTAGTGGATAATTTATTCATTGAGAATAGAATTGAAATTAAAAATCAAGGGAATTTTCATATTTAGCAGATAAATTTTTTATATACCTATTTTTCACTTTTTCAGTATTTTCGTTTTTCTGATTTATTCTTTTTTCTCTTAATCTTTCTAGGCTTTTCGAGCACTTCTAAATATTTTTTATTTATAATTAAAGGTCTGTTTATACTATGGAATGAACCACAAATGCGCGATGTAGCAGAATGTTGGCGTAATTGGCCTCATCATCCGATAAGCGAATCTGTTTGGTGGTATTATATTATTGAAACATCTTTTTATTGTGCACTTTTGTTCAGGTATTATTTAAGTTGCTTGCATATTTTACATAATTTAACAAGCAAAAATAGAAATTTTTTCTGGACGGTTTAAAAATTTTTAATTATTTAAATGGACGATAAATAATGATAATAATGAAAATCAAGTCTAGCGTATATTGCTTTTATTGCTTTTTAGCTCTCTTGCTTTTGATATAAAACGCGATGACTTTTGGCAAATGACTCTTCATCATACAATAACCATTATATTACTCTTTATGAGTTTTACAATGAATATGGTTCGTGCTGGAACTTTGGTTCTTTTTTGTCACGATCTTGCTGATATATTCATGTTAATGTTTTATTCATTTTATTCCATACTTAAAATATTAGCATCATAGGAAACTCTTGTGCCGAGTGCAGATCATTTGGAGAACTGCAGTAATTGGTGCTGTTTGCGCAGTTTTTATTTTTAAGTTTTAAGTTTTAATTTCTTCAGCACAATTAGGTTGAATGGCCTCACCAAAAATTTTTTCTTTACTTCATTTCAATTCTAATCGGACATCTATATTTTGGCTTAAATTTTGATTTTTTTTGAAAATTATGCTTAAAAAATGCTTATGCTTGTGCTTAAGATTATGCTTAAATTATGCTTAAAATTATGCTTAATTATGCTTAAATTTTATTATTCTTGTAAAAATTATTTATGAATGTTCCTACGAAATATTAGAAGTTATACAAGAGAATTTTTAGTGAATTGGGTAAATTATTCCGGTATGCTGGATGGGAAACGGCTTTATTGATCGATTTTATTGTATTTTTTTTTTTATGGGTATTGACTAGATTAATATATTATCCGTTCTGGTTTATCCGATCCGTTTTATTTGACGCACCTGCACTGATACAAGTAAATTAAATTAATAAATTAATAGATAAATTGATACCTGTTATATTTTAAAATTTGTTTTAAATTCTCTTAGTATGTTCAATAAGAAAAGGTTTTATATTTTTTTCAGAGTGATTATCGCTGGCAAAATTTGTTGGAGAAACCCATTGTTCCTCGTATTTTGGCCACAATGCTGTTTTGTTTGCTTATTTTGCATATTTTTTGGACATATTTGATTGTAAAAGTTGCACTTACAACAATTCATGGTGGTGAACTTGATGATATACGAGAATCTGATGAAACCGGAAATAATGAAAAAAGTGCCAAGAAAAAATTGTAGATATTCCTACATGTTTGCAGAATAAATTAAACCCAGCCACCAGTATTGTGATTTCGCAGATTATTTAAATGTATATTTTTTTCTTATTATTACTATTAGGCATCCATCAGTGGTAATATTTAGGATAATTTTTTATATTTTCAAGGATCACTGTTTGTTTTATTTTTTTCCTATTTCGACTGCAGTGCTCTTTTTTCTTATTTTATTTTCTTTCATAAACGTGCCATTAGTTGTTAATTTTTTTTGTTACTGTTTTTGTTGTTTTGTTTTTTATGTTTCCATCGAATTTTAAACCATATCTCTCTCGTTTTTTTCTTTCGATTATTATTCTTTAATATTTAATTCAAGTTAATTTTGGAACAGTTGGCATTTGCACTAATATCTTGATATCAGTGTGGTATTTAAAAAAAAAAATTTCATGTCTTACTAGTTTAGTATTAAAAAATTAAAAATCTGCGATAAATTTCAATATTTTGTGATAAGATATTTTATTTTATGGGATAGAATTTTATTTTGATCAGTTTTTTTAAATTGTCAGATATTAGTTGAAACTTGAAAATTGAAAAGGAGTAAAAGGTTCCTATTTGGATTAATTAATGTTAATTAATAGATTAATATATTATTGCTTAATTAATTCTATGAATAGGATATCTGAAAGAAATTTCTGTGATCTATCTTATCTTTCGTTCCCTTCATGCTTTATTGTTTTGCGTTTAAAAGAAGCACTTATTTTTAAATTGCTCATACTTAAAGTAATTTGCGAGGTCTGTATTTGAGAATATCCCTTTGCAAATGAAGATTATTTAAAATTTGTTTTTTCCATTTATTTTCTATTGATAGGAATGAAAAATTTGATGTGGTTTATCCAGACTTATGGGGTTCAGTAGCTGATTTGTATTGCATTTTATAGTTTTCAAATTGGTTTTGAGGACATTTACTTCGTTGTGTTCAGGATTTACCGAATGTATTTGTTGATTTTTAATCTAGATAGATTTTTTAGTGTTGCATTACCTCAGTTTTCTGTTCGATTCGACGACAAAAAACTGCATCCCTATCGTTTTGGGAGTTACTTTTGTATTTGTTGTATTTTTTTTTGTTTTGTCTATTGTCATTTTAGAGTTATTGGTTTTATGTAATGAAAATTTTATTCGTTCATTGTTGAATATTCTTTATTTTTTCTTAATTTCTTTAAATATAACATTTTTTTATACCTGAAATTTTGTAATTGTTTAATAAATGGTAAATAAATGTTTTAAATGTTAAATATTTTTAAGGTAAATTATGGCTTTAAAATATTCTTGCTTTTCTTAAATTCTCTCAAGTTGGAATCAATTTATTAGATTTATTTATGTCGGCCAGTGTTTGTCACAAAAAAAAATATGAATGGGTGCGGACGTGATTTGTATATTTATAAATAATTAATATAATTAATAGTGACGTTTTTATATTAATAAAATTTTTTTTCTGAAGTTGTGGAGTTTAGAAGTAAGTCAAGAGAAAAGCTAAAGATTAAAGTGAAGTTCGATACTTTTCATGAGCATTCACTAATTTTTGTTGAGAAAACGAAAGAAAGTTCGAGGAGGCTCTTCCTTCATTAGTAGGTTGAATTAATGGGAGAAAATGGGAACGGAAAGAAGATTGGCGCAAAATATTTATGCTTTCTTGTGGTTACCAAGACTGATTTGAAAAAATTCTGGAAATGGTGGTTGCTGAAGTGAGGGTCGCAAGGAAATTTCAAGCAATATTTGTAATTGGGATAAATCTCCTTTTTTAACAATCATTTTCTTGTCATTAGAGACGAAATCGAGACGAAGCTAATTCTTTGCAAAGCTCGCCATGAAATTCGACGAAACGTGAAATGACGAGTGCTTAGACGAAGAATAAGGTTTTGTTATTTGTTTTCATGGTTTGGTTGCTATAGACGGCGTCTATGGAAATGGAAGACGCACATTCTCTAGGAATTTAAAAGGTTTTTGGCAAAATTTTATTTCCTTAATGGACCCATAGCTTTCAGTCGCACATTTATTTATTCATTGAGCCAACAAAGAATAAAGAATTGTAAAATTTAACTTATAAATAAATAAAGAGAAATTAAATAATGAATTCGAATTTGCCGAATTTTCGCAAATATTCTTATTCTTATTTCAATATTCTTTTTTTAAAGAAACATATCAGTTTAGAATTTAGTTTATTTTTATATCGATTATTGACGAAAATTTCCCCGAAGTGTTTTCGTTAACTCAAGTTAATTATTAAGTGAATGGTTAGCTTTTGTCATTTCAGACGATGCCAGAGATTTCATTATTAGGATTAGAGATTTTGCCAGGAATCACTTGGCCAGAGAAGTGCAAGTAGGCTGCAATCTGTGAAGGTTTTTTACTGACAGGCTTACTGCTGGGAGCGCTTGCCTGTCAACACGATAACCTGAACTACTTTCCACTCGGTTATCCTGCTTCCTTCATTAAGATTATTAACTTTTAGAATTTTAGGCTTTGCAATGTTCTTAAATGCAACAAAATGCTTTGTTCTGATAATCAGATGAATAACTTAATTAGGAAAACTTATTTGCATTCTTAAATTCTTTTTAAAATTCTAACATTTTCTTCATTATTTCCCAATTAACGTATGGGCAACATTTTTTCGGATTTCGCCATTTAAAATTAAAATGACATTAAAGATTTACCCATATTAAAGGACACAAACCGAACCTATTATGCTTGACTTTAGCAGAACCACTTGTATTAGGGAAATCAAAATTTTTTCCTTGCTTTTAAAAATTCCAAGAAGTTTAAGATTTGTTGATGAATTAGTGAGGAAAAATGTGCGTTTTTTCTCTTTATTTTTCTATATTTCTCTTTATTTGTAAAAATTTTGAATTTCCTAATAATTGAGAACAAAATTTTCTCATTAAAAATTAAACATTTTAGAAAGGTGCGAGGATTCAAATACCCATATTTATGTTAAAAAATTAATTCTTTGAATTCATAATTCCTAAAATTAAAGAAATATGAAAATAGTCGAAAACATAATTGCATTAATCATAATACCTGGATGCCTCACGCTAATTCTTTATATATGTCCTACAATAATCGTGGATCGCGAGTGGCGTTATGAGCATCTGGAGATTGAGGCGGATATGAAGGCTTCTCTAAATGTATATTATTTACATAGTATATATACATATATATATATAATGATTATACACTATTATTAACCAGATATCGTGGTGGAAGAACCAGGAATCAGCTGATGATAGATATAATAATATATCAATACTAAGTGAGAGGAATATGAGGAAGAAGGGAAATGAGGAACAAAAGAATTACCAGGAGAAGAAAAATAATATGCAGAAATGAAGAAGAAAGTCCCAGTGATGGTAGGAGTATTAGGGATAGTCATTTTTAAACTAGAAAAGTGAAGAAAATCAAGGAATAATCAGAGTTCTCTTCCCAAAAGATATTGCCAGGAACAATCAGTATTAGCTAAAAGAGGCCTCTGGCAGAGGATCAGAAGTTGAAGACGATCGATACCACCCACAGGTGGTGAGAAATAGATTTTTTTCAGGTGAAAAGTGGTTAGCTCTTATCATTTCCGGTTCGCTCCACTGGTTGTTAACAAAACAAATAGAGAAATTTCTGCCGAGGATTATTCATATATTTAATGATTTTTTTGAATTTTATGATTTGCGACACTTTAATTTTATCCACTTGAAACAGCAACAGCACGTGAAATAAAGGCATTATTAGATAAATAAAATATGAATAAAATATTAAATATTAGTATTAATAAAGATATGAGCAAAAATATATTAAAATATAATAATTTTTGATTCACTTGAAATATATGCGAGCGGGTCGCTCGCATCCATCATTCGTCTAAATATATTATTAAATGTATCATATTTATATTGCATAAATATAAATTTAAAAAATTTAGCTAATACTGATTGGAATTTAATCTTAAATTTTATGATAGAGAAAACAATCGAAGAACATAGCACTGCAGCTTAATTTTCTCTATTTCGATGCGATATTTTTGTCCATACGAGGGTTGCTGTGGTGCGTGGGGGAGATTGTAAGTGCACTGTTTCTCATTACGCTACTCATTACGGTAATTGATCAAATGGCTAAATGGTTGGTAATTGATTAAATTGCCATTTCCTTGGGCCAATTTCTCTTCGTATGAATAGAAATTTTTTCTATTTGGTAATTTCTGCTCTAGAAATACAAGTGGACCCACAGCTGGTCGGGTCTTTTAATCAGTTTTACTCCTGTTAGAGAACGGAACCACGGATGAATGCAGATCTACACAGCCATCATTGGACTCTGATGCGATTTCACTGGGACCTGTTGATATATTTTCTATATTTTATATTTTATGCAGTCTTTTATCCAAATTATTAAATATTTAAAATATTTGATTCTTTTAGATTAAATACTTAATTTTTTAAACTGCATTTTTTTATATTTATTTCTCTGGTAAATTGATTTTAGTTAGAAAAAATAAAACGCGACTACACGAATCGAGCGATTCGAGCGTTCAATCATACGAGTTATGCGAAGGAAGAAATCAGAGGTGTTTGACTTTCTCGCTTATCTTCCGAACGCCCTTGGACTCGCTCTTTGCATCAATTTGTTTCAGTTTTTCAATTTTTGTCCAATAATCTCACTTTTTAAAAATTTTTGCTATAATTGGAAAATTCCATCTCCATAAATTTTACTTTTACAGATTTCATCCATGAGTTCCTACTTGAAGCACAACCATTTTACGAAGAACATCTCGAAAATGATAAGTTTTTGGGCCTTGACGACCATATTCGATTGGATTTCAAGTATTCAAACACACTTATACTTTTCATATCATCTGGCCTTACTACCGGTGAGTGGAATCAGAAAGAAAGCAATCCTAGCACAATTATCGCGTTATCAGCGATGCCTCATATTCCCTCATGTTGAATACTTTAATTCGAATTCCAATTCTATTGAATAAAAACCAAAATTGCTTCGTTTCCATTTTAAGTAAAAAAAGAATCACTTTTCAGCTGATTTGATGTTTTTTCATTTTTCTAGAATTATAAACAGTTATATAAAATTGTTTTAAATTATTTCTCTTTCCTTGACTTATTTCAATTTAAAAAAAAAAATTTAAAGAAAAATTTAACTCTAAAGAAAATTCAAAAGATGAAGTTTGAAAATTAAAAGCTTTTGTTCTTCGTTTTCTAATAGTGTCACCAATTGGCTTTCTTGGTTGGCTCCATATCAGATATTTCTGCTAGAGGTTCTTCTACAGTCAGCTGTGCAAGCAGGTCCTTAGAACAATGCGAACTTCTGCAGCATAGCGCTCGACCATCTCGCCTTTTCCATTAGCAGGATGAGGAAATCCTAAAAACAATGAGCCTTTCTGACCCTTTTCTGAACCTTTCTTTCTCTGATCAATTCTCTTTATAGAAAGAAGTGAATTTCAGGTTATTCTCGTTTAAAAGTTATTACTTTTTACTCGAAATTTGTACTTCTAATTGGTTCCTTCATTTGTGCCATTTTATTGTCAATTACTACTGCTTCACTATGTCAACTCTATAATTCCTTACTTCGACGGGTTCGAATAAACCTTCATCATAACATTGATCCACGAAAATTTTTCCGAAAATTGTCTATTGACAATTTACAAATTTCCGTAAGAAATCAATCTGATTTTCTTCGATGGGTATAGAATAGTTCAGTGGTTTGTTCAATTCAAAGCGCCGATACTGAGGTTCTATTCACTGCAGGAGTAAATCCGTCCAAAAATCCTGGTGATGCTGGCGACTCATCTATACTTCAATCGCCAAGGGACTCCCTGGCATATTTGTCCAGTGCGACAAGCCAAGCCACCGAGCGAGTCTAACCAGTATTGGTGAGGGCTCTTCAAAAAAAATTTCCTTCCAAAATCAAAGAAAATTTAACCAATTTTTCTTTGAAGAATTTTTTAATCTAACAAATGAAACTGTTATAAGCTATTTATGAAAATCATGAGAATGGACGAGTCGGAGAAGAATCCGGAACGGGGATCATATAAATATATGTGGTTATTGGTGAAGCGAGACGCTTTCGTTTCGATTGCCTCAGTTGCATTAACGATTGCAGCCATTTTTGCAGGTTGAAATTTTCAGATCATCAATACTTTTGAATATCATATATTGTCTTTCAGTTCATATAAGATATAAAATAATTTATAATGAAACGTCTTTTATTTATAGTTTTCAATATTTGTACAATATATGATAAATATGAAACCAATATTACTAATAGATTTATGACGCAAAATATAATATTTTAGAAGTGCTTCCATATGAAAAGATCTTTAATAAATAAAAATAAGTAAGCGATGATAAATTAATAAGTAAACTTCAATAAAATATTAACTAAACGGTCAATAACTACTGGAATAAATTGCCTGGCGATTTTGCACCGTCTTTATGCACTTAGAAAAATAAAGCAAACGTAATTATCCATGGTATTATTTAGCTCAAACCTAAGCCTAAGCCTCATTCCACTGAGTCTTCGCTTTCAATCTCTATTCATTCAGAAGTAATAGAACTGCAAGCAAGGCCACGGACTTGCACCAAAAGCTTATTTTAGGTTTTCTTAAAAATATTGTTTTTCTGAGGCGAATTTTTCATGAATTTTCAGTCGCTTTCCGAAAAAGAGTAAGTGTTTCCGAAGTTTCTATAATATTGTGGCATAATGTGTGCTTCATTTAGCTGAGTGCAGTGAAAACCCATCGTAGTTGCGCAATGAACGTGAAGCACTGTTTGATGAATATTTGCGACGTTACAAGCTCTGAAAATTTATGCAATATGCAATAATATGCAATATAAAAAAATTATATCCGGAAGAAGTGGTTGTAAGGAAGCATCAAAATTTAAAAGTGTTGATTTCAATTTAGAGACACGCACAGACCTCGTAGACCTTTAAAGGCTGATGAAAAATTTTCCATTACCTGGTCGAAACTGATCCAAAACAAACAATGGATGAATTAACTAAAAAAAAGATTATGGCAGGCAAACAATATTGCGCCACCTTCAAGTCATATGGAAATCAAACAAGGCTAGTGCGCATGAATATGCTTCAACGATATGTGTCGATATGTGGCTCGCTTTTTCGATAAGAAAGGAACAGTTCTTGGCCAGAACTGTTATTGGCTATGAAACATAGAATATTCTACGACAGTCCCAGTTGTAAATGGTAAATGGTTATGCAATGATTATCAGTGAAAAAAAGTCAGCAGCAACCAACATAGCCAATAATCATAGTAGAAAAATGTGCAGTAAGGAATAAAGGGAATTCAGAAACAAATTTCATCGAAATTACCTGTAGTAAGTAAAAGAAAAAATGCAATATGACGAGGCCTCATGCTTCCAAAAATATGCGCCAAAAAATTAAAAAGCTTGACTGGGAAGTTCAACTTGGTTCACCTTATATCCCTAACCTTGCCCTGTCAGATTACCAATTGTTCAGTCCCTCAAATAGCTGAAAATGATTTCTAGATGCGAGACTGTAGAAAATATGGTGACTGCACAAATAACTACTACTGCGAAATATTTCCTTGATATTTTGACTTCAATTTTTCATAAAAATACCATATTACTGGACGATCTGAGTTGAAGCGCAGCAGAAAAAGTAAATGCAAAAGTAAATGCGTGATGCGCCAAAATTATAAAAGAATAGAGTTGAAAGAATTTAAGACAATTTTTTCGCAAAATTTCCTTAAAATTAGATGGGTCAGGGACGATGCGTGTCCCCAAGCAATTTATTCATTAATTAATAAAAAGTTGAATGCTTAAGTAATTCAGTTGCTTCTAAAATATCTTCTAATCTTAGAACTGTAAAAATTGTAATTCTTATAGTCTAAATGGAATTTCGTTACGATTTTTTCAAAAATACTATTAGCGAAATCCGTTTATCTATTTATTAATCTCTACAATTTTTTTCATGTTTTCCATTCTTTTTTAAAAGAAATGTAAGCACAAATATATAATTATATTTTTATTACTTTATAAATGAGATTGAAAATTGCCATTCTTTTTAGAAATTAATTTCTAATTACTTCATAAGATTTTCAGCCGTTGCATCAAAATTTTTGACTTCATGCATGAACTAAAACTACTGGAGTAATACGTTCAGCAATAGTAGTTGAATGCTAGGCCGTCCTAGGTGTATCCGTATCTTTTGTCCTCATTACATATTTCCACTGGGCTTAAACAAAACTCCCTCTTTTAAAGCCAATAGTTTAGAAATACAGTATTATTCTTGCCATTGATAGTAGAATGTGGCCATTGTCCTCCTATTGCTCTATTCATCTGAATATACCAATTAAGGAAAAAAAATGAATTACAGTGGTAAATACCAGATTGAATAGATTCAATAAGTTAAAAAATATAAGTTAAAAAATAAGTTAAAAAATAACTGTTAAACCGTTGAGTATGGCGCACCCTAAGGAATCATTTTAGGAGCGACTATAATGGCTTATGATCAACGATGCTGGAGCTGGACTGAAGCTCTCGTTTTTTCCGTTTCAGCGGCATTAACAACGGGACATACGACGGTTATACCCAATCCACTTCAAGGAAATGAAGTAAATGAAGTAAATTCAAATCCGCTCAAAGTTGACCTGCGGTTTTCCGTTTTAGCACAAATGTTAAGTAAATTGTCCAAAGAATAATGTATTAGGATGGAATTAAATTTCACCTCTGATTTAGGTTCATGTTTCCCGTTAGAAGTAATTCTGTTAAATAGTTTTATTTAATTAATTGGATATAATTCGTAGAATACATTACCATATGCGATGTTCTTCCTTATTCTACACGTTTGGATGATTTCTTTTGTGGCACTTCTTCTCAATTCAACAATATCACTAGTTCAATGTATTCATAATTCGCAGTGGGCAGAAATAAGCGATGAAGAATTCGTTGAACTAGAAGAAAAACTGGAAAGTAGGAAACGACTTCGACATTTCGACAATCCGAAATATGAAGAATGATCTCCGAGGACTTTTCCTTAGCACAAAATCCGAGCAATGTTCGATTAAAGCAACGATTAAAATTCTTTCAGTGATTTTCCTTTTTTTTAATTCTTCCTTATTTTATATGAAATTTTGGCACAAAATCAAATTGATTCATAAATCTACTAGAAAAAATTTTTTGTAAAAGTAGGCAATGGGTAACAGATAACCCTCTTTTGAAAAGCATATAATAAATTTGTCTATAATTTTCTCTCTCTCTCCAATTTAAGAAACAAAGATGGGAAAGAAATTCTGAAAATTTTCATTAACCAACATTGTGAATGAATGGTCCGATATAGTACAACGTCTGGGAAATCACTTATAATAAAAAACTGCCAACTGCCAACTGCCAAACTGCAAAGATATAATATTTCTAATAACAACATTTCTTCACTGTGACACAAGAACTTTGTGATAATGTTAAAAATGAAAATGGCAAAAAATTTATAAGAGAAATTTATTTAGTAGCAGGGACGGATATCGCCTTGAGGAGAAGTTTCTGGAAGTCTTTTTGAAGAAGATTCAAAGATTATTCGTGGAGGAAGAGGATATTTTTATTCTAAAGAAAGCCAGTTAAAGCGCATATACAGCAACAAATAAAACAACAAAATGTTTATACTTATCATAGAAATGTTATATGAAAATCAGTGATAAATACTAAATATTTATACTTAATATTTAAATGGTAGATAACCTTGACAATAATATCAAACACAGGTGAGTTGCTAGCATCATCCGGAGTTTTGGATGGTTTTATTCCTGCGGGGAGTAGAATATATCGGAGTATCGGAGCTCCGAGTTGAACAACAACCCACTGAGTCATTCTATCCCCCACATATATACAAAAAACATATCGAAATGTTTTCATCGAAACAGCAAACGATAATAAAGAGATAATGAAAAAAAAACATTTAATATTAACAGAAATTGCACTATTAATTTATCATAAATGCTATTGTGGTAGATATTTTAATTTTAATATAATTACTGAATATATATCAATGGGATGATATATATTCAGTAATATGCAGCATGAATGTGAGCCTATGTCTTACTAGGCTTCGATATATCAATTGACCAGTCGTGATAATATTTGAATTTAAAATTCAAGTTAACATGAACACGCAACATTTTATAAGCAAAGATTCTACCTGATCCTAATATTTGAATATAACATATTTATAATAAATAACACATTTAATTCCACCAACTGATCGCGCAAACGATTATCCTGGAACCCTTTTGTAGAATAATAAAATAAAGCAAAGATGCACTATCCCAGCAATCTAAATAGAAATATTATCAAACTATGGAAAGAAAAAAATATCAATATCATCTGATATTAAGTAGACATTCGATATTTATTTGCATAGTGCAATTTCATTGCTTTGTCGACGAATTTATCGCAGTTGCACGAGTTATCAACGCAGCCACATCAACCAACCCGCCGTCACATTCTCATAGCCAGATTGCTCTTATGTCCTATCAATTATACATACCTCAATTAATGGCCGCAATTACTAGCGATTTCCATTCAATCATTTTATATTGCTGATGAAGGATAATTTTCATAAAATATTCTGCAGAATTTCTGTTCTCTCGCCGTTCTTTGACTAAAGCCAAACTATTATAGGTTTGGTTCCTCGTTGCCAGGAATAAAATTTCAGTTATAAAATGAAATTTAATATCCCATCAAGCCATTCTATTTTCGACTTTCGATTTTTTTAAATTGAATTTTACATATTTCTAACAATTTTCTGTTTACAAGGAAAAACATTAGATAATAACAAAAGGATAAAATTGGCTTCCGTCGATCAATTACACGCTCAATTATCCGCTTTCTTACCAATTTTTGCTTATCGTATTTCAATTTTTTTGAATTAATAGGCGGGAATAAATCTTTTAAAGATGAATCCAGATGGCTTCTTGAGACCCACTTGTATCTCTGTCCCCAAACTATTGTCTGCGCTTTTGGAAAAGATTTTAGAGTTTCACTTTACTGTTGGACTGAGCAGCCAAACAAGAAATGTTTCTAAGTCACAAAACTTGAAAGATGAATTAAATTATAAATTAAAGTCGCTTGTAAAAATATAGGTAGGGTCAGATTCCTATTTTAGCAACAATCGAAATTCTCAAATATTTTTTTGCCCAAATTTGCACTATAATTAAAATACAAATGCTGGGAAGAAAATTCAGGATATTTTAAATGTCTGTCGCTAAACCTCGACATTTTCATAGAAATTTTGAGAAAGCCGGGAGATCAAATAAAATTTATAAAAACTAGTAGATCAGTAGATCAAAACAACTAAAAAATCAAAAATTCATACGTTTCTTGAAGGAAAGTTATATTTACATAGATCCTGGACTGAATTCGCTTTTAAGGTAATTTTTAAAAGGAGTTTTTGAATCCTTTAAACTTTTGGCTTCTGCTATACTTCCTAACCTTTCGCTCGTATCTATTTTGTCCCTCAGCAATGGTGAAGTGTATTTTTTGAAAATCTGAAAATAGAAAAAAAATTGGAGTCTCTACAATATAGTGCAAGTCTTAAATTATTATTTCCTTTGCAGATTTTGGGAGTTAATAAGAGATTTTAATTAGATGGAAAATAAGAATTACTGTGAAATATAAAATGGTATAAACGAGAGCGAGGCTGATTCCATTAACTGCGCCTTGAAATCTTCTCCAATACCATCCTAAAAAACCAAACGCTACCGAAGAACGATCCTACAAAAAGATTTTGCAGAGTTTCGTTCATTTTTTACGCGAATATTTGACAAATAATAATTATGTAGAAATTCAAGCAAACTTTAGTATATTGTACATTGGAACTTAATAAGCTTTAATAGTTTGTTTTAGTTATTAATTTGTAAAAATTACAAAAAACCTAAATAACAAAAGGTTTTCCTCACCCAGACCATATTTTGTTCATGACATCGTATGCGATAACATTTTTCTTTCAATTCTGCTTCGTTAATATTACAGCACTTAATGTAAATAAAACCCGCAATGGGGCCAATTGCTAATCCACCGAGGAGACAACGGCCCTAAAATTCTCTCCGAAAAAAATTATTATAATAATATTTAAAATTAAAAAAACAACCATTTTTTTCGAATTTTTTTCACACCTGAATGAAGAAAAGATCTAAAAAAAAAATTAAACCTGAATACGACGACAGATATTCCGAATAATTTTACGAGAATTGTTGGTTGTATTTTCAGGCGTAAGCTTGCGTACAAGATAGTAACGATAAACTGGATGTATTATCAAACCTCCTGCAAAAAAAGAACTCGCAATCTTTACTAGCATACAAAAAAAGGACAATTATTATCCTAGAAGAACAAAGCATTACGGCCTGGACCCAGACCGTAGATCAAATTCTCTCTGATTCCGCCTTTTTATATTTATGATATATTTTACAACAGTTTTGGATAACTCTAAAATAAACGAATCGCTATTATTAAGAAGATTCAAGAAAACGTTCAAATCAAGACACATAAAATCAATGAAATTTTCAGTAGAAAAAAATTTTATAAATTTCTAAAAATGGAACTAAATACCATTGCAAATTTTGCAACAATGAAAATTTTTTTTCTTCAAAGATTCAAAGACTCTGAAATTCAAGAATTCTGGAAAATTGAAATAGAAAAATCTATACCAAGTATTGATGAAATCTCGCCTCCTTTAATGCAACTAAATATAGCAAATTCGGCATAAGGTTGCGGAATATCAGTTAAGACTTCCGGAGTTACAAGTGCGCGCGAAAATTGCGCAAAATTGCAAAACCATGATTTCAAACCATCCAACATCTTCAGATCTCAGCTGGCCAATTCGACCCGCTAAAAACTGAAATCATGAATTTTCCACTTTTCTGATTGGACTTCAGAAATCTTATCAAAATCTTGAATAAAATCATGTCACAACCAAAATTCCATGAGTAAACTCCTGCCACATTTCAATAACATTAATATTTTTTTCCTCATATATCACTGATTGGTGAGCCGAATTTGCTTTTTTTTTAAGCTGCAGAGAATTTAAAACATTCTAAAAATAGGCCGGTGATTCGTACTACAAGTCACCGTAAGAAATATGGTAGAGAAAAGAGAACCGATAAGGGCTAGGTGCAACCTATAATTTAAAATTACAGGTTGTCGATCCACTTGCACTTTTATCGTCAAGTGATCACCTGGCAAAAACCTCAAGAATAAAAAATCCATCGAAAATGGTCATTTTTTTATATTCGATGGAAAAAAAGCAATAATCATAAATATCTACGAACAGCTTCCTCGACAAATTTTTTCAAAATAATGCATATTAAAATAATACAAAACATTTATTAAACATTCTACAAAATAACATTAAGTATTTAATAATTTAAAAAATTAAATTAAAAATAACATCAACGATTTATATAAAATTAACTGACAAAACCGAATTCGGAGAAAATCGATATTTAAATTTCATTCCCAATTATGAATGCCGGAAAAACAATACTCCTTTTTTTATAAATAAATTTTCTTATAAATAAATTTTTTTAGCATTTTTCTCAAATTTTATCGCTTTTGTCCTTTTTATTTAATTTTATATTACGTAGCCTTTCTTCCAACGCAGCCATATTCCTATAATTTCAATTGATTAACTGCTAGAAAAATAACGATAACAAATAAAGGTATTTATTTACTGCCAGCAGTTTTTCTTAAGCAAAAGAATGAATAAAAAAAAATAGGAAAATACGACAGGAATGAGCCTTTCCATGATTCTCCTTGATCACTTTCAATAAAAGCACAACGACTATTTGTCTAATCTCACACGGTTTCACACTTATTTCACTCAGAATAGAGACTGTATGCTTATCTGTTTATTGAAAACTAGCCGAGTTTAAAAAATAATAATAATAAAATTTAGTAATAATGAAAATAGAAAGCATGATAAAAATTAACAGTTTAAAGAGGAAATAAAGAGGAAATTGCAGAATGATATAAAAAATTATAATTCGAAGTACCTGTATTATATATAGTTGGGTGGTGAAGGTCGAGATTCCGCACTTCCTGCATGATGTGAACTTTTTAAATAACATCATAAATGATACAATCTAATCTTTTTTGAAGATTGCTAGGGATGGCGCACAAGCTATATCGTTCGATAATTTATTCCAGTAATTAATAGCACGAATAAAGAAGTTGTAAGTCTTTAGTTTAGTTTTACGCATAGGTTTTAGTAATTTTAGCCCATTTGTTCTTGTTGGATTCAAACTTAGCCTAAATTATAGTATTTTGAACAATCTAATATAACCATACTTATAAGTATAAATTAAATCTTTAATATGACGTACTGATAGAGAATCCAGATATCGTAGAAGTTTTATTTTATAATTATTATTTCTCATACCCACTAGTCCTGTGATGAAAAACAACTTATGCGCGCTTTAATATCGCGCGATATGGAGAGATTCATTTCAAAAGAAACATATAAGAACATATAGTAAATATGTTAAAAAATTTTCTCTTTTTGCATTAATTACGCACACAGCAATTCGGTTCGACTAATTTATAAATAAATTAGCAAATAAAAATTAATACTGGCTACGATCCACACAAATCAAAGAATAATTCTAACTGTCATCTTGAAACAGTTTTGCATATTCTTAATTAGTGTAGAAAAATAAACTTTAATATGAGCAAACCTATAATGAGCAATAAGAGCCAGTTTCATTAACTTTCTCTTTACATATTGGTGGTTAAAACCAGTGATACTGATTTAAAAGAAAAGAGCAATAAAGCTTATCAGTTGGGGGATTTTGGAACTCGACCACTCTAAAATTTAATTAAAACTAAAATTTCCTTCAAATAAAAAAATGTGTAGAACCTGAAAAATTGTTCATTTTGAATTAGAAAAGCCAGTATAATATTTAGAGTAAATTTAGCAAATTCTTCTTAGGAATTCTTCTTTCTTGCATTTTTCTGAAAAAAATTTTTTTGCTGTTTTATTTTCACAATTTCAACAGCCCTTTTCTGAAGCTATTTGTATTTATAAAGCATAAAGCTAAAAACAAAAGAAGACAAACCGATATTACCACTCCTGTTCATAATTTAATTTGTGATGCATAACAAAAGACTGATGTCAATGAAAATACTTAGTAATTTAATTTCTGCCCGTCATCAAAAGTCTTTTCCAGCGTTCAATAAATAAGAATCAAAAAAATAGAGATAAAATTTCTAAATGAATAACATTCCGTTTTTAGAAAAAATTTGGAAAATATTACCAGAAAATTGTTAATGGTAGTATATTCTCTATCGAATGACATTTGTATGCAATTTTCATCGACCTCAGCTTCTTGTAAATCACCCAATACTTCAGTTAACTGATTTTCTGATATCTCATCAATATTTATTTCATCCATCTTTTGTATGACATTGCTATTCACATTCTTTCGATAATAATCAATAAGTTTATGGGAACGCGCCATATTTAACATTATATTTCTAACTGACAAATGTTTTATTAATAAACTGTGTCTATCATCAAAAGGCCCTGCTCGACGTCGCTTAATCCCACAGCATGTCGCAAATGTACCTGATTTAAAAATATGCAATTTTCGAAGTTATCAAGAAATAAATTACATGTAAAGAATAAAGCTTTTAAGATTTTTTAAATTCAAATTATGAAAAACTTGCCTATGCATATCCGCTTTTAAATTAAACAAGTCTGGAATCAGTTTAAACCAAATGAAACCATAAATAAAAATTTATCTTGAGAAATTTATTCATGGGAAAAATTCAAAAAACTGGTCCTTGCCTATGCATATTTAAAGCATATTTAAATTTTAAATTTGCTTTTAGAAATCAGTAAACTAATTTTAAAACAAATAAACTTATTTTGGTAACTTATTTTATCTTAAGTAATATGAAATATTGAAAAATAAAGATGTGGTCCAAGCCGACAATTTTAATAACAAATTTTTTTTAAATTTATAAAGTAGAATTTGCGATTTAATTGGCTACGATGGTTACAATGAAAAGATAACTGTGATTAAACATAAATATACCCAAATTTAGTCCGATTTCTCGCACAAAGTCAAAGAAAAACGTTTCCGTCTCACCAATACTTGTCAATGTAAGAGTGAATTCAGGTGGATTAAAACTATTTAAGACAATGCTGTAGATCATCGGTGCCTTTAGAATTCGCTGACGTAGTGGACCCTAAAAAAAAAAAAACTATAAATAAACACTACACTATAAATAAAATAAACAAACACGTAAGTCTAAGTAACTCCAAACATATTAAATTAATGATAATGTAAACCTAAATTTTTTCAAACCGATTTTCAATTAAATGAAAGGATTCACTACCAATATTCATTCAGACTTAATTTTAGAAAATTCATATTAATTCATTTACTTTTCTCGATAATTCAAACGCTTCTTGACTCTGCAAGTCGACATTTGCTAGTTCAAATGATAATTTCTTGTAACGAGTTTCTATTATAGACAAGAGCTCTTCAATTTTATGCCGTGTAACATGGTCTAAAATATATAATAATTCTTATAATCATTAAGAAAATAAACTATACGAGAAGTGTATGATGAATTATTATAAATAACAATTATGAGCTGAACAATGTATAAAAATGGTATAAAACTGAGGACAATTCGACTAATATCTGTAACAATAAAATAAAAGCGATATGCAAAGCTTGAGAAAATGAGTAACACCGAATAAGAAAAATCTTACTAAAATCGCATGTTTCCTTGACGGGAGATAGATTAGAACCATCAGTTGTTGAATGACCAAGTTTTATTCTAATATCATATTCATTCAGCCAACCATAAGACAATATATCATCAAACTGGTCACAACCATTATTTACTCCAAAAACTGAAATTTTATTAAAAATATTTTCTGCACATAATTTTTTCACAAAATTTTCAATTCGAAAATTAGATTTAAATTTTGTGTGCATGATTTTCCTGAACGATAAGAAAAAGGATATTTATTTTGACTGGACCGAAAATATATTTCCTTCATTATAGCTTTTTATTACAATTAGAAAGATTCTTCCCGCCCTTTTCTGTGCTTTTATCATAACGGAGATATAACTTTGACAAATATAAAATTATGAAAAAAATATTAAAACATACTGCCAACACCGCTGGAGAAATTACCAGTATTATGTAATTCTTCAATCTGAATATCCTCCGCACGAAAAGGTTCACCGATTACTAATGGATGCAAACTGGAAAAAAAATTATCTGAAATTTTCATTTTTTTTTAAAGTTGGAAGTCTAATTATCCAAATAATAGTCCCCAAATTTCATTGTCTTGATCTTACATATATCATTTGCACAACAATTGAGGAAGAGTAAGCAAAAATTCTCGCCAGCAACACCCTGCTGAGAGATAAACAAGATGCATCGTATTTTCCAAATAGCACGATGGAAATTCTCCATTAAATCCTTTAAACTCTTCCAATTCCAATCAGCTTGCGCCATTTTATGTTAGGATGGTCTCACTGGCTATTAAAATATATAGACTACCATGGTATATAAAAGCTTTAGATTTAATTATCAATGACTGCCTATGCACCAAATGAATGCATGTTTAAGTTCAAATTTCCCTTAAATTTAGAAAACCTAATTTTTAAATTCAACATATATTTCTAGAGATTTTAAAACTTAAAAAAATTTACTAGATATTTTATATAAATATTTTATACCTGTAATCAGACTGTTTTTTCCAACCAACGACAATAAGAGCCTGACTCTTATGGTGTGCTTCAACAACTGGCATATTGATTACAGGCAAACGAATCTCGGGTATACTTCGATTCCCACCCTCACATATTGCTTCCACAATTCTTTTTTTTACATAATTCAGACCTTCCACTGCCGGTATATGAACACAAATAATGCCGTTAAGAACTGACCACAACTCACGATAATTCGCCACAGTGCGCATATTAAATTACTCTTGAATTGAAACCGCCAACCTTACACCACCTCTGTAAACCCATTTTCCAAAAACATTTTTGTAAAACCAATCCTCGACACAACATCCCAGTTCTAACCCAAAGAAAATCTTGCATTTCCGATAAAACTTCTATAAAGGAAAAACCGTTGAAATCTGCTTGAAAAACATTAAAAAAATATTTTATTTGGCAACATACAAATGAACAACAAATCAAGTAGTTTTTTTCTGTGCTAATCTTCTATCCCTTTCTTCAGCGATTGTCAATCGCACACCTTTAGTAGGACCAGGAAGACTTACCAAAGCCGTCGTCCCTTTACCAATAATGAATACGTTACTTAACCTAAAATAATAGTATTATGAATTTCACATCATATTAACCAAAAATCTAAATGAAATAATCTTAAGAATCATGTTCCCTAATAATGAACCAAAGACTCACTTGTAAACATCAAATTTCATATTGGAATAACTATTTTATTCAAAACTTAACGTGTAAATTTATAAGCTTGTAGAGAGGGAAACTTTTGAATAAAAACAAATTTTAAAGTTCTAAATCTGATTTGATTTAAATCTGATTTTTTGATAAAAATTTAATCTGAACGAGATACAGTCCACAATTAGCTACAACTAAAAGTTAAAAAAACAGCTTTGACCGGCAGTTATGCCATAAGACCCCGGTCCTCATTTACATCGTCACCACATAAAGGAATATGGCACCATAACGGTCCTAACCCGCAAAATCAAGATTGCAAGTGTTAAAACACTGGCCAGTTTGGTCCATCAATCCATTGTAAAAACACTCTTGCTGTTTGCGAGTTCAAAGCACTTTGGTAAGCATTTGATGCTCCTCACTCACCGGGTGGCGAAAGAGTGTCCAGCAATATCCTTAATATGAATAATATCAAACGACCCAGGATGCTTTTCACGATGACCAACAATTCCTACTCGACCCATGTTGTGACCACCAGTAACCATACATAAGTTTCCTTGGTCGAACTTGACATAATCAGTCACTTTTCCAGTACTAATATCGATTATAACAGTGTCGTTCACCTCAATATTATCATAATTGATCATTCTTAACCTTTCAAAATAACAAGCATAGTCTTAAACTCAATCCTCTCATAAAAATATAAAAATTGTACTACAGATACGCTGATTTTCATAAACAAACCAAGTTTGTAATGAATTTCATAAATTAATACAGATTCATGAAGGTTCTAAAAATGTAATAAAATGAAGATACTTAGAAATTACTTTAATATGTGGATCTGGATATCGAATGGTTCGTGCGTCATGAGTAACAATGAATGGCACCCCTTTTGGACCAACTGCCTTCTTAACAACTTTACATAACTTAAAGTTTCCTTCTGCTCCAGTAATTCTATGTGTTGCATAACGACCTTTTGCATCATATAAAAGCCGGAATGTTTCATTGGTTTTGTCGATTCTGATTACATCTACAAATTATCAAATTTAGTATTATCATCTAGAACCATAATTTATAAAACATTTATCTGAAATTACAAGAGGTCTCAGAAACAGCCGTCAATTAAAATCACGATGAATCAAACGGTAACTCCAAAATACTTCATCACTGACCAGCCTTGTCCACAAATTTTTAAAGCAGTTATTTAAAATTATTACCCATAAAACCAGCTGGAAAACGCATATCAGTACGTACTTTACCATCCACTTTGATAAGACGCTGTTTACAAATTAACTTAGCTTCCCGATATGTTAGGGCGTATTTCAGGCGATTTCTTAAAAACAATATTAACGGTAGAGATTCACGCAGTTTATGAGGACCACATCGCGGTCGAGGTGCAAAAACACCTAAAATTACGAAAATAAAGAAAATTAAAATCACCATAATCTCTAATTCATTTAACCTTACAGAAAAATAAGAAGCTGAAAAAAATCGGAAACAAAATTAAGTGCTTATAAAATATTAGATAACATTAGACATGCACGGAAAAATTTGAATTTACAATGGCAGAAATGTTCCAATAACTAATGCAAAAACATATGATGCTCAATCAACCAAAGAGGTATGGTAAAACAATTTTTCTGCATGATTTTTGAGAAAAAAACCTTCTGAAAAAACCTATAGTTCATCACAAACTTTTCACAAAAATTACTATCGCCACTCTCTACACTCTCGAAAAAATCTATGGCTTTCATCAGACTTCATTAGAAATAATCCACCTGCCTTTCATCCCATTTTCAAAACAGCAGTATTTTCCCTTGAAGAAATCCATGACTTTCCTCACACATGTTCGCAGCAACAGACTTCCAATGCAGTTTTAATCATCTACAGATCCTCATACGGCAAAAAAGACTTAAGCATCACAGTTCTGAACGAAGAATGAAGCCATTTATGTTCTTAAAAAAGGAAATCGAAAATACAACACAAACCTCCTAATTTATCGAGCATCCAATGATGCGGTGCGGCAAGACGTTTCAAATGTCGCTTCGGTCCCCGAGCCATAGTTATTTTACTTCAAAAACTCAAATCACAATATTCTGAAAAAAATCAAATCCTAATTCTTCTTGGAATAAAATCGAAGCAAAACCGGAAAAATCTTGCAAATCAGCCACTATTTTATTTTCAAAGGTAAGAAGCTCATTACAGCTCATAAGATTTCAAAATTCGTTTATATTCCAACATCTCATCTAATCGAAAATATCAATAAAAAATTTAGACACTTGGAAAAATAAAAGCAAGAGTACCAAAAATATTAAAAATCCGCAATTCAAGCCAACCAATTCAAAGGAAACCAAAGCATTAGCAAATCGACCTCAGTCCAACCGCATCCAACCGCATGCAACTCGACCTAATACAACCCCATCAACAACCCTGCCCTGCCTCACCCAAAACTCATCCGTTCCTATCTATTCACTTATCCTCATTTAAATCACGCTCTCAATCTCAAACTTACCACTCACCTTAGGTAAATACCGTATCCCGCATGATTTTGTTCCAATAATCAAAAATTCAAGAATAAGAGGTTTTGCAGCAATATATCTTCCTCTCTTGCTAGCAATGTTAGCGTGATAGGATTGGAATTTCGGCGAAGAAGAGAGCGTTTATGTGTTAGCTATACGACCTGGAAATTGGTTATAATAGTGGATCGAAAGTTTTTTGCGAATTGGCGCTTTGGCAACCAATGGCGCATTCGTAAATTAGATATTTTATTAGTGTTTGATGTATGCCTGGAATTTTCACTGCAGTCATCGATACGTGGTTTTTGCGAAAAGTACCATTAGCAGCATAGGACCTGCGATAACCTAAGACTGCACGTATCTTGAGACTACTCAATGCTAATCTTTTTTTTTTGCAACAATTATTGCTATTTCTAGTTAGACTCGCTTGTCCGTTGGGCCAGAGAAATTTTTCCATTGAATGACCTGGCGATAGGCCGCCAGAACCACTTGGGCTGTTTAAAAGGCAGGTCTCTCGTGAAAAATGCAAAACCATAACATTGACACAGTTCATATTCTAGCTTATCATGGAAAGCTTTTGGTAACTGGTGGTAAAATGCAAAATTCCCATTCTACGTTATTGTTCGGACTAAGTGGCTGGGTGAAGTCAACAGTAGCCTCAGGGCACTCAGGGTTGATAGAGCAATGCAGTGGAGCAGTAGTTCTCAAAATTTTTATCTCTTAAAATTATTGAGAACTTTAAAGAAATTATTTTATTTTAATATTTATATTGATGATTGTAAAAAGTGGCTAACGTTCCATTCCTCGTTCAGGATAAAGATGCTATCGAAATCAGAATGCTTATGCAGTTCGAAATAATTAAAATTTCTTCACATATGCAGATTTTAAATTTAAAAAATTTTTAATATTTATTTATTCAATTATTTTAAAATAATAATAAGACTATTCCTCCTGTGAGTGGCAGGGGGCCTCAACCTCGGGCTTTATCAGAGACTTGAGGGGTGCACGCATTATCTTAGCTGTTCCTTAACTGTTCCTAATAATACGCCTTTCTGGACAAAGATCGTTGATGTTTGTTTCTGGAATCTGAAGCCACTTTTCTAGTTTAATTTACGGGTCGCAGTTCTAGGTGCTCCTTTTAACACTGGAATTATTTTAGTCTTTCCACATCTTCTCCAGTTTTCCAGTATTTCTCTAACTTTTCATATTTTCATCCTAACGTTTCTTAGTCACTTGATATATCCATTACCAGTGCTAATTTCTGATACTTGGTTAATATTACATCTAATTGATCATCTCTCTGAATGGGAAAGGCCCTTCTTGTTATTTTTCTGAGGAATTTCCTATCTAATCATGGGAAGCCATATATTCCTTTAGAAGATGCCAGTTACTTGGTTATACCTATGTTCCTGCTTTCATTATACATCCTACTACTAAGCGTTGGGTTATTTCTTTTTTGCATAATATGCACCTGGATCTCTGTCTAGTGTGGTAGATCCCTGCTTCAGTGCATCTAATGCTTAGTATCTCCTCTTGTACTGCCATGATCAACGCTAGAGGTTGCAGGTTTTAGTCCACTTTTTTCCAACCACTGGTAGGATTTCTCACTTCAGTTTATTCCATGGAGGATCTTGTTTTGCTATGGTATTTCCTCTGCTTGGTCTTTTTGCAATATCTTGTAGATGCTTCAAACATTCTCTCAGCAGCTGATTCTTTGATTCAGGTTGGTTGAATGCTTTCATTCAAGGATTTCATTCAAGACGATGGCTTTCAGATCACTAAGTTCAGATCACCCATCTTCCATGTGGTTGGTATGCAGCCTTTGAGTATTGCTTAGGGTGGAAATTTCTATGGATTGTGAGGAGTTTCCGGGTTTTCACATCAGCAGTTTCCATGTCTTTGTTTATCTTACAGTACCAGCCTGTGCATCTGTAAATATTTAGAATATTCATATATATATATATATAACATAAAATTTTGAATAATTTTATTTCTTTTCGATAGTTAAAATAATCTCTTCCTAATTTCTTTATAATTCATTCCAGAAATATTCTATTTTTCATTCGCACTTTCCTTACGTGGTTGCGAAAACTTTTTTTAGTTTAATTTTATTGTTTAGCACGTTTTTTCTTTCTTTTATTTAGTGGATCTTCGTAATTTTAAGCATTTTTTATTTAGATTTTTTTAGTTATTATTCGGAATGGTTGAAGATGAATGTTCATTTTCAACGAGATCTGGAGAAATTAGAAGAACGCATTTCTATAAAAAACACAAGACATCATCAGTTAAGAAATGAACTTTTTGATCTTAAAGATCAGCTTGAAGCAAATGGCGAATTTTTACGAAGTCATTCCGGTAAAATCTTCTTCATATCCTTCATTTTATAAGAAATCAAATAATAACGAATAAGCACATGAATGAGATGTCTGAGATTTTTTTTTCCTAAAAGCCTTCGTCATTAGTGGTTAGGCTTGCTGGGGTGGCTAAGGGTTAGATATTTCAAAATTAATATATATATATATTATATATCACTGGTACACCTATACATTCAAAAATCTTACCTGATTGTGTCAGTCCAGGTCTTTGAATCATCTCGTTTTTGATGCCAGCAGTCACAAAGTTTAGCAAGTAACGAAATACTATTAACTTCTCTGGTAGGTGATGAAGAATCTAACTACCAGAGACGACATTGTGGAATGGTATCTGAGTGAAAGTAGATATGAGATTTTATCCACTCGGCTAATCCATAAAATATATCTTAAACATGAGTTCGAAGGCAGATAACTTCCTAATATTCTCCACTCTCAATGGCCATTTCTTGCGACCCATATAGCAAGACTGAGCGAATCACAGTTTTATAGACGCGGATTTTCGTTTTTTTATATGCTGATTTTGCGACGGCTCCATAAAGGTTGCGTCAACGGGAAAATGAACACATTTCTAGCTACTCTTATCCGTGTTATAATTTCATCTTTCGTTTGGCCGTTTACAATTAGAGTGGATCCAAGATATTTAAATTTGTACGTCTGCCAGGGCTGAATTGATAAAAATAGATATTTTATCAGCTTCTTCTTTATAAGGCGAAAAGGTTTTTGTTTTATTTACATTAACTCTGAATCGGATTCACAATTTTCGGCATATTGTTTAGCATTATTTGCACTTCGTCATTCTATTGAAAGGACTGCATCATCAGCCTATTCAAGATCTGTGATACTATACTCTGGGCTGATTTATATGCCTGTTGAGTGCGGACAATCTATGTCCATTTTCCAATCTATTCCATAATTGAATATTGTAGATGAAAATTCTTATTTCGAAAGAGACTGCTAATTTCCCCATATACACATATGCCGATGTACACTGATAAAATACCTTAATGAGTCGGATGATTTTTTAAACATCATCCGATTCATTATCCTAGTACGAAAGTGGCCAAATTTTCGGTGATGTCTTTAGTTGAAATTCACGTGTCGTTTTAGAAAATCCATATATATTTATATCATCGAGATGCTTTAATAATTTGGTTTGAAATACTCTCAGTATCCCCTAATTTTTTAGATTGAGATAGTTGAAAGATCTTGGGAGAGTTGTTTTTTGCGAGTTGCTAATTTTATATAAATCTTGGCTCGAACATGGTGCGATCCATGAATATCACCAATTTCAGCGCTGCTAGAGGTTTGACCTTCCAGATTGCCCCGGCTATCGCATGCAAAGAGCCGTTTTCTTTGACATATTTTGAACTCCAGTGTTATTCTAACTCGAGAACATTCTCAAGCCTTGATATCTTTTACTTTGTCCGATTTTCGCACGACCATGCTGTGGATATCATGCGATTCAAGATGAGACCCTTTCACAATAGAGTTTTTATCTAAAAAATTTCTTGAGCGATCACTTACTTTCTTTTTCGCTTGCTATTTTCGAAACTTTAAAATTTTGCTTCAGGCAATCTTTATAAATAAATTAAAAATAAATTACAAACAAATAAATTAATAAATAAATAAATAAATTACAAACAAATTATAAATTAAATTATATATATAAAATGTATGTATAAAATTTAAACAAAATAGAAACAATAGAAACAAGTATTAAAAATATAATAGAAACAAGAAAAATGGAAATGAAAATTAAAAATGAAAAATAAATTTGGTATAAATTTAGTTTTTTCCAAGGCAAGTTTTGTTTATTTCAATTTATTTTTCTTTTTATTTATTTATCTTTATTTTTTATTTTTTTTGCCTCTTCTAATCTTGCTTTCTTCATCTTTGAGCAAATCTTTCGTGATTTCAAAAATTTGCTGGTAACCTATAGTTCTTTATCCAAGTGATTCTATGGTGTCTAGGGTTTTAGTTTGTTTTACTGATTATCAAGAATTTAGGTCGACGTTTATCAAATCGGCACGAATCACAAAAAAGTATGCGGTTATCTATTTCGCAATTGGGTGTTATTGGAAGTGGAAGCAATATAGCAATGAGCAGTTGTGGCGGAAATGATAACGAAGGTTTCTGTGATTTTAGAGGAGGTAGCATGGTTGGAAAAAGTATTGAATGGCCACATTCTGGTTATCTTTACAAGAAAAGTAATAAAAAAATCCATAAGCAGTGGCAGAAGAGACGCTGTCGCATACAAGATGGTCACTTCTTATTGTCACATTCTGATGTAATTTTACATTTTTATTTCTTTTTTTTGAATGCTTTCTTTCCAATGTAATATGAGCAATGTTTTGTTTTTTAAATATCATTTTAGGAATCTTTACCTCCGGCGAAACTTAATTTATTGGTATCAGATTGCAAACCATCGGCAGATGACGCAAAGGCCTTCGATTTATATTGTCGAGATCGTACATATCATCTTCAAGCTGATACAGAAGCCGAGGCTAAAAAGTTCTTATATTTCCTGATAATCTTTTGACATAACCTTTCACTATAATATAAAAAACTATATTTATTTATTTTATTTTTATTTATTTCTATAATGAAAAAGGCAGAGAATGATACCATATACTCTTATATTTGCTTTAAAAAAAGAATAACGGAAATATTTCATACTGCATAAATCAATAGAAAGCAGAAAGTGCAAAAAAAAAAGAAAAAAAGCAGCAATAAAAGTAGTAGTAAAGGTAGTAATGATAAATAGCAATAGATATATATGTAACAATATGAATCATTGGTACAAAGTTTTCAATAACCATATAAATAACCCAATTAAAGATGATATTTGATAAATGATATTTTGATATCATTTATCTGCCTTTTACAACTGCTGCAGTATGAATTAAGAAATTGTGACTTCTCAGTTGCATTATAGATAGAGCCGAGTAATTTCAATTCACTCGATCTCATATACTTGAACTGAATCATGCCTAAAACGTATTATAGTCAATTTAATCATATAAAATTTGATCATATAAAATTTTACCGGTAAAGATTAGTTCTTGTTTAATTGTTCTAAAGCATGAATATAAGCTAATTTATGTTTCATAATCTCATAACATAATATATGTGGAATCTGGAAACAATCTTTTTAAAAAGTAGGTATGGATATCATGAACGTAAGTGTTATATTCCAGGATAAGTATTCTTAAAGATTAAAGGTAGTAGAATTGCATGTAGAGGATTTGGGTAATATCATCAGATCTGGCTATTATTGATGGCTTGAGTATCTTGAGTGTATTAAAAATACGTAATGGAATTAAAAAAATAAAAAGAAATAGGTCTGATAAGTATAATGATCAGAATTACTAACGAAACATTGGGAGTCCTGTTCATTAATGAACACAATTTTTTTATTTTCTTTTTTTGTGTTTGAAGATTTTAAATGTGAAAGAAAAGAAACCAAAGTGCCAATGACAAATTTTAGTATTGCTTCTTTTCTATGTAAAAAATATTCTTAAACAGAAATATTTCAGATTTTTTTGCATGTAGTAAGTTCGATATGTGATATAATTGAACGAAATTTGTCATTTGAAATTTATGCAATTTTTAAATTTTTTAAATTCAGTTTTACAATTAATAAATTCAGTTTTACAATTCAATTTTTTAAAATATTTTCGATTTTTAGCCAGTTGTTTTTCTTTTTTGTTGCTAATGGTGATTTCATAACGTCATATTTTGTATCAATAAATTTATTTATTTAAATTTTCAATATATTAGAAAATTTATTTGGAAAAAAATTATCTATAAATAATGAATTAGAAAATTTCAGATGGATGGTGGCCTTAAGGCAAGAAATTTCGCGCTTAAAAACTAAGATGTTGACTGACGATTCTATAGAAGATATTGAACGGATAACTGCTACTGGCACTGATTGTCTTGAACGAAAATTATGTGTTAAGGCTGTAAGAAATTTGTCTGGCAATAAAGAATGTGCGGACTGCTCATCCTCTGAAGGTTATTTGCGTGCAAAAAATTATCTTTTATCTATAAAGTTCAGAAAATAAGCCTAAACTAGCTAAATCGAGTTTTTCAGATTAAAGAAAAATGTGAGAATAAAAATTGCAGATGTTCAGTGGTTGTCGAATACGGGTGCTCTAGTTTGCATTGCTTGTAGTGGTGTTCATCGCGAGCTTGGTGTGCATATTAGTCGTATTCAGTCGCTCGATCTCGATGTTATATCACCTACTGAATTTCTTGTAGGTTTTTATTTACAAAATTCTTTGCAATCATGAATGGTATCGATTCATTCATTTATTCTTTAACTTTTAATACTAGTATTTAAAATATTTTTAATCTGAGAAAGGCGCTTTAAAATTGGGAAAAAAGTTATCTTCATCTTTACAAATTTATTATTTATTATATAGCTTAAAGCCTCTTAAAATTTGTTTCTTTCACGATTTAAAGTTATATAATGTTAATTTTTTATAGATTCCTCTTTCATCTGGTAATTCGCTAATAAATCGCATTTACGAGTGGAATGAACATTTATGTCTTCTAAATAAACCTGTTCCTGGTTGTACAAGGTATATTGTTTTTATTAAATTAAGTAGAATCGTCACTGATAATACAGCCACTGAAAAATGAATTTAAAAAGTTAAAAATACTTGTAAAGAATATTTCTCTCAAAATCTGCTATATTTAATGGTGCAGTTAGTTTATAGGTGCATCTATATCCATATCTAATGTTATATGTCTTTCATAGTTTTCACTGAGTTTGAATTTTATCTTTGAGAATTTTTCTGTTTAACACCATTGATTTAGATTTGATCGTCAGAAATTTATTCAAATGAAATATCGTAACCGTTGTTTTATACAGAGGATTGAATCTGCTAATGCTCTTTTCGCAGAAGCTGCTCGTCATCTTGATTTCGAAAAGGCTTACAGGTTTATTTATAATTAATTATAATATTTTATAATATTTATATTTTATTTATAATTAATTTATTGTTTTTATTTAAATATATTTTATTTTATACCTTTGCTGTTGTTCTTTTATTCAGAGCATTGCTGTCTCCTGAAATTACATCTTTACCTTTTCTGGCTCATGAAGCTTTTCATGAGATGATTAGACAAGGAAGCTCATTAGCTCTTCCGATCGCACAACTTGTAGTTCAATTTAGGTTTCTTTTTCATATATTTTTTTTCTTTTTTGAATCTAATCTACTAAATTTTATTAAATATGGAATATTATTTATTTTTGTTATTGATTTTCTTACGAAATAATAAGCGATAAATGTTTTGCAATTTCGATCTTATTGTTTTTTAATATTATGAAAAACTATGGATGGGACATTAAAAATGCATTTTATCCATTTAATTGAAGAACGGAAGTACCTGGTCTGGAAGCGATGTTAACTGATTGTGTTAATTCGGCCAATGTTGATATGTTAGTCGTTTTATTACATGCTGGATCAGTCAACACATCACTAACTGATGCCTCACTGCAGGGTTTGGAAACATTAGCAATAAAATTGGAGCAAACTAAAATGGCGGAAGTGGTAACTAATCTGTGGCTAAAATTTCATTAACTTTAAAACTTTACGACAAAATAGATTTTTTAAATGAAGATGTCAAATAATTTCAAGAATGTTTTTTCATTTTTTTTACTTCTGAAATTTATTTTCTAAATTATTTGAATTTTATTTTATACATATTCATTTTTTTCATTTAAAAATTGTTTAGAATATTTAATTCATTGCAGCTTCGATTGGCTCGTTCAAATCGAAGAAATCAACTGAACCAATTGACCATTCCTTCCATTCTTCTCGGTTCTACGTCAGATTTAAGTTTGTTTAGATTTTTTTTAGGGTTGATTTTTTTCCAATGAAATTTTTTTCTTTCAAATTTTATAGTTCATGGTTCATATTTATATGGAATATTATATTTAGCTAAAATTTAGTGAAATTATAGTTTCTGTCTGCTGCTCTTCTTCTTCTTCTGTATCTCCATTACTGCGGCAATCTCCAGATACGATTGTGCCTAACCTTAATCATTCAAGGCCTTCCTCACCGCATAAAAATGTCATATTGCGTGATGGTATGTAAACTTTTGTGTCTCTACATTGTATTTTTTCAATAATTTAATATTAATTTTGCAATTGCAGCTGCCATTGCTTGTCGAAATTCAAGTCTTCATGATCAGTCATCAACTATTGCCTCATTGCATGGTTTGAAATACTTTGATTTAACTTTTGATTTGGAGAATATTAAGAAGTTATCTGCTTTGAAAATTTTAAGGGTTCACCAAGTGGACAAAATCTCACATAATCGCATCCACTATCTTCTAACAGCTCTCACCTCACCATATAGCTGCACTTCACTCGATTTTGCTATATGGCTGCGAAACATGGCTTATGAGGGTGGAAGATATTGAAAGCTATTAGCCATTAGCCTTTGACCACTCATGTCTAAGGTATTTTTTTCGGATCCGTCGAACGGATAAAATCGCACATGACTGTATCCATCTTCTCTCAAATACAACCTGTAATGTTAATAATGTTATCACAGAGCCTTCGCTGGTTAGGGCACGTTTTTCGTCATCCACCACTGAAATTGATGTATTTCGTTACTTGCTAAACTCTGTGATTCTTGGTGTCAAAAGCGAGGAAGTCCAATCAAGACATAAACTGATACAGTCAGGAAAGATTTTGAACGTATAGAGAGACCAGCGATATATGGACTTAGACGGTAGAAAAAGGAATGGTTTCTATTATACTAGCAGTGGCATCGGATTAAGCAGCTTGGAAACGTACTTACCTTTTAGCCAATGGATCCAGCTTAACCAGTAATGGTGAGAGCTTTTAGAAGAAGAAAGTTATTTACTACATTCTGTATCTTATTACGTAACACTTGGTAATAACGAGTCAAGTGACCAGTACCAAAGCTATCATAACACTTACTATTTTCTACGATGATAGCACTTTTCATCCTTTTCAGAAGTATATATTTTCAGAACTGGTTGATCAAAAAGTGAACTCTTCTATCGTAAATAATGCATCAAGGAGATTTTCAACCTTCATTTCTACTAATTCTAGCTCCACTCATTTGAATGATTTCGAAATAACATCAATGGAGAATCGGTCGTTGGCTGTTCCCAATTTATATATGGAAGTAAGAATTTATCTTTTAAATATTAATAGGGCATTGTCTGGGAATTGTGGTTCTAGAGATTTGCTAGGCTTGAATTTAAGATTTGAAATATATGTTTATTTAAGACTCCTATTGCATCACCGAAACAGTCTGGTTCATCATCTTTGGCAACCGGTCCTATCCTCGTATTTCCTGCAGCTCCGAAACCTAGGCTGTACCACAGATCAGCTAGCGAATATGCAGATGATGTAATTTTTAAATTAGAATTGCCTTTTATAAGTCAACTTCATTTTAACATAATTTTGCATCATTTTTTAAGATATCTAACAATGTTGCATCACAAGCAGCCACGAAACGAACTTTTTCTGTCAGGCAGATGTCGGCGATACCATTACCAGAAGGTTAATTTAAATTTATTTTGACTCGCATTGATTATTCTGCAGTTGATCGAACTTGCTTATTTCTTTCAAAGCCTTATTTCATTAAAAAGCCTTACTTGTTGATGTTTAGAGTTAATCTTTTTTCCGAAAGGCGAAAAACTTTCTTACATATAGGGAAATTTGTCATAAAAGCAATTAAATTAAATTAATTAAATTATTCATTCACTTTCGATTTTGTTCAGATGAACGCCAAGCATTTGTATCGGTTAATCAGCAAAAATCTGATAAGCATGTTAAAGCAACAAGGCCAGCCCCAGGGATACCAGTTGTAGATGCAAATATGAAACTAAAGCCACCTATACCTGCTCCACGAAAACTCATTAAAAGCGATCAGACACAAGTCAGATTTGATCAAAACTTTGATCGTTGATATTGTTTTAGACTTAAATCAACAGTATTTGATTTATTTTGCATTTGATGTTTCTGTAGGCTTTGTGGTTTCTCCATTTGTTACTTTTTAAATTTTTTAAAATATAGTTTCAGAAGGATAATTTACGTCGTTGTCGTGCGCTATACGATTGTACTGCTGATAATCCCGATGAACTGTCATTTCGACAAGGGGATTTAATAATTGTGAGCAAAGAGCGAATTGATGGTGAAAATGATACATGGATGGTTTGTATTGTTTCGTTTTTTTGCAGATAAAATTTATTTCTCATTGTTCATGCAATCATTTTTTTAATTTACGCAATTTAAGCAATGCTTAGTGTGTAGTGACTCTGGATTACTGGATTAGCCTCAGGATTACTGGATTTACAGGATTATTGTAAGCCTCAGGATTACTGGATTTTTTTTGTAAATCTAACTGCAAATTTTATATTAAATTTTAATAAATAAGTTATTTTATTTGTAGAATCTTTTCGATCCGATTATATTTTTAGATTGAAATTGAATATTTTACAGGAAGGATATTTGGCGAGTGATCCCCATTGTAAAGGAATATTCCCAGTTACATTTGTAACTTTTCAATCCTGATTAATTTCTGCAATTAGAAACATTTATTGCGATAATTTTTCTCAAGCTAATTCAGATTTTACCGAAGTTAGATGAGTTCCGATCTTTAATGGTTTTCTTTTTTCTTCGGGAAAAATTCTAATTTTCTGAAGCAGATATTTAAGTTTTATTGATTGTTCTATTTCTTTCAGTTGTTGCTTTTTTGCTTCATATAAGATTTTTTTGATTTTTGATTATTTCTTATATATTCTTGTTAATACCTCAATCATGAAATCCTTTATGTTAACAGCTTAAACTTTTTTATTTAATTTTTAATATTTTTGGTGTTATAAATTTTTAAATTTTGATTTTCGATTCTAAACCTTGTAGAATCCCTTTCTGCACATCATTAAAAATGATTTATTTAAATGAGAAGTTGATATATTCATTTCTTGTAAAATTTTTAAAAGTTTTAACATGGTTTAGAATTAATTTAGAATCGAGTTTAGCTATAAAATTAGGTATTTCCGTCTTTAAGACATTGCAGGAATTTTTATCTTATTTTTATTGAAAATTTCTCAAAAATCTTTCAACATTTTAGTGTCTAAATAGAAATTTCCTGCCATATGTATAATTAATTTATTAAGAAGTCGTTTGCGAGGGTAACATCATTCGGTGCCCTAGTCGGTTTTTTGGCTAGTATTGATCGAGATTCGTTGACATAAATTCTATTCTTCATTATTTTGAATAATAATTTAAAAAAATAAACTTGTATGAAGTTTTTTCGAAAAAATTCTTTGCAGATAATCATTCCAAAAGTTTCATTATTTTAAATTTCTTTGGAAGAATTGAAAAAGACGAAAATTTTTTTGTGTTTATCTTGCTTGATGGTAAACGATAAAGTTGATTTTATTTTGAGTGATCTAATAAGCTTTCATCTTTTTTTCGCGAATGCTTATTTTTGATTTATGCTTGATTCTTCGTTTGTACATATCATTTTTAATAATTTTACGGCAAATAATTTTTGAATAAACTGGAAAAACTTCTTTTTAAGGAAGTAATTTTATTTATTGGCGAAGTTGTATTAAGCACAAATATATTTAGTCAATGTCATTACTGGTAATTTTGAAACGGAAAAAGATGTAGCGGTGGTGAAAAATTGTAAGGTTTGGAAGGAAGGACATTCTTTTCTTTTTCTAGCAACTCTCACCATTTCACTGAACATTAATACATTGGTACATTAGTTAATTAGGCTGACTCCGCTGGCTATAAGGGTAAAACGTCTCCATGCTGCTCGTCCAATGCCATCGCTAGCAGTAATAGAAGCCATTCTTTTTTCCATCGTATAAGTCCTCTATGTGTACAAAATCTTTTCAAAATAAAATAAAATAAAAATAAAATAAAAAAATTTCAAAAAAAAATTTGATTGTATCAGTCCATACCTTGATTAGCTCATCTCGCTTCTGACGCCATCCATCGCACGGTTTAGCAAGTAACGAAATATTCGTCAACTCCTGTGGTGGACGGCAAAGAACTTGCCCTAACCAGCGAAGGTGGAACTCTATGATAACATTGTTAATAGGGCTTATATTTGAGCGATTTTATCCGCTCGACGAATCAGTAAAATATATCTTAGACCTGAATGGTTAAAGCTTGATAGCTTCTTAATATCTTCCACTCTTATTGGCCGTATTTCGCAGTCATATAGTAAGATCCAGCGAAGCAGCTATATGGACGCGGGTTTTTGTCTTTATGGTGATTTCGCCACGATTGTAAGGAGGGACATGGATTTACCAATTGTTTCTATGTTGAAGAGAATTCATTCCATTTATATTAAAGCCTATAGTAAATGCCTATAGTAATTAAAGCAATAATGATGATGGTAAAACAATTTTTTCTCTATTGATGCATTACTTATGGCTTAGAAGTGAGGGATTTGTAAGTTGAAGAACAAAGATGAATCGGGTAAATTAAATGGTATGTATATGCACTATTAGTTTGCTAATTTTTTTGGGAAAAATTTAGATTAATTAACAAAGAAGGCCATAAAGTACAAGGATGTCGATAGTGGTAATTTTTGCTGCGTGCAATAATTAATTAACAATTAATGTAGTAATGTAGTCAAACAAAGTCGCTGCAACTGTTGGTAAGTTTATAGTCTAAAAAGTTGTTTGATTGTAATTTGTAATATTTCAGTTCCACTATATTAGCTTCGATGTTAACTGTTCGAAATGTATGTTGCGATTTTTATTTGGAAAGGCCAAATGAGATGAATCGACACATCAACCAGTACGCAGCAAGGTTGCCTATTCTTCGTATATTTGGTATTATGGAATCGGGTACACTGTTTTTTTATTATTTATTTTCATTTTCTCTATGGTTGCTCGACATTTGAAAATATCTGAAAATATTTTAAGCACCAGTTCTACTGAGTTCACGCAATGAAAAAAATATTAAAATTTTCGATTGGAAATTTTACAAAAACAAACTGGAAATTAAGTGAGAAAGAAAAAAGTATATTTTCTTTATTCCTATTCTGAATACAGTTATTGCAGGTCAGAAATGCTGTGTTCATATTCATGGTGTATTTCCCTATATAATTTTGAAAACTGGTATTCCATTCACCGGCCATTTAGAAAATAAGATTCGTCGAATATTATTTGCATTGGTTGACGCCAAAAATTCTAAGATTTCATATGGCTTTCGAAGTGCTATCCATGCAATTATACCACTGGAAACCAAGTATCTTTCTTATTCTTTAACTGTGTGAATATGTCGAGGTCCATAATTCGCGCTTATTTCAATTATGGAAAATTGAAGTAATTTATTTGCTTATCATTTCTGTGTTGAAAATTGTGATTTCAATTGTGCAGTGTATTTCAGATCATTATATGGATTTCATCTTAGTAATGAACATTTCATCAAAATTCAGTTTTTTGATCCATTCTACGTTAAATCGTTAGCCATTTATTATTATAATATTACATTTTCATTGTCTTGTATTTTTCCTTTATAATTCTTATATAATTTTTTATGTGATTATATAATTTATATATAATTATAAAATGCAATTTATTCATGTAATTTTTTCAGACAATCTTTCTAAACAGTTTTTAACTTAATGATCCACAGATTTAGTCTCTATTTAATTTATCTTTCATATCCTCATTTTGCTTTTGATGCTTAATTTCGGTTTCGGTTTTTATATTTCTCCTTTTCGATCTTAAAAGATTTGGAGAAGGATTGAGTTAAAGATGTATTTTGGTATTCCATCTTTTTTAAAACTATTTCGCCAATTGGTGCTGGAATTTCTTAGAATCGCTAAATTTCCGTAGAATGAAACTGTTAAAAAGAAGTTTCAGATTGTGTGATATTTTGCAAGGCGAATCATTAACTAAATCTTCATTTCAATTGTATGAGGCACATATTCCCTATATTTTACAATTTTTCATTGATTATTCAATCTACGGAATGGATTTCATTCATTTTCGCAATGTAAAATATAGAATAAAACGAACCTTATCCAGTTGGTTTCGATTTATTTCTTCCTTTTCTTTTTCAGTTCGTAGATGAAAGGCCATTTGATGCGAAATATTTGGAATTTATTGGTATAAAAATTTATCGCTAAATTTATTTTTCCTTATGGTATTTCAATATTACTTCTTTTCTGATTAATTTTTTATTTTCAGGTGATCATGAAGGATTGGGAATTTTAAATGAGTAAGTTTCTAAGTTTCGCCTTTTGAATTCAAATTCTATTTCATTTTATCCATTCATTTTTTTACCTCAAATAAATGTTTTTAATAAATTTGATTCAAATTAAATATTGTATGCTATATACGCGAAATATTATATATTAAATATGCGAAATATTTAAAGCCCTTGCCATCTTTCACCTCTGCAGCCCTCAACAACCTTGTCAGTGGAATGTGATGTATTGGCATCGAATATTATTAATAAACGGTCATCAGAAGGTTGGTTTTGGTTTTGTTTTTTCATTGTTTTACAATCAGAAATTCTCTCTTATCCGAAAATTATGAAAAATCAATATATCTAAATATGTCATTGTGTAAAATTTTTTAATTTAGTTGATTTTCGACTTAGATTACATTGCGCAAAATTGAAAAATTTTGTTATCAGAATTTTTTAGTTCTGTCCTATCCTGGTTTGGAATACATTTGGAAAGATGAGGAACGGAGGTGCAAGATTCGTGGAAAAGAGTTCATTGCTGAATCTTCGCAAGGTTAATATTTATTTATTTACTTCTTAATTCCTTTCCTTTTCATCAACTTTATTGGCTAACTATATTTTTTTCGTTTTCTTGATTTGTAATATCATTATTATTCATTATAAAGCGAATTTAGATGAAAGACCTGCTTTTGAAACGAAAACTGAGAATGATTTCATTGAGTCTTTACGAAAAATTTGCTTCGATAAACGGGAAGATGATGAGTCTGCGACAAAAAAAACTGTTGAAGGTTGATTAAATTATAAGTTTTATTGTTGTTTTTTATTTATTTCTTTATTTGATTTATTATTAGCTTGTTTTCATATCTTTATTTGTGGCCATCTTTAGTGAGATAAAACAGAGGTTTTTGCTTAGGTCTAGGATCGCAAACTGAAGATCTTATTGTATCATCGAATCAACTTACTTCTTCGTTAGATGAATATATGACGAATAATATTCTTGACGATTTTTTTGAACAGTCTTTATGGATGGAAGAAGATGCCGATAATTTTATTTATGATCGCGATTCTGATGAAGTGTTTTCATTTTTTTAGCTTTAATTTTGCTATCTTTTGGTGTCGAATTATAATTTCTTTTATTTGCTTATTTCCATTGAATCGAATTTAAATTTGATGGAATTTTGACTATGAAAATTCTTCATTCTTTATAAGATCATTATGTTGGAATGTTGAGAACAATTTTTTGGGAAAATCTGGTAATTTGCTAGCTTTAGGAGATGGAAGATATGTCGCAATCGATTGAATCATATTCTGTGAAAGGTAACAATCTTGAATCTTCTAGTAAAGATGGATCTAATTCGAATGAAAACGTTGATGCAGATATTGATAAAGTTCAATTACAGGATATCAATCATGGTTTTACTTTTCTTATATATTTCTTACCATTAATTGATTATATGCGAAAAGTTCGTTTTTTTCAGCGATAATACACAATTCTTTTGTTTTTCTTTTTAATAAAATTCGTAGCATTTTAATTTTTTTAGACAGTGCCACTGACAGCGTGGAAAATAAAATTTTGTTCTCGCAAAATTTCACCAATTTATCAGATTCCAATTTGGAAAACTTAATGGACTATACTCCATATGATTCTGTATTTCATAATGATGATAGATCGGTTAGTTCCTTTATTTTTCAGATATTCTTTGTTTTTTTGCTTTTTTTATTCTTTTATTTTCATTCTTCATTTTTAAATTTTATTTATTATCAATTCACTTTTATTTTAAAATCATTTATTGTTCAGACATCAGTGGAAAGCAGTCATTTGGATTCTCATTCTGTTTCGGTTAATTCAGAATTAGATCATTGTGAATCTTCATTTTGTTCGAAGAATGAAAATCATGATTTGTTTATTGATCGAGCAAATATTCACAACTTTAATAATTCTATTATATCACAAATCGAATCCATCTCTTGTGTTACTCAGCTTAACAACGTTGGCAACTTAAAATCATCCGTATCGAATATACGAAAAATCAGCAATCATTTTGAAAAGTTCATTAATTTCTCATTTAATACTGCTTTTTGAATATTCTGAAGACCGTTTACTCATCGTTTTACTCATTTTGTTATTTTTTTGTTATGGGGACCTGGAAAGTTCTTTTTTTTTCATTTCTATTCTCCTTTTCTATCCATTATATACTCTCTCTTCCATCGCTGTATTATTTCTTCTTGTTTTTCCTGTCTTCGTATTCTTCTTCCATTTCCTAATTCTATTATGTTCTTTAAAAACAATAGTTCAAATATATTCAAATAATTTAACACAGTTGAACTTAATGTTTGTGAATTTTCTAATTGTGCAAAATTTTGTTTCGTTTTTTTTACAGGAAACAAACTGATGATGCTTTATCATGTGGCATACAGGTGGGACTAGTCTTTTTTTGATTTTATTGTTTTGTGCATTTTTCCCTCTATGAATAGGAGGCAGAATAGTAGGATGGTTGCTGATCAGTATATAGATGTGAATATGAAGATTCCGGGTCCTTCCTCTGACAAGAATTTACCTTTAAAAAAAATTCGGATAACGATGGTGATCCATCTGTGCGTGAATATGACTTCTTGGTAAAACTTCCATCTTCCACCATGTAAAGCCGAAGAAACGAAAGAAATAACCAGCTATTATTTATTTCTATATTAGTTTTTTTTCGCTGATGTCTGTAAACAAATAATTAATGGTGTTAGTTTTTTTTTCGAAGTGTTCTCCTTTTTTTTTATTTTCTTGAAAGTTTATTATTATGGGCTATTTTTTAAAGAGCTCTGGCGAAGAACTACTGAATTTATTAAATGACTATGAATACGATATAGGCACTATTTGGAATCCAAATAGACCACGAAATACCATTGATGAATTGGAGTTGTTCGATATTAATTCCTTCTGTAGGTAAAAGATATTTTCATTGCTTCTTAAATTTTTCAGGCTGATGAGGCTGGTACTTAATTTTCATAATATTTCATGCTTCATGCTTTTAATACTAAACATTTTCTAAAAAAATATTTTTTACGGAAAATCTTGTTGCTTTTGTTTTTATTTTAGTGAAAGCTATCTTAGAATTTTTTCATTCAATCAAAAGAAATAAAAAATTAATTGAAAATTTTGCCTTTTTGCAACTAAATTAAATAATGAAAAACAGTATAAGGACTAATTTCAGGGACGATCATTGGTTCGTTCCAAGCATGCATTTGCCTCTTCGTCTCTTGCATTCTACCGTAACTTCAAGCGCAAAACAAAGTAAGGATTTACAATAATTTTATAATTTTATCAAAAAGTTTTGTATTTTTTAGTTGTTTATCTTGTTTGTTGTATGTTGTAAATAGATTCTTATTTATTTGTTTTTTGCCTTAGAAATCTTTTATTTTTGCAATTTTTGCAATTAATAAGTTGTTCATTTACAGGTGTTAATTCGTATTCAACACTGCAGACGAATGAAAAAGCAAATAACGTTAAGATATCGCAGAATTCTAGCGAAGATCAGAGTTATATAAAGGTGTGTGAAAAGTTTTTAAGTTCATACTTTACCTCTAATATTATGCCTAATATTATTGAAAGTGGTTTTGAGGTAAATTTTATTGTATATTTGTTTGTTTTAGTGTAGCATTGGAAAAGAGCAACTGGATTCGACGATACTCTTACCAAGAAAACATGAAGCATATAGCGACTCCGATTTCAATAATATTAGGCATTTATGTGTATTATCGTTGGAAATTTTCGCGCCTGTTCGGCCTGAGATGCCAGTTCCTGATCCTCGCTTTGATCCGGTAAAAATTCCTGAACCATGTTTATAACTTTGTTTTAAGCTTTGTTTAAGTTAAGTTAAATTCTTGTTGATAGCTCATCATATTTCAGGTTATTGCTATTTTTTATTGTGTTTCAACTAATATATCCTCCAATAGTGAATATTTTGATGAAAAAGGTGCATTTGTAAATTTTGAATTTCAATTGCCATACCATAGTTTCTCTACCGCAAATATACAGTCGTTCATGAGTGAAAATGATTTGTTCGATGCAATTTTATCAGTTTTCAAAAGGTTTGCAGCAATGATAATAATGAAGGATCGTAAAATTATTTTTAGATTATATTTCATAGCAATACTTAATTTTACTTTTAATCAATGAGAAATATCGAATCCTCAATAATTTTGATAGAGTTTGACAGTCAAATAGGAAATTGAGTATTTCTTAGACAGATTTCGTGAAAAATTTTGGTGCAAATGCTTGTTAACATTTATAAATATAATATATCAGTTGATATAATGTTAAATATAGTAATTATCTATTGTGAAATTTGATGTAAATGTTAAGATCAGATGAAGCAAATGTTGGATTCAAACTAATGGAACAAAAATTAATTTAATTTCTCTTAAATTTTTCTTATTTTCCTTTCATTTTTTGTCATTTTGCTAACTTTTAAACCGACACAGATTCGATCCAGACATTATTGTTGGTTATAATACTCAGCGTTATTCCTGGAGTTATTTAGTTGAACGAGCTGCAAATGCTGGACGAAATCTTCTTTCTGAGCTGTCTAGATATCGAGTTGGTTAGTTCTTTTTTGTTAGTTCATCGTAAAGTCCTTGAAATTGAAAAAGCACCTGCAGATATATGGAATGGATTTGTAATTTTGTAGTTGATAGTTAGCCATTTTTGTCATTACTATGTTACGGATGCAAGGAATAGATTCTATTTGTACAAATTGTTTAAATTAATATTTTAGCTTTATCAGATTATTTTTGTGATGAACGACAATTAATTATCCGAGATTTATTTCCTCGAGGGCGTATTTTAATCAATATTTGGCGAATTCTTCGATCAGAACTTCCTTTAAGGTTTGCGATATCACCTTATTTGTTGAATTCGTTACAATCAAATACTTTATAAAAATTATCACTCGGCTTTAGTAAAAAAAAAGTTTTTAAAATATATCACTTCTTAGTTACAGCTTTTATAATTTGAGATCGTATTGCCTTTCCAATGTGATTCATCATGTACTTGGTCGACGTTTTCCCATGTATTCATTTCAAATTTTGACTCAGTGGATCCTTTCTTATGATTGCTATCTAAGGTTTAATTTTTTAAATTTTTTTAAATGATAATTGTTCATTCAATTTTGAAAATTTCGGGACAATGAAATATGAAAGGATGTCTATGTCTATTTTTCAGTGACCTCTTCATACGGCATTTTCTTACACGAACTTGTTTGAATTTAAGTTTGTTATGCCATTTGAATTTTTTCACGCGAACCGCTGAAATGGCTCGTGTATATGGGATTCAGGTTGCATCAATTAGTTTATTATTTAATATACATTGGAAAAATTTTTTCGTCCATTTAGACTGGTATTTCATATTGTATCACTGTTTCTTATAAATCACTTTTTCTTATCCATGTCACCTTTTTAATTCGAGATTTCGAAATTTATTTTAAAATTTTTTCAAAATTTTATTCTATCATTCATAATGCGTTTGAATTATTATGTGTTATTTATTTAATATAGTTTAGTTTATCGAAGTGCTTTCAAGAGGGTCGCAATTCAGAGTTGAATCAATGCTTCTTCGGCTTGCTCGAATACAAAATTTCGTTGCTGCTAGTGTGAGTCCTGCCCAAAGAGATTCGTTAGTTTGCATCAAATATTGCATAATCGATATTTTTTCGATTTATAGCGATGAATTATTTCATGAAAAAATTTATAACTAAATTATTCATTAAATATTTTTTTTGCATATTTTTGCTCGCCATCTTACCCAATTTTTTTTGGATTTCAATAATTTCCAGCATGTGTGCAACAGAAACTTTGCCTTTAACGATGGAACCGCAGTCGGGTTTATACAGAGATCCTGTTATCGTTTTGGATTTCCAGTCGCTCTATCCATCTATAATAATTGCGTATAATTATTGTTTTACAACTTGCTTGGGCAAGTTTTCATCCATCAAAAATTGTTTTCAAAATCGATCCAATCAATCTTCTGAAAGAATTATTCTTGGTGGTCTGCCTTATTTTCTTCCCGTTAGTTGCAAAAATGTTATGTAGACCTTATTGTTTCTGAAAGAATAAAGAGTTTTTTAGGAAATTTATAGGATTAAACTTAAAAATTAAAATTAAAATAGGAAGTGGTCCTTCAAATTAATGATTTATTATCAGCCTTTTGTCTGATTGCAGGTTGATGAACTAAAATTAATGCTTACAAGAAATGAAATACATATTTCACCAGTTGGTGGTATTTTTTGCAAGAAATCTGTTCGTAGAGGTATTTTATTCGCTTTCCTATAAGTTTAGGGCAATTGGTTATCTAGCCTATATTACTTTTGCTAATTTTCGCTATCTATGTGATCTATTTTTCTCAAAATTTCTTTATTGTTTTTCCTGAAAAAAACTGTAATAATTTCTGAAAAGTCAAAGAAGTTGTTGTCTGCAAGTTTATATTCCTCTTTCATATTAAAATTTGGTTACTATTGTTTTATGTAATTTATAGGATTGCTGCCCATAATGTTAGAAGAAGTTCTTAATACAAGGATTATGGTTAAGAAAGCTTGTAAAACTTACTGCAATGATAAGGTTCACTTGCTGATATTTGCTCAAATTCGAATGAAAATAATATTGATGTCATTTCCAGTTGGTTTTAGCTTCATCAAATTTCAGTATCTTTCTCGAATATTACACGCTCGTCAACTTATTTTGAAATTAATTTCTAATGTAACCTATGGATATTCAGCAGCAAATTGGAGTGGCCGAATGCCTTGTGTTGAGGTTGCCGACGCAATTGTTAGCAAGGTTATCTCTTAATTTTTTCATAATTTCATATTTTGTTTGTATTTTTTTGTATTTTGTATTTTTTTGCTCAAGATAAAATTTGCTTCTTTTATTGTTGATTTTTTGTATTTCAAGGGTAGGGAAGCTCTTGAAAGGGCCATATCTACGGTCAACAATGGAAATTATTGTGGTGCACGTGTTATTTATGGTGATACTGATAGCATATTTGTTCTTTGTCCTGGTATCTTTTTTTAACATTAATATTAAAATTTTTTCACTTATTCTTCTGAAGTTTATTCGTAAAAGAAGTCTATACAGTCAACAAAGTAAGATTCTTAAAAACTTTCAAATATTGTAATTTTGCTATAAATTGTGCTAACATTCTTAATTTCGATTTCTTTTACGAATATCTTTATCAGTCTTCTTATTGAAATTTTGTGTCTTCACATATTTCATTCTTTTATTTTTGCTTGTTGAATGATGAACGATGTTTATATCAATTTATTGAATTCAAGGAGCGACACGAGAAAAAGCTTTTGAGATTGGAGAGAAAATTGCTGCTGATGTAACAAATTCAAATCCAACACCTATAAAATTGAAACTGGAAAAAATAATGCATCCATTAATATTGGAAACGAAAAAGCGATATGTTGGGATGAGCTTTGAAAAAAGTACAGATGAAGAAGGTGTCTTTGATGCCAAAGGTATCGAAACCGTACGACGCGATTCTTGTCCTTTTGTTTCCAGGGTTTTCAAATTTTTTGCTATTTTACTAAACATTTATTATTTTTTATGTCATTTTTTTTGAAATAGCTTTAGATTTTTCGATTTTTTAATTTTTATTTCGGAGAATTTGAAGCAATATAATTTTATTTTAAATCGTTATTTCATTTTAAATTGTTTATCTTGTTTTTTTTTCAAAACTTTTCATTTTTACAATTATTTTTAGGTGTTGGAAAAAGCATTGCGGTTATTGTTTGCCAACAACATGGGTGCAATGGTTCGATATCTTGATATGGAATTTTCAAATCTTGACAAATTGAATATATCAGATTTTGTTTTCGCACGCGAATATCATCATCATTATTCACCAAATGCTGTTGTTGCTGCCAAACGTATCGCTGAGTAAATTCTCATTTTTATAATTTTTTGCATTATATTTTATCTCCATAGTAAAATTTTATAGTATGATGTTCGATGCATAGTAAAATTTTTTTATTCATTATTAATATTTCGATCCAATCTTTATTATAATTTAACGTTTTGACAAGTTTTTTTATTTAATTTTTTCAATTTTTTTTAGGAAGCGAAAAGCTATTTGTCTTCGATATGAACCTGAAGCAGGTGAAAGAGTACCTTATGTCATTATTGCAGGGCCACCTAAAAGTTCAGTAATATCATGTGTTCGTGAATTGCAGGATTTTTTATCAAATAAACATTTGCTTCTAAATTATGAGTATTATATGCAGAGGCATATGTTACCTGCATTAAATAGAATGTTACAACATGTACCAATGCGACTTGAATGGCGAATGTCGTCAGTGAATGTGTGTCTCAGGTTTATGTTCCTTTTTTGTTGTTTTGTTTGCATTTTTTCTTTTATTTTGACTTCTAATAAATGAGATACTACTGGTGCGAAATTATCAGATAATTTTATTCTGCATTTTATATTTTTTGTTTCTAGCGACATATATTTAATTTTTAGTTGTCGAGCTCTGGGTGCATTTCCATGGTGCACGCAATGCATTCGTCGTCCTGAAGCACTTTTGCCCACTGTTCTTGACTTATGTCGCGAACAAAGAAAATCTGCTATAATGGATAGACTTTGTCGACAATGCAATGGTACTGACAATCTTTTTATCATTTTATTGTCAATAGGTTCATTATTGGTCTTTACATTTCATTATATTTAATATTTAGGACTTCGTTCTGTGGATATCGAATATTCAAATTGCAAAAACATGACTTGCTTAGTAATGCAAAAACGTGTTAAAATGAAAAGATCTCATTTGGTGGAAGCAGTCTGCCAACACATTTGTTCGTCTGAAAGTGAATATCTTAAGTTTTACGAAAAATATCTTTAATTTTGCTTTATACTGCTTAAACATTTATTTTTTTTCTACTAAATTTCTCGAGATTTATAAACTGATAATTGTTGTGGGCCCATCGAATAATTAATGTTTTTCCGAAGTCAATTTTTAATTTAAGAATTTTTCTTTCCATAAAAAAAGATCAAGTCATTTCTGTGTATATAAAAAAAGTTATTTCTCATTAAGATTATTTTTAACCTCAAGGATTGAAGTTTCTGCACATCTTAGTTGTTTCTAACAATATCTTAGCGCTCTTTTGGATATTGTTTTACTGAATATTGATAAAGATCTCTGATATTGTTTCTAGAATCTTCAGAAGCTTTCTAGTTTAGGGATCACAGTTCCAAGTGCTTCAATTATCACTGGAATTACTTCGGCCTTCACTTTCTCTTCTTTCAGCCTCTGATATTTTCCTAACTTCTCTTATTCATTCTTTCTGACGTTCCCGTCGCTTGATATTGTTATATTAATCACCAGTGCTGATTTTTGATTCTTGTCTATTACCAAGATACCTGGTTGATTGGCCAATACTTGTTTATTTGTCCAGATGAGGTCCCATAGATTCTTTGCTTTATTATTTTCCACGATTTTCAGAGGGATCTTCCATCTGGTCTTAGGATGATCTAATCCTAATACTGAGATATTCATGTAGATAATACCAGTTACTTGGTTATTTCTTTCAATGTGTTGTTCCTATTTATATTTTACATTCTGCCACTATTTATTAGATATTCTGGAGCATTTTTATATCCAGAATCTTGCCTAATATGTTAGATTCTTCAGTGGATCTGATATGCCTGCTGTTGTTGCTTTGATCAATATCTCAGTGTTACCTTTCAGTCCAGCTTTTTCCACCCATTGATAGGATTTTTCATTGTAAGTTATCTCGGCTATCTGTCGATAATAACTCTTAAAAGATCTTGCTTTGCCATTGTACTTCCTCTGCTTAGTTTTGTAGATATTTCTTTTTCCCAGCAGCTCTCCTTTGGTCATACTTTGGTGCCATCTTGCTGAATGCTTTGGATTTAGTTCAAGACAGCGGCTTTCAAATCATTAAGCCTCACGCGCCTTCTTTCTGGATGGTATGCAGTCGTTGAATATTAGATTTGGGGTAGAAATTTCTATGCATTATGAGAAGTTCCCAGATCTTCACAGCCTCCATGTTTTCCTTTGTCCATTTTATTACGCTAGCTACCCGATGATTGGCACGGCGTACCTATTTATGGCATGGATTTTGTTCTTCCCATTGAGCTGGTTCTTATCTTTTGATGGCTTTTAGATGTTGTGGTTTTCCTTCTTCCTCAGCGTGATTACTATATGACTGTGGGTTACTAAGGTACTTATAGCTAGTCAATATGTCCATTATATATTCTGATGGCAGGTTCAGTTCATCAGTCATTACTATTTTTCCTCTCTTTGCTGCCATCCAACCACATTTCTTTAATCCATCAGTGTCCTTGCTACAGTCCCATATTATATGGATGAGCGTTCATTATAGCTTGGTATCATCCATATAGAGAAGATGGCTTACGATAGTCCCGCTCTTGAATTTATATTTATATTTATTTCTCTTGATTATCTAGCTAAAAAACGTTTAGACTTGTGCAAAATGGCAGCTGGGACAATGCAATGCCTTGATATATGCTGCACTTAATAGTCATTATGTTGAATTATATCCTTTTCAAGTATTGTTTTCCACAGTCCCTTTGAGTTCTTAATGAATGTCTTTAGGATCCTGTTTATTTTGCATAAAGCTAGATATTCATAGATCCATATGTAAGGTATGGAGTCAAGGGATTTCCTATAGTTCATGCAAGCTACAAGTAGATTGGCCTGGTGGGATTTTGGGTCCTGAGTGATTACTTTATTATGGATGATAGACGTGATGTTTGGAGTTTCTAGTTTTGTCCCAATGTCTTTTTGAATTGAACTTATGCACTGGTTCATGTGGTCATAAAGCTTGATGGCTATGATGCTTGACATGATTTTCCATATTGTGGAGAGGCAGATTATTGGCCGGCAGTTGTTTCCTTATAAGAGTCTTTCATGATCAAAATCGTCCTTGTGTTAGTCAGTCTGGGTAGAGCCTGTCACAGATAGCTGGTTGCTAGGCGTTCGTGAACCGCTGTTAGTCTTTTTTAACCAGTAGGTGTGGATTATATTCGCACCAGGTGCTGTCCAACATTTTGTATTTTTAAGTCGCTTTTAAATATGAGCACTTTTAATGTGAATTATTTTCACCCTTTACCCTTACCCTTATGAATTATTTTTTTTCTCCCATATTTGCTTCCAATATTGTATACTTATTATATTGTATACTTTCTGCTGCTGTTGATTTTGTTACCATATTATTGCACTGAATTTGAGAGTACAGCTTTGGATGGTTCTTGGATGGTTCTTTGGAGAACAGAGTATCTTTTTAGTTTCTGCTTCTCTAATGTGCTGCGAGCCTTTATTTAATCTTAAGTCTTCTAAATCCGGACTATTTTTAATCTTCAGACCTTTCTTTTTTCAGTTAGTAAGTTGAGTAATTTCTCTTTCCGCTCTGATTTTCTAGCCTTTTCTAGCCATGCATTGCTATTTTTCTTGATTTATGCCCTAGCATTTCCAGAATTACGGTGGCTGTGAATGTGGCTATATACCAATTCATTAGTTATAGGGCAGTAGGAATTATTGTGAGCATTCTATTTGTGTTATATAAGCACATTATCTAGCTGTATATCAGTAAGCCTCGATACTCGTTCTCGATGGTTAATTCATGATTTTTTGCCTAATGTGCAACGGAAATTTCCAGCTTCCCAGCTTATTACATGCAAATCTCTTCTTTCTTCTTCTTTCAGAACATTTTATGTCTGGATGTAGTGCAGAGTTGATCCATCTCCAGCCTCCTTTTGAGAGAGCAACTTTCTTTTTCTCTTTCTATGTTGAAGCGTTAAGCAGTTAGCTGTTTCTCAGTTAATTTAGGTCTTTTCTTCATCCATAGTTCCTTCAAATAATCCATTCACCTATTTTTCTATTATCCATTGTTCACCCAGGCGACGTGACTTATGATATGCGACAATCTCATATTTGAAGTAGAACAGGTAAACATCAAGAAGATTTTGGACCACAAAGAGCTCATAGGAAAAGTAGAAGCCTTTGGATGTCATTCGAACTAAATTGTTGTTACATTCCATATCAATATCAATCATTCTACTATATATGTGTACAGTAGAGTGACATCACACGCTTCATTTAGTTGAAAGTTGGTGAAAATTTATTCAGTGGTTCAGCAATGGAATGTTAACTGCCATCTAAGGAGCATTTGCTTTACAAATAATACCGCAACGGCAGCAACTGTGTCCAAAAGTAGATTTGAGGAAGCTTCAAGCGATTTTTGAGGCAATTTTTGGAAGTAGCGATTTCAATTTACAATTTAATTTACGAGATCTACTTGACCTTCAAAAATTGATAAAGATGAATTTTGCATCCCACTGTCGAAGCTGATCAAAAACAAACTGGATAAAATCACTTAAAAAAAGGTTATTATAGGCAAAAACAATAATCTATCGTCTTTATGGGTAAATCAAACATGTTTGAGTTCCGCATCATCTTACCGAAATGCTCCCTTCAGCGATTGTTAATATGATGCTTTTCTTTCTAAAATTGCATTGCCATTTACTGCAACAACTCAAACCTATAAGCCTACAAGAACAAATTTCATAGAAATCATCTGCAGTAGTTACGATAAAAAATTTTTTTTTCGGCGAAATGGTAAAAGGAATTTGCGTGAGAAGTTCTATCTCATCCACCTTATAATTCTGATAAGCCTCTATAACCCTTCCGATTCTCATGTGAAAAAATCTCATTCTTCTAGTGGTATTTGGATAAATTTTTTCTTAATTTATTCTTGAAAATCGACCAAGCATGGCGGTAAGCGCCATGTGTTTACATTAATAACAGCAGTCAAAATATGAAATAATAAAGATTAATGATAAAAAAAGAAAATAATTGACAAAAATGAATAAAGAGGAAATAAATTAAAAAATAGTACGATTCGAAGTGAATACATTATCATACATTACTGAATGGTAAAAATCAAGATTTCAAACGTCCTGCGTGATGAAGTTTTAAAATAATGTCATAAATCATATCTTTTTTTAAAAATAGCTGAGGATGACGCTAGACTCATCGTTCGGTAGTTTATTTCAGTAATTAATAATACGAATGAAAAAATCAGAGTCCTTAGTTTAGTTTTACATATAGGTTTTAGTAACTTTAGCCTATTAGCTCTTTTTGGGTTCAACTTTAACCTAAAATTATAATATTTGGAATAATTTGACATTACCATACAGAATTTTGTAAGTACAAATTAAATCTTACTTAATTCGAAGAATTCAGTTGATTTGCAGCATCTAGGGGAAGAGTAGGCCGTACTTTAATCAAACAACAGGCCTAATGTGCATTAATAATAAGGAATAATATTAATAATGTTAATTAGTATAATAATATTAAACTCATTAATATTAATATTAAATATTAATATTAACATTAATATTATTGAGTTATATTTTTAACGAACGAAAACAAAATTTAGTATTCTTGAGGATTTCTTTACTTCTGCAGTGAAGGTTTAAGTCAAGATTTTCATCGATGATTATGCTAAAATCGGAAATTTGTGAGACTCGTCTGATTATGATTATTATATTACCATTAATAAAAAGATTAGTAAGGTCGAATCCTTTTGGAATATATAAGATGCTACACTTTTAAGAAGAAAGTAATTTGCCTGTCATATAGCCAATTGACAATTCTATTGAGGTCATCCTATAGTGGAAACAGCTTATCTGATCTATCATGAGAACAATGAATTTTATGACCATCAGCATAAAGATAAATAATAGAATTTAGTACTATTTTAATGATATCATTAATATATAATAAAAAAATCAGTGGCGCAACACAAACCTTAAAGGATGCTGATGTAACAGGTTTCATGTCAGAAAGAATGTTATTAAAACTTATAGCGTTGTGACGATCTTTTGTATAATTTGACATACAGGTCCCCTGTAATGCGATGATTATTAAGGGTGACGAACAACTTTCTATGGGAAACAGTGTCAAAAGCTTTGGCCAAATCTAAGAACGTCTGATGTTGTTTTCCCATTATCAACTGACACTGACCAATCGGAAAGATTTGCCAATATTTGAAAAAGAAGTGGATTTTTTTTCACAAAAGCCATACTGATAGGTTGAAATTGAATTATTGGCATGATGCGCAGATAAATAAGCAACTTGTTGCAAATAAACCATTCCAGTTCTTTGCTACTAATGTATGTTTGTAATTAGAAGGATCACAGGTGCTTTTCGGAAATTTATAAAATTTTATAGTGGGAATATTCATTTCGTTCGATTTAATAAAATTATTTAGCTTTTTCTTCTGAGATAAATTTTAAAAAATGCTTTTATTCTTATTAAAAACAACAAAATATGTTAAATCCAAGAAGGCTTTTGCAAAAAAAGTCCTAGTTAGTTTTAAGTGGAAAAAGTTAGAAACGATGCTGATTGTATAAATCACTAACTTACACGAGAAATTTTCTTAATATTCTTGATATATTAATTCTTGATAATTCTTGATCAAAATGAAAATACATTATTTATATCCACGATCCTGACATTATTTATATCCACGATCCTGACATTATTTGTATCCACGATCCTGACATTATTTATATCCACGATCCTGACATTATTTATATCCACGATCCTGTTACAATGAATCTAGATATGATGAAAATCTCATTTCGAAAAAATTCCAAAGTCTCGCTTGGTCCATAATCATAGTGTTCAAGAAATCTCGCTATAACAAAGCAACGCCTTCATTACAATGAAAATCCATATTAAGGAGGTCTGTTTGTTGCAATGCAATCAGCAACCACAAAGATTGACCACATCATTGGAAAGTCTATCAAATCATGGTTTTTCAACAAACTTTGCCAGCAAATGCAAAGCAATCAGTCAAGTTCGAATGATCAGTCACATTTTCGGAAAGTGCCTGCAACTCGGCAAATCTAGAAATGAAAAGCTTATCGACAACTGTATTTATTTATCATATTTAGATGTCGAATATCATTTTCCCAATATTAAAGCAAGGCTTAGCAGTAAGCTATTGCTTCATGCTCATTCTTGTCGTGGAATCGTTTGTGATGTGAAGTCCACTATCGAAAGATAATTCCGAGTAAATACTGCCAATATAATATGGTCTCTGAACACGGCGAGAAAATTAACACCAATAATTGGTCAAGATTGTGAGGCTTAGGGGATGAGTTATCGCTCAGTTCGCGGCGTCGACGATGAGGTTCTACTCCCCGCAATATGCTGCAGAAGTAAACCCTTCCGTAAATTCGTATGATGGTAGCGACTCTTCTGTCGCCAAAGGATTCACTGGCATGTTTCCCTAGTGCGATAAGCCAGTGGAACAAGTTTGACCAGTAATGGTGATGTCTGCTCTTAAAAAAATTGAAACGATTGCAGGGGAATGCGCGCTCCGATGAAAAAGAGCACCATTTTTAAATAGAAAAATGACATTCACTTCTCCCTTCCCGATACCGATATTGACAGGGATTTATGCAATTTCAATATCCTGCCGCCACCGATCTTTAAATTCCAACCTACTATGTGTTATATATGAATAAAAAGTTCGAATACCACTTTCGAATAATTTATGGATATATGCGGGAAAACCCTGCTGAAACTAAGAAAAAAAAAGCGAGACACCACACGCAAATAAGTAACAATTTCGATTCGATTCAAAAAGCCTTCATCTTTTAGGTCACTTATACTGTTTTGAAGAATTTTAAACCTTAATATTAATTATTAATAAGTATTAAAAATTTATGGATTTAAAATTTTAAAATTTATGGTCTAATCCGTGATTTTTACGCCATTCTTATTATTAATCTGAAATAATACACCATCCATAATATTATATATCAATAATATTATATATAAAACTTTATAATATTAACTTTTGCTGTGTTATATTGCAGCGCTAGTTAATCTGTTAACCAGTATTTTTTAATAATAAAATTAATAATATTTAAAATTTAATAAAATTAATAAAATTAATAAATTTTAATAAAATTTAATAAAATTTAATAAAATTAATAAAATTATAAAATTTAATAAAATTTAAAATAAAATAAAATAATAAAAATAAAATTAATAAAATAATAATAAATAAAATAAAATTTTAATAAAATTTTTCATTTTCATGAAACATGATCGACATATTTCCTTCTTTGTTCGAAATTCATTTTCGACATTTGCAGTATAAAAATTCTTACCGATTCATTCTTTACAATTCATTCTTACCGATTCAAATCTTTTTTTAAATCAAAAAACTTGCAGTATATTATATGACAATATTTTTACTTCAAGACTAAAATACAAATAAAACTACGGAAGAAAACGAAAAATTCCAAAACTAAACTAAACTGCGCCAGAACACTTAAGTGAAAAAGAATTGAAAAATTGAAAAATATGACAAATCGGACGACATAAGATTATGGATGTAATTGATTAAAGAAGATTGTTAGAAGGAAGAAGATCACCAAATTCTCTATTACAGATCTAGATGAAAGGTGTAGGTGGATTTCCAAGAGCTTCGCGCTTTGCCGCTAATCTTTCCATTTCAGCTTCGACCTAAAATATACTTTATTTAGTATAATGATCTTAAAAATATATAAAGCAAGTAAATGAATTAAATATAACGCTTATTCACGCGACCAGCAAAAAATAAAAACCTCCATATACGAAAATAAATCCATAAACAATAAAAAAAATAGAGGAAAACTTAGGAAAACTTTAAAGAAAATTAAAAAATTAAACTGTGGAATATTTTCATGGCAGCATCGATAAAATTTCATTCATTAGAGCACAAAATAATCAATTCGCCGTGAATTTCAAATTACCTCTGGATTTAGCTTGATAACTGGATGGGGACGAAGATTATCTAAATTAAGAAGAACATATGTAGGATATGAAAGCATAACGGTTGCGGTTGCTAAAAAAACGAAAATTCGCTCCTGAAATATGAGAAAAAAAATTTAGTTTTCCACTTCTTTTTATTTTCTTAATAATTCAGTGAAAAATCAATGAAACTTTAAATATAGCAAATATAGCAAAATACAGCAAAAACATTATATTTTCACTAAATGACCTTAAAAAAAAACATACTGGAACACTATAAAAGCGTAGTGGTGGTGCACAATCAACACCTTTATGTACCAATCGTTTGCTCGCTTGCGAAAAGAAAGACAGTGATTTCGGCCGAAATGCAGCGAACATTTCAATTATCTAAAGATTGAAAATAAAATATTATTTAAAACATGAGAAAATTCCTAAACAAACGTGAATCGAAAAAAAATAATTTCGTATTTCAATAATATTTTTTATAATAATATTTTCCCAAAAAATTACTAGACGGAAAAGTATTTAATGAATTTTAAATAAAAACTAAAAAAAGATAAATAATAAAATAAATAAACGAAGTAAAAAAAAGAAGGGATCTCTGAAATCGTGGAAAATACACTTACCAAAATTATTTCAAAAAAGGAAAATAAAAAAACAAATACAACTAATAAAACTAACAACTAACAAATTTCTCAAATCCCATTATTTTTCATTATCAAAATATTATACAAAAAATTACAAAATATTGAAAGTTAAAAATGATTCCAGAACTAGCAAAGAAACTTTCAATAAAGTGGCGTATCGATAGAAATCTTAAGAGAATATCATGTGCATTAACAAATTTGTAGCTGAAATTATCCATAATTTGAAAAAAGAATTTCATTCAAAAATTGCCAAGAAAATTGCTGGAATGTTTGAAAAAATGAAGAAAAATAAAATAAATGAATAATTTTTGATAAACTTATCCAAATTTAATTTTTTATCGATAAAAAATTTAAAAGAAATTGCATTGCACAACCTTTTCAAAATCACCCATCAATTTTTTTCGCAATTCACCTATGATTTTTTAGATTTAATATTAGTAACTGGTGATTTATTTATTTGCGTTAAAAGTACCAGAAATGACACTAAATCTCAATAATCTTTCTTATAACTGTAAGATTTACACCCATTTTTAAGAAGGCAATCAAGCAGGCATGTTGCATTTTTTTTCTAAAAGGCTCTTACCATTATTGATTAGGCTGACTGCGCTAGCTACAAAGGATGATATTTCCAAGATACGCGATCTGTTGCTATCGCTGGTAGTAAAAGAAGCCAATCCTTTTTTCCATTGTCTAAGTCCATATATCGCTGGTCCCTCTATACGTTCAAGATCTTTTCTGACAGTATCAGACCACGTCTTGATTGGCGCTTCTCGCTTTTGATGCCAACCATCACAAGATTCGGCAAATAGCAAAATATACGTCAACTTCTATGGTAGGTGAAGAAGAACCTTCCCTAGCCAACGAAGGAGACCCTATTTGATGGTAATATTAATGAAGGTGGATGCGATGATGTAAAATTTTATCCTCGGCGAACTCGTAAAATGTATTGTAAATGTATGAGTGGAGAAAAACAGATAACTTCTCAACATCCTCCACTCTCACTGCCATGTCTCGCAGCCATTATAGCAAGATCAAACGAATCGCGGCTATATAGACTCGGACTTTCGTTTTTACGGTGATTTAGCGACAGCTCAATAAAGGTTTCGTCCATCGGAAGTATGCATTTCTAGCTATCGTTATCGAGAATGCAATTTTGTCTTTTGCCTGGCCATTCGGGATTAAAATGGATCCGAGGTATTTAAAGTCAGGCATTTCCTCAACTGGCAATAAATTTTAAAAAATAGGTATTTTATTAGCTGTCATCTTCCTGTATATAAGACGAAAAGGCTTATACCATTCTATTTATATTGATCCTGAGTTCGATCCTTTTTGTCCTAGCATTATTAGCATTTCACCATAACTGTCGGAAAAAAGGAATGCATTAACGTATTCAAAATCTATGATATTCTGCTCTGGACTAATATATACACTTCTTGAGTGCCGACAAGCGATTATCCAGTCTATAGTTAATAGTTAAATACTGCAGGGAAAAGGACGCAGCCTTGACGAACAATAAGTTATTTCGAAGAAATCTGTCAGTTCCCCATATACGCAGAAATATGCCGACGTACGCTAATAAAAAGACGTGTTGATTAAGGCCAAGTACCATTTCGATTCTTATACCCAATCAAGAGCAAGTTTATCGCCAAAACAAAAAGTATTGGAGGCTCAATCCATATGGACTTGCGCTGGTGTTTCACACTTCTGTCAATCCCAACGAAACCAAGGAGTCAGTGGAAACTTATGCTTCTATGCTTGAGTGATTTTTTTCCTAATAGTCAAAAGAGCCAGTCAAACCACAAACGATATTTTCTTAAAAGAATTTATTCTCATCCGTAATTTTACCCGTCTCTCATCCACTAACGAGAATTTTTCTTCGATGTAAGGATCTAAAGATCTAAGGCAAGGATCTAAGCGCAACTAAGAGTTATCGAATATCGATTTTTTTCATAAAAAGTCAAAAGTCATATAATTTAAAAAGAGGCGAAAAAACAACATAATTTCGTTCGATGTTTCAAATTCATTTCGACTGACCCTTAATTTTTGCGCTTATTTTATTTCACATAATTGTTTTAAATTATTCCTTAAATAATAAACTAAATATAAAAATTATCGATTATTATTAATCAATAAAAAAGAAAAAACTGATAAATTTAAAAAAATATTATAAAACATTATTTGAAAAAAGAAAATCTTTGAGCAAATAGAGGAAAAATTTTTAAATTTACGAAATACGTAAATATTATTTCAATAATTTAAAGGAAAAAGACCGGAAAAAAAGAAAAAACAAACCGACTATTAAAACTGTGTAAAAACACAAATGGCAAATAAACTTGAATCGATAAAAAATCTGAACCGTGACGCGCCGCACAAAACACCGCCCACAACTCTCGTCATTTAGGGGGCTATGCTAACTGAAATAAATTCTTTTGATTCCTTTATGAGACAATTTATTCCATTCCATTTTGCATTTATTTAATATAATATTAATTATATTATATCATATTAGTTTACATATCAGTTCTGTCGTAAAGACTAACGGAAAAAAAGCACACTGCCATTGCTCCTAAGGTTCAATCCATATGGATTTGCGCTGGTGACTCACGTCAATCTCAACGAAGCCAAGGAGTCAGTGGAAACAAAGTAACTGGAAAATTAGAAGGAATATGGCTGCATGACAGAAGAAAACGCCATCGGGTGAACTTTTTTAAAAAATTCTAAAAGTGGATTTAAAAAATAATAGACCGGGAAGGCATCGATAAGGTGGAAATTCCCGAGCAAATACTCCTAAAAAGCAGAAAACATTGGTAAAATATTTATTCGATTCAAAAAAATATTTCGAAATTAATTTTTATAGAATGATGAATGTGGCAAATAAAATAAAAATAATGAAGCGAATAATTTAAAAAATTTATACGCTAATTATTTTATGGAAAAACATTAACTTTCATGCAAGTTAACTGCCATCACCGTTTCTCAGACAAAGAAAATTTAAATTTTGCAGACCAAAAGCTAAGTCTTAATTTTACAGTAAGGAAGAGTTAGCTCGCATCATTTCTGGCTAGAACAGCTCCGTTGCTCCATTAATGCGGTAGCCAATAAAAGAGATAGGTCATCAGCAGCACACGAACTTTATCGACCTTCTAGGCGATCTCCTCTCTGCTCCTCGTTTCCAAGCCTATTTATACCAAGATCAACTAAATTTTGAATTATTGTTCCAAATAAATTCTCACAAGATTGGCCATTTCATTTGAGCCTATACACCAGATGGAACACATAATTTGTGGATCTTATGGATACAGTAACTTATGGAAAAAAGCGGCCAACTTACATGGACTCACGAAAACTTCGGTTTTGCTTATGTCGGTTTTTTCTCAGTTATGCTCCGCCCATCCACAAATTTAGCACTGTGACAAACATTTTCGTTTAAAAAAATCATTGTTTTTGCTAAATAGAAATTAACTTTATACATTATTTTTTTGTGGTGATCTGATTTGGTTATGCCTTGTTTTTGCGAGGGAGAGGATCTCAATAGTTTGGGGTCCTTGAACGAACCAGGCATTTTTATTAATTGAAGGGATCAACTGACTTCAAACTGATTGCAGTGTAGGTCATGAGTCTGGTGATGAACTCTCCTACTGAAAGCGTAATAGCTTTGATGCTGAGGAAGGACTCATCGTACTTTTATCTCTGAAATGATTTTCTGACGAAGCGGATTCAACAGTCAATGGAACCAACCAAATCAAAAATTGCGAACGCTGTTGCAAAAAAACGAGAGAGACTGAATAAATTAATCTGAGATGTGTTTATAAATCGAAGAAATTTCTTCCTTAAGTATAAAATCCACAAATCCGTCAGAAAAGAGTAGTTGTTAAGAAAAGTTAGTACATTTCTTAATAACTTCGCTTCTTCCGTTTTAACCAAGATTTTTTCTTTATTTTTTGCTAGTCTTGCTAATTACTAATTGTAAGCAGTTTTTAGTGCTTAGCTCTGCTTGATTGTTTTCTTAATAAATAAAGATAATAGTTCGTAATATTTTATTAAGGAATTGTTTTCAGGATTTATCTGATTTTCTTGAATCGAGCGTAAAATTTTCATTCGTTTATTAAAAATTTTTTTCTGATGAATTTTTAAAAATTAATTTTCTTCTAAAAATTTTTTCTTCAAGTTTTTATTTTCAAATTTTCAGATTTATGGATTAAATAAAAAATCCCGAAACATCGATTCAAATATTTTATGTCGAATGTCGTTTAATAAAATTATATACTCCAAAGTGAGTGAAAACACTTTTTTCTACTTATGGGTAAAATTATAGGTTATATCTTCTTTCGTTAAATTTTGCTATCTTTTGAAATTGTATAATTTATGACCTTCAAAGGAGTAGTCTAGGTGCGGATTTGATGGAGCATTTTATTGATTTTTGCGCTATTTTCGATTCGATAGTAGAGAGGTACTTTGCAGAGTGATGCAATGCTCCAGAGAATATCATTTCATCAACAAGTATGCATGAGGAATTGATAAATCCTTTCGAAAGGAGAAAAACGAGAAGAGTATTATATACAGAGTATCGCCAGATTAATTGATTATCCACGAATGTTTATGCGGGTGATTCTGTGGCGAAGAGATCTCTTCGTAGTCAATGAAAAGCAGAAATCGAAATAAAAAGTATTACAATCGACGGTGGTAAGCTATAGTGGTCTAAGAAGATTGGCCAAGTTGTGGTGCTGGTAAAATTTTATTTTTTTATAAGTTTGAATTTCATTCATTATGCGATGATAAGAGGTCGCATGTTTGTGTCTTCTTTCTGTGCTTTCCTTCGTTCTTCTTAAGCCTTATCCGAATTTTTTATATCCAAATGTAATTTTATACGTCCATGAATTTTTTACATAAAAATTATTAATATTATATTCGATTAAGGTTAATTTTTAATAATAAAAATAATTTTCCAAGATTTTTTTGATTTATTAATGCAAAACTTAAAATATTTCTTATTCTTATAATCATTTTTTGTTTCGATATTTAGAATAGTTTATGGCACTTCTGCAAATTGCTATACCAGATATCAATGCTGATATAGTAAATTGCCTTGTCGACATTACCCTTTCAATTTTCTTTACAAGTGGTTGTGCCCAAAGGAAATTTAACCAATTTAGGGCCTCGCTTTTTATATCGCATAGGGCTTGGTAGTTATTTGGTTGAACAATACGGTTATTACGTTAAGCATATTTAGTAATTTAAAATTGATGCATTAAATTAAATTTATGAAAAAGCTTTAGTCTAATTATGTTTATTTTGTTTTTTTTCATATTGTTAGTTTTATTATTTAAATTTGTTTATTAAATTCATTTTATTCATTTTTAATAATTTTTTCCTCAGAATTTTAGATCGACCAAAAAGACTTAAAATGAACTGCAACAATTAAGCGGTACAAAAAAGCGCTGGCATCATTTTCATTTCTTTGGTAAACTGATTTCTAATTTTTTGAAATAAAATTTAGGAGAGGAGACAATCTGGTAAATTTATATTTCTCTTCCCTTTTTTATTTGCTTTTGCTTCGGGCGTTCCATTTCAGAGCTATTTTCGAGACTCACACAGAGAAAAAATTTTGTAAAAGTGAAAGGACAAATTTTATTCTTGGGCCAATATAAAAACACCAAGTATCGAACGTTTCATTAAGGATAGGAGTATAAAACTAAAATTTTATTAGGATTACAGGACTGGATATAATATAATTTTAAAAAAAATTTTTTATTCCAGAAAAGTCAACATTTGCATTTTTGCTCCATGATTTAAGCAAATATCTCTTGCTTTATCGGAAAATTACTGAGATGGAATATTTTTGAGCACTGGATTGTTTTGATTTCATGAACTAAATGAGATATCCTCTCATTTAATGACTGCCTCATTCATTCATGTATTTTTTTAAAGAGCATTCGCTATTATTGGTTAGACTCAATCCTTTGGCTTGTCACTAGACAAATATGTTAAGAAATCGGTTGGTGATAGGGCAACGATTTGCCTTAACATATTTGATAGGGAATGAATTTCAAATCTAATCGTTAAATAAATGAGCTAATTTTATCATACAGGTGAGAATCAACCAGCATCAACCGAATTTTTGGATAGGTTTATTACTTCCGGAAATAAAAAATTTCAGTATCAGCACAGTATCATATTGAGTAATGGCCCACTGAGCCATTCTATTCTTCTTTGCATTTTTCGTTTAGGCGAAAGTGCTGCCCGACGAACGGTGGTGCGTCGGCGGATTCCAAACCTTCGATTCTCGGTGGTAATTACCTTGCCAACGGGCCATTGATACACCAACATTCATTCATGAATGTCTCTAATTTATCATGTAATGTTTTTTTCAATCATTTCTTCCACGAAAAATCATTGAATGTTTTGATATTCGATAAGCATTCTTAGAGTAAATTTTCGAATTATTGGAGAAAAAATGATTGTTCATTCATAAATAAACTTTATAAATTTAATAGCATAATAATATTAATAATATTAGATAGGCAATCAGTTCCAAGGTAATAATTTGCCGTAGTTTGCCTTGAGAATGAATTTCAAATCCTATGCCAGTTAAACCCCTTTATATTCTCTTGAAACCTCGGGCGGTCAAATAATCTTTCTATTATTCACAAAAACATTACTTGAATGTGGGCTTTTTGATTACAAGTTCGCGAGGAAAATCAACAAAATGATGGAAAATATTGCATGACGTCTTTATCTATATTTAACTGTAAATACAATTTGCCCAATATTGGACAAAGCATTTCGAAGTGTGATACAATATAAACAACAGGACACACATAGCAGCCAGAGAATTAAAGTATAAAGTATAATTGCATTGTACTGTCGAATATCTAAAATATTAAAAAATAAGTTCCTTCTTGAAAATTAATGTATAAAATTGAAAGCGGCTGGACGACTTATAACATGACCCAAAGTTGAGCCTCGCAGAATACTTTGTGCGAGAGATAAAATGGAAACGAAACAGTTCATAAGGTTTCGTTTCTACTAAGCCCCTCATTCTCCCTTTATTCCTTTTTCTCTAGTTATCATCTGTACATCCTCTTTAGTTTCTCCTGCGCTACAAGTGACGGGCACTTCGTTCGCGGACACACCATTCATTCCACAAGTGAATTGCCCTCTTGATGGCAAACTCAGGATTCAAGCGATGCCTCATGCACAGTCAAAGCGACACACCTTTGCCAACAACCTACTTTCTTACCTATTATCCCCGACCGTGCAGTCTCTTTCCATTTCTGCCCTATTCCAACATTTCAGTCCCTCTATTTGTTACATTTAACTACTGTCGTCTTTCCGTATTATTGCCCAGGCTCAACAACATTTCGTTCTGCGTTGTGCGTAGCAGAAACAAGACTGCAGTTCTTGAAAATTTCTAATTGTCGGTCGAGTTTGCGTTTTTTTATGGAATTAATGGCTATTGCTGAGAATATGAAGGAAAGCGAGTGGGTGGCCAAATATGTGTAGCAAGGAGGGTCGTTCGCGAATTGTCGATAAATTCTTTTAAGGTTTTCGGATTGTATTTGCAAGGTGGACGAATATGTTCCATTATTATGTTTAACATACTTTGTGAAAAAATAGTAATTAGTTAATTTATTTCTATAAGTTTCGGAAATTCGTCATTTTAATTATTCAGAATGTATTATTGGGGAGAATTTATTTTTATTAAATCATTTCGATTGATCGAAATTTACCTTTCGAAAGTAATAAATTCCGGACAGAAATTTATTTGTAAATTTTTTTATTTTACAAATATTTTTTTTGTATTATTTGATTATCGATTTAATGAAATTTTATTTTTCTTTCAGTTTTCTTCTTTCTGATTTCTATTTATTTATTAATGTTTTTATTACAGTGGAATTGTGGTTTGCAGTTTAGACAGATTATTTCCCACTTAAATTTCCCACTTTATTGTAATATTGACGAGAAGCGAGCGGAGGAGCGCGTTCGCTTTGTTATGGCAAACGCACCTTTTCGATTTCGGCATCCTTCCGGGTATTTTCTTTTTAGCTTTATGCGAGTGAGCTCGCTTACTACATCACTTAGCACTAACAATTTATTTATTAATGCCTGAAAGATGTTTGCAAGAAGATTTTGAGACACGCAAGATTAATAGTGGTGTGGGAAATAAGCGATGATGAGGAAGATCATAGAAAAGGAAGGGAGGAGTAGGATCAAATTAATTAGATAGGCATTTTCTCGCAAACAAAGTGTTAGGCAGGAGAATATATAATGTATTTTTTTTGAAAAAGTGAATAAATCCGCTTGATAAATTTCCTTATTAATTTTGTTTTAATAAGATTTTAAAATTAAAGTTTTTATTTTTCATTCTGAATTATTTTTTTAAATTTTAAGGAATTTTTTTTGAGAATCCTCACTATTACTGATTGAACTCGCTCCACTGGCTTGTCGCATTGGGCAGTATGCCAGGGAGTCCCTTGGCGATAGAAATACAGGCGAGTCTGCCAGCATCGCCTGGGTTTTTCTACAGGTTTATTCCTGCGGGAAATCGAACTTCAGCATCGGCGCTTTAATTGAGCAACAACCCACATTCTACCTCCAAAACTTTGAAGAATATTATTAGAGATCCGTTAAATTTCAGTTTGGATCCGAATGAAGATCCAGTGACTGGATTAGAGCGTTTAGCATCACAAACACAATTAGATGCGCTTTTCCGACGACGTCGACGGGAAGAATTAGAACGATTAATTGAAGAGCAGAGACGAGTACAACTCGAAATTCAAGAAGAAATCGCACTTTCATCTCATTACGAAAGTCTTGATTACGAAATTGTCGAGAATGAATTATATCGTACTCAAGAAAAAGAACCTGGTCATCAGGTTTGCATTTTCATTCATCACTAGCTCCTCTAGTTTTTTTTATATTTCCAACTTTCACTTAATAAATGTATGGGAAATATATGATGCAAATTGTTAGTGGGATTCATTGTCAGATTCTTCTAACATGGTTAGGCTGGTTCCACTGGCTACGAGGGTTTTCAAATTCTATGTGGTCTGATGGTATTGTCGACAGAAATAGAAGCTATTCCTTTCTTCTTCATCTAAGTCCATATATTGCTGACCCATCTATACGTTCAAATCTTTCTTTACCCTATCAATCTAGGTCTTGATTGGTTCACCTTGGTTTTGGCTCTACCCAACATAGAATTTAATAAGTAATGAAATATGCGCTAACTCTTGTATTGGACAAGAACGTGCCTTAACCAGCGAAGGCGATGCTCTGTTGTGTTAATGGAAGTGGTATTTAACGAAGGTAGATGAGATCATGGAAGATTATATCTATTCGGCGAACTCGTAAAATGTATTGTAGACATGAGTGGTCAAAGGCATAACTTCTTTACTTCTTATATCCTCCACTCTCATCGGGCATGTCTCGCAGCCAGATAGCAAGATTGAACGAATCGCGGTTATATAGATACTTTAGTTTTTATGGTGATCTCGCGATGGCTCTACAAAGGTTTCGTCGGCAGGACGAATTCATTTCTAGCTGCCGTTCGAGTTGAATTTCGTCTTTTGCTTGGCTTGTTCTATTCGGTATTAGAATGGATCTAGGGTATTTAAAATCGGACACTTCCTCAACTGGCAATGAATTTAGAAAAATATTTTATCAGCTTCTTGTATAAAAGAAAGGAATTATAAGATATAAGATAAGATAAGAAAATGTAAATTCTCTGGTCACAAAAGGCTGCGGGAAAAAAATAAACAATTCTGATTCTACATCTCGTCGGCGCTCCCCATTAAAAAAGTGTCAGATTTTTTAAATTTTTAGTTACGTAAAATTTAATTCGTTAATAAAGTTTTTTTTCCAATATGTATTAATATATTTTAAAAAAAATTATATTAAAATTGGTGAATTCATTACCTCATTATTTTTATTATGAAAAAATTTTATGATTTAGTGCGATTCATTTATTTCTTTTTGCGTACCTGGCATTTTAGCGTAGATTATTTCGTCAGTCGGTGAACCGCTGGGTTGTTTGTTTTTTTATTGGTTTATTTACTGCACTGGTAGCAGCCATGGTCGATATCTTGATACATTACAGTAATACTGTTAAATTCCAGTTAATAATTAAACATCGTTAGTTGTTTTTATATTTTGTATTTATGCGTTTTTTCTTTTTATTTGATATTAAAGTGATATTATTTTCCTTTATTTTCGCATTGCTTTTAAATATCGAATTCGGTAACATTACATTTCCTGTTTCTACATTCTACTTTTGTAATAAAAAATCCATCAAATTCACTGGAATAATTTTAATTTTTGCTTTTCTAAGCTTTTAATCACTTTAAAATAGGGCTATTCTGTTCCTATTATACGGATAAAGAAATAATCTATTTTCCTTAAATGATACGCAATATTCATAGTGGTTATAATTTCGAGTTCACATAAATTTTTTTGGCAGTTATTTATTTTCTTTTAAATTTTGTCAAATTTGTGCATTTTAAATTTTTCCTTTATTTTATTTTTTCAGCATATCATGAAAAATAAATGAAAAAACATTGAGTAAAAGAAAAATTTTTCTATTTGCGAAACATTTTCCTCGCATTTAAAATGTTGTTTTGATAATTGTTGACCTTTCAGTAAGTAAAAACTGTGAAAATGCTGGACAGAATGGCAAATGTTTTTTGAAAGTTGAAGCAGCGTGGATTTGTTATAATTGTATGCTAGTTGCAGTCTCTGCATTTCTCGTGTTGTATATATCTCCAGTAGCTGCTGGATCAGGTATTTTATTCATATAAATTAATTCAAACAATAATTAGATTAAGGTAGTTTATGATCATGAAGATACAAGATTTTCCATTTCCATCAGATTTTTTCTGTTTTTAGGAATACCTCAAGTGAAATGCTTTTTAAATGGGATACAAATACCGGGTGTTGTACGATTAAAAACTTTGATCGCCAAAGCTTTTGGAGTTGCTTGTACTGTGGGTGGTGGCCTTAGTGCAGGAAAGGTTTGAATACTTTTTAATACTTTATATAGTATCCTTTTAAGAATTTTGTTTCGGTCCTTTTTCAGGAAGGCCCAATGATCCATTCCGGATCAATCATCGCAGCTGGTATATCACAAGGAAGATGTATGTCATTTCCAGTGGACTTCCATATCTTCGAAGAATTTCGCAGTGATCGGTAATAATATCGCATTCTTGTTTTTTAATTTTTTTTAATTGATCCATTTTTTGTTTTTCATATACGGAAGAACTGAGTATTTATCTTTTGGTAACTCAAGAAATATTGAATATTGAAATATCGAGGATGTTAATCGAGAAAGATTGAATTAAGTTCAACATATGTAATTGTAGTGAGAAGCGTGATTTTGTTAGCGCAGGTGCAGCAGCAGGTGTTGCAGCCGCTTTTGGTGCCCCAATCGGTGGCGTATTGTTCAGTCTTGAAGAAGGTGCAAGTTTTTGGAATCAGAATCTTACATGGAGAATGGTTTGTTTATTTTGTTTGCTTTTCGATTTTTTCAAGATAAAAAATTGTTCCTTTAGTTTAGTTTGTAAACAAGAAAAATTTTAATTTTTTCTCCACTGATCCTTTTTTCAGTTTTTTGCCGCAATGATATCTTCTTTCACTCTTAATTTATCTCTCAGTATTTTTAATGGTGTTGGCGGATTTTTGTCCTGGAATGGGCTGGCAAATTTCGGCGTTTTTACGGTATCTTCGATTCATATTCTCATGCTTTTCCTATCTTTGCAATTTTCATTTGTTTGTAATTAAATGTTTATTGTATATATTAATTTTTATTGTATTTCTCTCATTTTTAAAAGCAAATAGCTTAACTTTCTTTAATATTCATTTTCTACTATGGTTCGGGATTTTTTTTCGTTGGTCAAACTTTTATCTTTGAAATATTTTCCATTTTAAATTAATTTTAAATCGTAAATTAAGTAATTTCTTATTGCTCTTTTAGAGCATTCACTGTTAAAATGCTGCGCTGAATTTGTTAACTTGTAGAATATAAATTATAATGTTTGGGAAATTCCAATATTTCTTTTGATTGGAGTTTTGGGAGGTCTGACTGGCGCACTTTTCAACTGCATCAATCTGAAATTATCGAAGTTCAGAAAAAGGTTGTAATTTTGAATTTAAAAAATTCTTTGAATTTTATCTAATGAATCTTTGAAAATTTTATCTAAATTTTCAATTTAAACGATTTATTGCTCATTTTTTAAATGTTAATTATGTGTTAAATGGTCCCTTATAATAGTCCCTGTTGAACACGATTATTTATTAGAAAAGTTCACGAGAAAAGCATATGATTTCTTTAATGCAATGTCTAAACTAAATGATATATTGGTGTAATTATGTAATAATAAATAATCTTTAAATGCGGAATTTAGAGTTTATATTTTGCCAATTGTTATTTTTTTGCTGTACTTTCGGTTCTAATTTCATAAAATCTTTAGATATTTGGCGAATAATTTCAGTAAATTTTTCGAATGTATTTTGGTAGCCTCTTTCTCAGCATGTGTTGGATTTACTACTCTTCGTCTGGTTGATGACTGTCAACCAATGGGTATAAATCCAAAATTGACCGCGGTGAATCGAGTTTGTTTTTTTTAAATTTTCTAAGATTGAATAAATTTCATTTGTTTTCAAATACATTGAGAGTTGAATTGTAACATTTGTTTTGCAGCATTTTTTAAATTCTTTTTGTTTTTTGTGTATAAAAATATTTTAGCTGTGGTGCCCAGAAGGTCAGTATAGTGCCGTCGCCAATCTTTTATTTCAGAGTCCAGAACAAAGTGTAAAAAGTTTATTTCATAGTCCAGTCCGTAAGTGTTTGCTTTTATATTTATTTATTTGTATTATTTAAAGAATCAAGCAGGACGACAAGCGCTATATGCTTGCATTAATAGTAACGAAATAAAGTATCAAATAATATCAAATGAAAAGAATTTGTGATTGTGACAAAAAGTGTGTGACCAAAAGCTAATAATGTAAAGAGAAATAATATAAATAAGGGGAACTACAAAGTAAACCAAGTCAGTCCAATATATTACTGACAGCAGACCGGATTATAAAAGATAAGACTTCAGATTTCTTGTATAATATAATATATAATCTTTTTAAAAATAGGTAAGGATGGCGCACAAATTACGTCGTTTGGCAATTTATTTTAATAATTAATGGTGCGAATAAAAAAGTCATACGTTCCTAATTTAGTGTTGCGTTTAGGTTTCAAAAATTTAAGTCCATTAGATCTTGTTGGGTTCAAATTTAATCTAAAATTATAATATTTTGAACAAACTGATTTGATATAACCATACAGAATATATACACATATATGTATAAAGTAAATCCCGCTTAATTTGAATTCAGAGTGTATCTAGGTTACAGCTGAAGTTATGCATTATAACTGGTATTAGGAGAGAGGCGGCGTATAAAGTATTTCTAGAATCCTTCACTTAATTTATTTGGTTTACCTGGGAGAATATTGTAATTAAGAAGAGGCTGAACGAATGCTTTGCATATTTTGATAAGAAAACTTGGATTTACATTTTCAAACGACTGAAAAATAAAATTTAATGTTCCAGAAGATTTCTTTACTATGATCCAGCAGTGAAGGTCGAAATCATTTCCTAATTATTATGTTAACATTAATAAAAAGATTGAAAAGATCGAATTCATATGATTAATATGCTATACTATACTTTAGAAAGGGTATTAACTTCAGCTTGTGCGGATAGATTATCTCGTTTTCCGTGAAAGTAGTAAATTTTACAGTCATCAGCATAAAGATAGATGGTGATGTCATGTATACAATAAAAAAGTGAAAGTGCAATACAACTACCTTGGGAGATATCTGATTTAACTGGAGCCAAATTTAAAAGAGTCATTGACACATACAGCTTGATAAAGCTTGGTCTTTTAAATAATCTGATGTCCAGTAGCTATATTGCCGTAACGAGTGATGGGTAGCAACCTACTGTGTGAAATAATATCTAATGCTTTGGTCAAGTTTAATTTACAAGGTAGACAAGTTAGACAAGGTATAGAATAATTATTTTTCCACTATCAACTAATGATCAGAAAGATTTGCCAGTATTTGTGAGGGGTTTTTTTCGAAGAAAGGTTATGTTGATGTAAAGATTCAGTCTCTCCAGTATTTTGCTACTGACGGACGTTAGGCTAGGTTTTTAATCAAAAGGGTCCAGGTGTTTCATTTCCTCCTTTATAAATACGAATTATAAAATCTTGCATTTAGGCCATATCTTATCTTTGTAAATTCAGAGAAAAACTCAGGAGGATTCAGAGCATTTTTGTGGAAAGGTTTGAATGCGTCATAAATACCTAATTTATTTTTAATCCAATTGACAGAACCACAGCATCTTCGATTTTCATCGAAAAACATGCCTATTAATATTATCAACAAATGCATTAGAAAAATGATTAAATAATTTACATATCAATATGGAAGTGATCACATTACTGTGGAGCAGATTATTTGTTTTCAGGGAGTTAAAATTTATATATAGTTCTGTATATAAATATAGTTCTGAAAAGAGTCGCTGTTGACATTTAAAAGTTGATCTTCTTTGCTTGAAAAGTGTTTATGAGTAACTTAGCTTTTTAAGCATTCCTTATATGCAGAGAGATCACAAGGCAATTTGATTAATTCATACACTGTACAGGTTCTTTATTTTCTTTTTAAAAGATTTTAAAGGAAAAGAAGTTTTCAAATTATTAATGTCTTTCTTAAGTTCTTCGTTGACCTTTGTGAATATTGAATATTTCATCAGATCTAATTAGATGCAAAATTAGATTTTGCTGTTTTTCATATTTCTCAGTAATAGAGGCTAACTTTCATTGCAAGTCCTCGTTAATTTTATACAAGGAGCTAAGGATCTTTAATTGAGAGGCGACCTTATTAATTGCCATCTTTTTCGGTGCCATTTGAAATAAGTGTAATAAGTGTCTCAAATAAAATAATCTCTTTTATCTTTATAAGTACACGGTATAAGACGATAAAAAAATGTACTTTTTAAAAAGGATATACAATATAATTTAATAGGAATAATGAATTGTTGACGAAGAGAAAATACCGACACAGCTGCTTATGAGAGTGACAAGAATGGTATATTATTGTCACTGCAACTGGAGTTTTTCATTGCCATTTATATTCAGATTCGTTCCATGCAAGCACGCTGCTAATTTTTGCTGTCGAATATTATATTTTGACACTGTGGACTTATGGTTTGTCAGTTCCGAGTGGTATTTTTATTCCATCCCTTTTAACCGGTGCTGCATGGGGGCGTCTAATTGGCATTGGAGTTCAATATATGTTTCCTGGCCTGGTAACTGCTTTTTTATCAAGGTAGATCAATGTAAAGTATAGAAAAGCATAATCATTAGGGTGTTTAAAAATGAGTAGTTTTCAATTGTCTTAAAAATGTTTATATCTCAATATTTAGTTCATAGCAAATTTCATTAAACGAAATAAAGGCCACTAGATTCTGCAAAAATTTTTAGAAAAAATCGTAAAACCATTCATTTCGAAATAACTTAATGATTATGTCTTTAATGGTTTATGGTTTAAAAATAGTTTTGGGTTTGGGTGGAATATTTTGGTTTTCATAATATGAAATTCATTTGCAGGCTGGCGTTGATCCTGGTAAGTATGCACTTGCTGGTGCAGCAGCACAGTTAGGTGGAATTGTTCGAATGACTATTAGTCTTACAGCCATTATTGTAGAAACAACCAAAGATATAACTTTTGGGCTACCAATAATGCTTGTATTGATGATTGCTAAATGGATCGGCGATTTATTTGTCGAAGTATTTTCATTAAGTATTAAATATTTTGGGTTCGGATTTTTCTTGCCTTTTTAAATTCTTAGTATAATTATTTTATTATCTTAAAATTCCAATTATCTGCTGAAATTCCAGGGTTTATATGATATTCATATTGAACTGGCTGAAGTGCCAATTTTGGGTTGGGATCCCCCAAAAATGGCTCGAAATATTCTTTCAAAGTAATTTTTCTTGTAATCTTTTGATGAACAATAACTTTTGGACGTTTTGCTGTATATTTTTTTCTTTCTGCATCATATCAGTAGCACGAATTCTTATGGGATATCTTCATTAAATTATAAAAATTAATTTTTATTTTAGAGATGTTATGCGGAAAGATGTTGTTGCTGTGGAACCTAGAGAAAAAGTTGGACGTATTTTGGAAATATTACGTGCCACAGTACATCATGGATTTCCTGTTGTAAATCAGATTAATCCTTCGAAAGCAAATGAAGCTTATCCTGATTATGGCCATTTAAAGGGACTTATTTTACGGTCACAACTCATCACTTTGCTTCAGAAACGGGTATTCTGATTATTAAGCCATTAGGAAATTTTATTTTTATAGTATTGTTGCGCATGTATTAATTGAAGAAATTCAGGTATTTTATCGTGACTACGATTGTACTATTACTGCTGAAGGGTGGAATCACATCGAATTGTCTGATTTCAGAGATTTTTATCCAAGGTTCCTTTGTTATCCGTTAATGTAGTGTGTTCCACGTAAAATTTTTGCAGTATTCCAAGATTTTTTTTTATTAAAATTAATTAGACTCGATCTGCTGGCTTGTCGGTCTTTTTACTACTGATCCTTATATTCATATTGAACTGGCTGAATGCGCGCGCAGAAGCCTGGCATCCGCGTTGCGATTGCCCACTCAGCCATTCTATTCTCTTTACCGTCCAGTCTATCTATCGTCAATATCAATTGGTCCCCCGATGATTCGAACTCGAGCGAACCCCTACTCGATTCTCGGTAGCAGTCATTTTACCATTAAATTTAAAGAAATATTTTACCACTACTGATTCATCAAAACATTGGCCTTTAAGCACCTTATTTTAATATCTTTAAAAGTTCTCAGATTAGACTTTATTATGCTTTTTTTATTTAATACACTGAACTATTCACAAATTTTTAGATTTTTAGGATCATCGCTCGAGTACGAATTCGGATGGTGCATTGTATTTCAAAGCTCCATGCTAGCGAATTTTGCAATATCTTTTTTTGAAAGAAATAATTTCCAAATATATTTCAAATTTTTAAAAATATTTTTAGGCACGATTATTCATTCAGCAGGTTAGGAATAAGTGAACAGGACAAAAATTTATGGATGGATCTTCAGCCATATTTACATCAGCATCCACATAGAGTTCCACTAAATGCTTCTTTACATTCAGTTTATAATCTTTTTCGTGGTCTTGGCTTACGTTATATAGTTGTCGTTGATGACAATAATAAGGTGGGTTTTTGATTCCGATAGGCTTTTTTGAAAGGTTTTTTCTGTAATTTTTTTGAACTATTTGGGTGCTTAGTTTTCAGCTTCGAGGCATTATAACACGAAAGGATTTGGCTCGCTTTAAAGAGCATCGGTCGAAAAGTCAGTATTCTGTTCGCGAATTGTTTGTTTCTGATTTTTATGGTTAAATAGGAAGATCGTTCATTGTCATTTATTTAATGTTTTTGTATTATGCGTCGTTTATATTCCTTCGATTTTCGATTCAAATCATATGGTTTTTATAATTTTTGAATTATCAGTATTTGAAATTAACTATTTATTTGCTTGAAAATGTTTTTTAGCTTTATTAATTTGGCTTTTAAGACTGTATTTTTTTTGTATTGTGCTATTTCCAATCTTTACATTCTGCTATTATATTCACTGAAAAATTTCCTCTGGTTTTCGTGTAAAATTATTGGAAACGTTGGCGGATTGACCATAATTGATATTGTGCTTTTTTATCCATTTATTTTAATGCAATATAAATTTATTTAAAGATAAAGTTTTTATTTTTAATCCATATTTTTAATTTAGAAATTTAAAAATATGGAAATTTCAAATTTTTAAATAAATTATATTTTTTCAGAAATTCAGGGGTTTGAAACATCTGCCAATTTTCTTCTTATAAGTGAAAGGAAGTGAAACGTTCGATTGGGAGCGAAAGTTGATGAAACATAATATATATATATATAATTTATATAATTTATTAATCCAGTTATGGCGTGGAGGTTGTTCATCATTAGTATGATTTCGCTTGTTGCATCTGAAGCCATTTTCGAGTTATACTATTCGGCTTCCAGTAAGTTTTTTTTAACAGATGGCTTGGTAATTTGCTACTCAGTCTCAAAGAAATTCAGTCAGATATGGTGCCAGGAATTTGGAGATGGATCCTTTTGTTATAGTGGCATAAAATCCGAAAAATTGCAATTTCAAAATTAAATTTTTTAATAATTTTAGAAATTGGTGATTTCAAATTACTGGGTTCATTATCAATCGATAAAACATATGATGGCAACTTTACGGGTAAATTCCACTCAAGAATTCAGGCAGTCGTTCTTCGTTCTGAATTGGAAGAGGCTAAAAGAAATGGCTTTTACTATCGCGTTAGAGTTGGTGACGAAAGCCAACATGTTCAAGGTTTCAGTGAACCGGTTTGTCTTTTGAATTTTTCTCGGGAAGAGTAATTTCTTATAAATAATCTGCCATAAGATATAAAAACGATTAGTGTTTAGTTTCGTTATTTATTATTTGGAAAAATTTTGATTATATTAAGAAAAAATTTGGTATAATTCTTTCGATTTTAATCAAATCTTAAGATCTATATGTTGAAAGGTGAAAATATTTATTAGTTCTGAAAAATATTCTTTCAAATTATTGTAGTTTACTTTTCTTAGGCAATTATTCTTGCTGCTAATATGGATCATCAATTCCGTTTGTTGTTCAATACTGATCGGCAGACAATTCAGTCACTTGCAGTCTTTCCAGGAAATGTTATAAACCATGAAGAAAATATTCTACAAACGAAAGATATTGTAAAAGGAAGCATTACGGTAAACACCATCAGAGAATTACCCTTGTAAATCTTCTTTTTATTGTTGTTTTTTCGTTTCTTTCTTTATTAGTTTATTATTGATTACCATTTTAGATTAGGGTAACGTGTTAGAAATTTTTGCCAGAAAGGCACTTGATAAAAGTCGCCATCACTATTATTTTTTTAATGAAAACTGCTTTGTCGAGGGCAGAGAATTGAATCTTTTACGCTCTGCGCGAATCGAAGCAAAACACTCATTGTCCATCCTTATCTGTTTTTTCTAATTTCATATTAGTCGTTTTAGCTCATCCTTCTGTTGAAATTTTTCCACAAAAGGATAAACTAAATCATTATTAGCTCGGTTTAAAAACATCTAGTAATAATCCAATTAAATTTTGGATGTATTTATTTTTGTTGAGTATTTTTGTTATTTTTGTTAAAATTAAAATTCTTTTTTTTGCTATAAACAAGCATTTTTTCAGTAAACGTTTAATATGCGTTTAGTGTACAATGAGCAAAAAATTTCATTTAGGCCAGATACAATGTCATATATTCAAAAAATGGAAAAAGAGCGTCAAGCTCGTCAGCATGGTGCTCAAAATGACAATCGATCTTTTATTCAAAAATATGTTAGTAATATCGAAAGTTTTTGCGCTGGAAGTTAATTTATTTATTTGTTTTAATTTTTATTTGCTATGAAGAATATTTCCCAAAATATTCCCATATAATATTTTTAGTGGATGTATATCGCAGCAGCTGTTGTTTTAATGGTAATATCGAATGCTGCCGCTGCGGAACAAGCTGGTGATTGATAAAAATTGACACGGTTTTGTTGTTTTTATGATTTTTTATTTGAAATTCATTTTTAAATGACGTGTGTATTGTGCTTTTTTGTTTTTGTAACAATCTGAAGTGAATTTATTTGATCATCAAAATCTCATATGAAACTTCTTTTAATGTACGAGCTTTCACTGATTTGTCTTGATTAGTGTGAAATTTATTACCATTTAAAAGTATTTTTCAAAGATTGCCTTCGAATGTTGAGGAAAACTTGTTTTTGTTACAATTAGTACTCATACGATCGATTTGAAGTGGTAATAATGAGCAGAAATAAATAGAATATGGAGTGCTAAAGTATCGTAATGAATCGAGGCAAATTTTTACTTCATTTATTAATTATTACTGCATTTTATTGTCACTTTTTTTTGTTCATTATCTTTGTATAGAACTTTAAAAGAAAACGTCTGTTTTAATGAAATGGAATGTTTTTTTCCTTGAATGGATAAATGGAGAGTTGTGGAAAATATACTTATTTATTGTTTCTGCCTACAATTCTTTCTAAGATTGTGGAAAATTTTGTTTTTCATTTTTCATGTTTTGCTCATCATTTCATATTTTCTATATTTTTTGGCCAGGAAATGATGTTTTCACTCTGTAATTTTTTAAGCTGTAATTTTTTTTTCGGATAATTAATAAAACCAAATAAACGTTTCTTAATTCTGATTATTTTGATGGTAGCGGTCGTGTGACCTGATTCATTTTTTTCTAAATTTTTGTTCCTTTTTAAAGTGTCCAAAGAATACAGCTAATTTTAAGTTTGATTAGGTTAATTAGTCATTGATCAAGAGGCTAATGTTCGTTTTTTTCCTGTGGTTTATTTGTACTCATCATTTCTGGCGAATCCTATTGGCTGTCCAGAGAACAGTTCGTTGGCACTACTTGAATTTCTTTGAAATGTTTTGGGAAATTTATTCTTACTGGGAGGTTTTATTTTTCAACACAGACTTCCTATTACATCTCGTTTCCATGTGGTCCAATTCTAATGCTCTAGTAGTGTTTTTAGGACCACTTAATAAATAATTATATGTCTTAAATGAGTCGTGCTGCCGCTACTACTAATATAACTAAGCAAACAAAATCTCAAAAATCGCAAAATGAAACAACCGAAGATGGTGACAATGATGACGAAAAAGCAGCCATAGTTAGTTATTTGTGCAACTTTTTAATTTTTTGCGAGAGTTTTTCATCTTCGTATTTTGCTTGAGCTTGAATTTTTCTAGTTGAAGTTTCTTAAGATGGAAAATTGACGTTTAAATATGCGCCGGATCTTATGCATCGTTCTTCAGACTGAATATAAGTATTGATGTTGTCTTCTATCATTGCTTTTGGTCTTAGTAAGTCGTTTCGAAATTTAGATTTCCGAAATATTCCGTTGTACTGCAGAAGCACTAGAAAAAATCGGTCGTTTAATAATACGGCTTCACCCAACTTCTCACAATTCTAACGAAAGGTTTTCATTTTTTTTTAAATTTTTTTTTTAAAAAAACAAATATTACAATTTCTTATACAAAATTTTAAAATTCTCCCCAGTGATTGGTCGCATCAACAACAGAATAGTCTGATTATTTCTAAATTATTTTTTCGTTTACTGTTTAATAAGGATGATTTTTTTGCCTATTTATTTATTTATTTTTTCTTTAATTATAATAATAATAACAGTAAGATTCCTCATTATCCTTAAATCTATTAAATTTATTTGTTTCCCTTTTGCTTGGAGAAAACCTGTCAGAAAACAAATTATTGTGGGTGCTAAGAGCTCACTGATATTCAGGAATGGCTATCCAGGAATGTGGTGAATCTGGTTATATTGATGCGGCATTCGTATCTTCCTAGTAGCATGAGATAGCCCTAGTATTTGAGCATATAATGAGGAGTCCATCGAGCTAAGATAAACAACTATCCGCCTGCTATTTGTGCATGCAATGAGATCCTGGCAGCTTGCGACATAAGAATGCTGTTGGATGTTAGAAGTCAGACGTCCATACTTTGTCCAGACATCGTATGGATATCATTTATTTATCGAAAGTTCGCTTTCCATTTCATTCCTATTGCTATCTCTATACTTGATTTGGAGCAGAGATGTTCCCGTTATTATTTATATGCACAGATTACCATGGTAAGAACGTTTGTTGACAATCTCTTCCGATAGTATGGTCATAATCGCAAGAGATTGCGGCTAGGTCTTGATTCTGCCACAGTGAGTTATTTGTTTATCATAAATGACGTTAGATGCGCGAATGGAGAGTGCCTTCTTTGTTTCGCAGATGAGCATATACTTTTTGCTATTTATTCGTAACATTGTAGAAGATGTCTAAATCATGCAACTCTTCGGATAATAAGCGTTGTAATTAGATTATATCTTGGTCATTTGTTACTGAAAGAGTTCTATGCTTGATTCTGCCGTTTCTATCGCAGCACTAAATTTGGTAATCTTCAGGGATCATCATGTTTTGAGGCAAGATTTGACAACGAGTGGGGAACACGGTCCTTTCAACTACCTTAAGCCAAAAGATTTGGTGTCATTTCAAACTGAATAATTTCAAGTCGGAACGGAACATATCAACGACATCTCTGGAACGGCGAATGAATATCTGTCTCAATTAAAGGCGTGAAGTCTATACCAGGATTTGCCATTGGGGAATGTGCTAGTTGGGTATCGAAAGCATTAGATCAACCGCCCATTAGAAAAGGCTGCATGTTATACCACCTATATCGGAAAATTCCGGTTTTCGGACTTTTTGAAAACTTGAAATAACAATAGCAGAGCGGGATAGAAACTGCTACGGGAGTGCCATGGCCCTATAAATAAAGATAGTGTGGATACTGGAGTAGATGATAATAAGAAACTATTCTGCCTTCTTAATAAGGCAACCATAACATAGGAAACGATCTGTGAAATGATCCAAAATAATCATGGTATATTAACGCTTTCAAAGATTGCACGATGGTTTTTGAGATTAAACTTAACCTCAGTGCTAATTATATGCAATTGCGAGCAAGAGGTAGAGAAAGAAATTATCTCTATTATTCAAAAGCAATAAAACTGGAAGATTTCTTGAAAGATGTTAAAATCTTCAAGTCATTATCCAACGTCCTTCATAAGTCACTTTCAACCGATTTATTCTCTAGTATGGAAGAAAGAACACCAAATGATTTGAGCAAATCAATTATGTTCCTAATCCCCAAAAAGTATATACTGTGACATCTATCCAGGGATTAGCTTATTAGACTCTTTTGGCTTCACTTCTTTTCAATAGACCTATAGGAGTACGAGATAAAAGGATGCCCTAATTATAAAGGATTCAAATCGGGGCGTAAGTGCGCTAACCAGATATTCATGCTATGAAGAGTGGAATACCGCTTTAAGAGTCAGCAAACCACCATCACTGTTTTTGCCACTTCTTTCGATTCAGATAGAGCATTGATCTGAAAAACGATGGAATGCGATAATGTTTCAAAAAAGATCGTTTGATTCATAAAAACATTCTATCAATAAACATCGGTACGGATTTGTATGATAGATTCTTTTGACTTTTGAAGTAAAACTGGTTTCAGCCAGGATTGCGTACTTTCTTTTAAAATTGGATTTTGGATTAATTGGATTATGAATTGGGATATAGCTTATCGACATTCCGATTACAAGTCAGTAGAGAATCTAGTATAATGAAAGTACATCAGTGATATTGAATACAATCTCCCTTTGATCTTCTGATCTTTTTTACTGGAAATTCTAAGGGGAAGTGGTCTAAGCAGCATCAGTGTATTATCAGCCTCAAAAAAAATCGGTCTCAGGATAAATAAAGCGTTGATGCTGATGAAATATCTTTCGTCAAAGGTTGGATAAGTGGTAAACTTTGTCTTTAAATATCTTAGATCCATTCTTGTGCCAAATGCTCAAGCAAAAGACGAGATTCCAATCTGAACAGTCGCAACTAGAAATGCTTTCTTTCGGCTAGAATGAGAGATCGCATTTATCTATGCTGTACGCACCATCCTGCATTGTATAGCTGCGAAGCCTAGCAAGTGAGAATAGATTTTAATATGCTAAGAAATGCTAAATGTGCTAAGAAATCATTATCGTCTTTAAGCATGAATATCTGAGGAGGCATATTATATATATAAATTCATTGAACGATTAAAATCTCACATGATTTCTCTGTTCTTGCTCAAATATTGCTTTCAAAACATCATCAAAAAGCTTACACTGGTTAGGTCTTGTTCCTTGCAGCATGCCGCGAGAATCGCTATTTGTCTTGCTAGTTGCCAAAATGTGAGAGCATTAAAAGCGAGGATTAATCAAGACTTTAAGTGATTCAGTCCTAAGAAATTTATACGCAGTCCAGCGATATATGGGCTTAAGTAATGGAAAAAGGTCTTTTAACCTTAAGCATGACATAGCATGAGCGGTTTAGAAGTGGCTTACTCTTATAGCTAGTGGGGCCAGCTTACAATAATGGTGTTATTGGAAGAAAAAATTTCTCATAATTTTTTTTAGGAAACTTTGTTCGAATTTATCTTTAAAAAATTTTAGCAAATGGAGTAAAGAGATTGTGGGCGATATGAGGAACGCTATAAAGAATTTCAGTAATAATATCGTAGTAATCGATGAAGCCGTTAAACGAACGAACGTGTTAGTTGTTTCTACTATATTATTTTAAAATGCTTCAGTATTTTTCAGGCCTTTAGTATAAATATAAATTAATTTTTTTGGCATTTTAATTTTCATATTTTTTTCAAACTTTCAAAAATGAAAATATCTTGTTCTTTTAATTCATTACAGTGACTGCATTAAAAGAGATATGAAACGACGGCGTCTAGCTTCTCCTGTCCATGTGCAGAATATACCTATTAAAGAAATAGATTGTCCAGCTATTTCTCGTAAAAGATTTTTGCCATCTGATCAATCTCCTTTAATCAAAAATAGGAGAAGCATTGTAGCAGATACTGAATTCAAAGATACACCGCAAAATATCAGTCAGCAGATAAGGCAAGACATTAATCCGACAGTAGCACCTATTCCGATCAATCATTCGAATCAGCAATATCACTCAGATTTAACAGATTTACATCATGATTGATTGCATATTTGTATCAGTTTCTTTCTGCCACGAGTGTTTTTTTATCTGTTGGTTTTTGGTCCGAAAATTTTTCATATTTTTTGAAAATTTATGAAAGAAGAAATGGATGGTTTGCCATCGCGGACTCTTGTGGCTGATAAGTTTTTTTTCATCCGTTAATCTTTGAACGGGTATCTGTGTCTTTCTCAAGTTATATTTTGTTCGTACTTTAAAAATTATTCCAGCTTCCTATAGAAAAATGATGCTTAATTTTCAGTCATTTCTTTCAGGTCAGAAATGTTTTTTTCTGACTTTTTCAAGGGCGGAAAAGATTTGAACGATAACTTTCTTGTTTCTTGAAATTATTTTATCCATCTGGGAACAGAATTCTCTAAGCTTTTAAGTTTTTTTAACACTTGAAAACCCCCGGTCTAATCCTTTTTTCTTTTCTAAATATTGTTTCTAAACCAAGAAGAGATTTGAGAAATTTTCAGGTCGCTAATCTTTTTTACCACTTTCTATTTTGTAGAACGAATTAGAATATTGTGAAAATTTTCATGAAGTAATTTCGTTATAGAAGTGACTAGAGAAAATGAATTGAATGCGATTTTGACTTTTTTATTCGACTTTTATTTTGGTTATTTTTTCATTATTATTCCTTAATGTTGGTCTTTTTAACGCTGTTTTCGTTTGGGATGTTATCGACATCATATTTTTTTTCTTCTGTATGAGGTTTTTAACAGAAGCGACTAGAGAAAAGAAATATTCTTTAAGCGGTTTCATATCATTTTAGATCATCAAATACAGAAATTTAATTTATTTGCTTTGCATATTTCTTTTCGCAAAGGTTTACACTTTTCATTGTTTTGGAAATTTTTACTGGCAAATAAAATTTTTGCACAAAGGTAATTTGCAACATTAGGAGAAAAAATATATTGAATCACGAATGGTTTCAATATCTAAATCGCCCGTTACGATGTTTGGTGTGAAAACTTCTTCCAGGTAATTCACATCTGTTTCATCCATAATATCGCGTAATCGTTGAGAAATGTATTTTTTCCGGAAGAACTAAATTACTACATTTCACTACATCGAATAAAATATGAAAATGGAAGACAACATTTAAACCTCTGCACACTGCGTTACAAGTGCCTGTTTATGTAGAAGAATGAACTGCTCGCGACAAATGGAATTCATCAATTCAACACTAGCTGCATGTGTCCAGTAACAATCATGCACTGCCGTGAACGTTACTCCCAGCTTATGGCAATGTAAAGATGTTAGCATCATATGCGTGGAATCAAGTGAGTGAATAAAATTTGGTGGAAATGCATTCACCTGCAAATGAAAATTTTTGGACAAATTCTTGAACGAAAAGAAACTAAGAAGAAATTTCGACTTGTTTGTGCTTTATGGGCAATAAACATAGTTTGCCGTTTTTATTCCCAATCTCCAGGTAAGGCTGTACAACGGGTAGGCCTAGTGGTGTGATCCATTCAACGGGTTGCATTAATTTCGAAATCTCTGATGCACACTGACGAAACCAGTCCTTCAGCTTCCTTTAAAAAAATTTTGGTTGAGGTTTAAAGCTCGAGAGATCAATATTTAACGATCGACAAAAAATGCAAATGTGCAAAAACGATTCATTCGCAAAAAATTTTGTCATTTTTCTCACGAAATGAGGTCCATTGAGTGGAAATAAGCTGGGTTTCTTTTATAATTTTAAAGCACACCGTTAACAATGTATTTCATGAAAAAATTTATCCTCAGATGCACTTTAATGTGATGCAACTGGTGGTAAAGAATAGCTTACATTGAACTTATGAAAGCATCGTGCAAACTTTTGAAAGTTTTCTGCGCTAGATATTTAGCAAATCGATGACACTACAAGAAATGAATTATCATAATTGCTTTCAAGAAAATTAGAATTCCATTCCAAATAGTAATCACTAAAATCCTCAGTAAAATTTAAATAATTCAAATCTACTTCATACATACTTCATTCATTAAATCAAAACTAAATAAATAAACAAGCAAAAACAAATACAATAAATAAACAAACATCAGCAAGAGGAATGTCAAATAATTTAAGCTGGCGTTTAATTTGAACCTGAGCACCATACACTGTTACACCATACACAGTTGTCATGACAGTTTGTTTAATCACCTGAACAAAAAAAATTGTAGTTATTATATTTGTAATTGTAGTAATTGTATTTAAAAGTTATTGAAATATCCCATATGGACAACATGGATAAAGTCAAGACACCAAATTTTATTAATTATTGAAGTAAAAAAATTACCTTACGATGCAGTGGTCCAGGAAGTGCCCTTCTTAGTGCCAAAGCCAGTTCTTTAACTTCAGTATCATTGCTGTTTTCATCTTCAATGCGTTTTTGTTCAATTCTAAGTTTAAGTTAAACTTAAAATATGAAGTTGTGGGAAAATGTCTTTTTGAGGCCAGAAGTGGTTATCAATAATGGTGAATGAATTCACTTCATTTTTCATTAACCTATAAACCTATTGTATTACCATGAATTCCATGCTCAAATGGTACGTTTGAAAGAAATAGAAAAAAATCTGGAAAAAAATTTATATTATAAAGACCTTTGTGCAACACTAGTGTAAACATCAGATGGGACATTATTTGGAACCAAATTTACTTCACTTCCACCTTGTTTATCTCGACCTAAAGCTGCGTAATGTTGAAGCCCATTACATGAACCATCTTGATGAACTGGCAGATGACTTATATACAATTCGGGATGATCTAAAATTAAGCATGAAGAATAATATATGCCAAAAATATGCCGAAAAATATGCCAAATTAAAAGGACAGATTTTATTTAAACCAGATTTTAAAATTTAAACCGAAGGAACTGGAAATTCACCACAGTTAATAGCTTCTTGAATTTCCATGCAAGTAGCAAGCGTCTGCCACGGTTCATCTGATTCCATCCACCAACCACTGCCTTAAAGCTTCAATAAAAGTACAATCAAGTTTGCAAACCCATCATAAACATAAGTGAATCAATATTTGAAATGAAAGATAAATTAATGCAACCAAAATCAACAGTTCATTAGCATGAAGAGGGAATGTGGAAAATAGAACTTTTCAAAATATCACTGGCTTTACCATTCATTGGCTTATTGGCCGAATCGAGCATATTCGGCAACATTTTCTCCGCGAAGTCCATTCGTTCTTCGATCGAACTTCTTTTCTTTTGTCCACATAAGTTTATACAATGCACTTTTAACCATGACAGCCCTCGACTACCCAGTGCTCTACCTTCAGCAAAAAGGAGGAGGGAGCGATTCAAATCGTCACCCATATGGCTGAGATATGGTGATATAGGATACACTCGACCACGAAAATCCATATTATGAGGGAAAAAAATAAATTCATTCCGATAATGCTCTGCCATTATTAACCTATATTTCAACCAAAACCACAACGAATTTGTTTCGTTTCTGAAAAATAAGTGACAAATTCATTTATATATAAAGGAGAAATATTTCTCTTTTTTTTTTAATCTTTTAATCTCCCAGAGAACCTAATGCAAGAACTAAAAAATTGCTTTCAAAATGCCAACACAAAAAATACTTCTTTTTCAATAATTCACATCTATTTCCAAAAAACTTTCGCCATTCTTCGCGTGGAATTTCATCAACCTTTACTAATCCGAATATTTTCCTATAATCAGGCACTTCAATGGCACTTGCTTTAAGTGGGATCGATAATTTTCGCAATAGTCCTTCGTTTTTGGCATCAAATGTTAGGTCAAAAACCTGTAAAATAAATAACGTGGAATACAGGTAAATTTTAATTTTAAAATGAAATCATACTTGATTTATTTTACCTGTATTTTATTTTTACCTTATGCAATACATCTAGAATACGACAATTAATTTTCCATGGAGTAGACCCCAAATTATTTAAAGCATCAAAAACAGGACGAGCTTGACCTCTAAAACAAAAAATTTCATAATATTCAGGTTAGTGAAAAATCTCAAAAAATTGAAAAAATTTCATCTAATAAAAAGAATTTTTTCTTGATAAATATTATTTTTTTGCTAAAATTCTTAAGATCTTACGACTCCAGATGTTTTAAAAACAAAAAAGAAGTTTTATTATACGCGAACTTCGAACTCAATCGCGTTTTCATTTCATTGTTTAGCATGACTTTCGAATATTCAGGCATATCTCGTATAATATCGGTTGATTTCGTATATGAAGGTCCTCCATAACCATGTTCAATCCATGGACGTGGTGGCACCTTGAAAAATAGTAATGAATAGAAAAATGAATAAATAAATTAAAAGTTTCTCTTCAATTAATTTTAATTAATTAATTTTTATGAAAATTGAAAGAAATTTTACGAAATAAACTTGTGAACTAAAAATAATTTATGAATGGAATATGGAACATAGATATGTTCAAGTCTTTGTTTTTTCTTATAATTCCACACTTTAACTCTCGGAAAATAAAATATAAATTATTTAAAAATCATTAAAAATTATTCACCTTCATAGGGATGAGGTTATTGGGAAACAACAGCCACTCAAATTCATGTTCCGCAAATATGTCCATCAGGCGTGGTTCTATCTTAATCATTTTTGTCAATGTTATGCGATCATTGTCGAATACCAAACTTTCCTCTTCAACAGCAACATTTCTCAGTTTAAAAGCGAACAACATTTTTCCTATAAAAAGATTTGATTCAAATTCAGTAAAGAAAATTTAATTGAATTAAGAATATTTATATTAAAGACAGCAACCACAAGAAAATAAACCTGAATTCGGCCAGGGAAATTTACAAGCTTCCAACATTACTGAAATAAGAAAAGATCCAAGTTCTCTACGACTTTCAACTGAAAAATCTGTGAATGGTATGCGAAATTCTGGATTCACCCGAGCAACAGATGAACATCTAAGCCACCATTCGCGCAGTGTAAAGCACCTTGAAATATCTGCTTCAAAGAAGTATCGAATATATTCATCGAACAATTCCTCCGCTATCTGAAAAAAAAGTGAAATACCATAAAAATGAAGAAAACATCTGCATTGTTATATTTTGTTAAAATATTTATTATATTTAGCATACCTGGTCTATATTATCAACAAATTTATTCACAAATTTCTTATGAATTGTTTCAAAAATTGGATCTGATATTTCTAATTCAAAAGAATAATATGGCACAAGATCTTGGCCTTGACCACACATCGATAAGATTGAATTAAGCATTAATTCTGCGATTTCATTAGCTCTCAATGTGCATAAATAACTTTTCACTGGAATTTCAAGAAAATTTAAAAAATCAGAACTATAAAAAAAAATATTGCATCATTTAAAATGAGTAGTGCAATACAAAAGTAGAAAACAAGAAAAGAGCTTTACAGTGATTCTAAAAATATATCTGGTAAAATTTCACCGTTTCTGATGCATCACTAATTAAATGAACGTAAAAAAAACGGATATTTTGCCGCTATCCAAATGTAATTCTCAATTGAAAAATTATGCTCTAAAACTTGCGTGATATTGTCTTTAGATTAGCGATATTTTTTTCTAATGTATCAAATATCGCCTGATGCCAATTCCAATGTTTGACTAATTTTTCTGCAGATATTTTTTTTGAGCGTCGAACAGAATTTTTTACGCGGAGATAATGGTGAGATTCGATGGAAAGTTGTTCCAAAAATTTTGCTTTAATTTCTCCCTTCAAAGAATAAAATATACTAATAAAAAGAAATTCAGAAATATTTAAGGACAGTAGAATCTCAAATAAAACAAAAGAAATAAATGAATGAAATACCCTTTCAACTTTCAAAGACAAGAATGGTGGGCCCAAATATGTTCCTTCATGAACTGGTTCATTCAAAATCCCAACAATTTCAAGATTCTAGAAAAAAATGAATATATATATATATATATATATATATAAAATATCAATAGATCTTAAGTTTTTTTGCGCCCAAACCACAGTTAGAAAATTCATAAAGGTAAATTAACCAGTAAAAAACCACTTATAAATGGAAACTTTGGATCGATTATTCTAGAAAAAAGGAATGATCACCTGATCGTATTTCCAATTTTCTTCGACAGACCTGTAAAATTCTTTAGGACCAATAATATCCCTAACACGATTTTGAACGATATTTTGATCCTCATCTGTGAAAAGTAAACGATTAGGTGATGGAAGCCAATCGCATATCTACAATATCATCGTATTTAATGAAAAATCGCATTATTATGAGCTATGCACAGCATTTATAATTTTTATTGTTGTGCTTAATTCTGCAGAAACAACTTAATTTAATTAAACTTAAAAATCGCTATTTGATGCAGTCAAAAATTTTCAACCGAAAATACCACTTCACACTCACGAAATTTGATTAAAAGATCTAAAAGATTGCTAAGTGGTATCTCATTATCACGAAATTTGATTAAAAGATCTAAAAGATTGCTAAGTGGTATCTCATTATCACGAAATTTGATTAAAAGATCTAAAAGATTGCTAAGTGGTATCTCATTATCTAGCTATCTTGCAAATGAAAATATTCGTCCTAAAAATTACAAGCAATTTAACTAATTTGAAATGAAAAAATTTTTCAAAATCAAAGAAATCTAATTTGTACTGGTAAATGAATTCGTCAATTACTTCATCTCTGAAATATTTATCTTTCAATAAAGCAATGATTAATGTACTTGATCTGCAATTTTCCTTTGCAATTCTGATAGAGTTCTATCAATATCTGATGATTTTTCATCAATTTTCCTCAGGTCAGCCCATTTTTCTAGACAATTTATAAGTAAAAGCCAAGCAGCTTTTGTATCTCCACCATGAACTGGCATCGTTTCCAGAAGAGAGTTAAGTGAATAAAACATCGACAAAGCATCCATGGAATCCGCTTGATTCATTTTCAAATAATTTACATGGAATCCTCGAGTAAGAACACGTAAAACGACAGCAAAAAACTGCAAAAAGAAAATAGGAAAGAACTTTTGCAATCTTTACGAAATCTTCACGAAGTAAAAGCCAACCTCATCAGCGCACTGGAAATTCGGCGAGCTTCCCTTATTAATTGTTTTTGCGAAATGATAGGAAAATGTCACAAGTTTTTCATATTCTTTATCTAACGTGTACCTTAAATTCGAATTTTCATGATAAGTACCAAAATTTTTTGAAAACTTCAAATGGAAGAGATAAATATTTATAAAAAAAATTGTAGGAAAGCCTGTGGAATCAAAACCACGGATGAATCTTCAAAATACCTTATCACATGGCTCTGAGCAGATAATCGATTCATTAACGCAAAATTACGAAAACATTGACTTTTATACTTCGCAGCCAATTCATTCGTGAAATTATCACGAAATAGTTTCTTTACAGCTGTCGTCGACCTCGTTTTTTTCTCTTTAATACGTTGTCTTATTACCTATCACATACTTTCTTACTTGAGTTAAAGAAAGGGTGAAAAAAGGGGCAGTTTTTTTACAACCGGAACACCGCAAGTGATTGATGTTCTATCCAGCAAATCCATATGGCAGAAAACCGACGAAAAAAGCATATAAAACTTTTCGAAATAAAAAATTCGTTTAAATTCACAATTCATCAAAAACACGCCGATGGAAAAAATAGATAAATAAAACTATAAGAACGAAAAATAAAACAACTTACTGGTTGCTGAATAATAAAATTCTGGTATTTTAGGTCGCACTGAAGCTTGTAAAACTGTTCCAAGCAGAAGTAAACGACGGCCGAAATGCCATTCAGACATATTAAAAATTTCTTAAGCCGAAAAACCAGAAAAAAAATAAGAAAAATGACAATTCAAAAGCAGTTTTTCGTTTAATTTGCCAGAAAATGGTAAACACCTTTATTTAAAAAATTTTATTTCACGAATACCTCTCGCTTTGTGCTACGTCTTGTGATGGACAAGTAAAATTAAACTCTAGAAAATATAACTCAGAATTAGGCTGATAATCAGGAGAAATTCTGAATTCATTAGGACTGGAACAGCCAGGTGGGCGGTACCACAAATTACCGTTTTGAGAGGCGAAGTTCAGGCCAAATGTCTTTAGAAAAACCAGATGGTGCTGTGAAGAGTTATCTACAAGTGACTCCTTGGTGAAAATCTCTAACAACCAGCCGACTAACCAAAAACTTGAGCTTTTCACTTCGCGAATTCGTGAAATCCATGATTCGCTAAAAAGTTGATCCAAATCCAAAATTTGATTTTAAAAAAACCAATTTTTCAGGGAAACGAAACAAAGGAAAATTTTGCAAATATTGAAAATATTTCAAATATTTTCGTCTTTTTTAATATTCCAGCAGTTTTTTTATTTTTTCATTTAAAATTTTTCGATCAGAAAAAAATAAATTGTAAAGAATAATGTAATTGTTTAAAAACTGCGAAAAGTAAAAATAATCAAAGCTTCAATTAAATTTGGCACTTCCCGCTTCCACTCGTTAAAGTGTTGACAAATTTGAGTGACTGAAGTGAGCCTTTCATTAAAACTGAAATTAATTTAATATACCAGGAACAGACATTTATTGCAGTAGACGTTAGTGAAATAAAAATCCGGACTTCAAGTGTTCCACCCGACAGGTCTTCGCATATGGTTGGTTTTATAAATGATTAAAAGATATAATTTTTAACAGTATAGAACAACTGTTTGCGAGAGGAACATTATAAGAATCTATTTATGAAAAATGCTAATTTAAATGCTAACTGCCAAACTAAACACCCAGTTTAATTAGCTAATTTAAATTACTGGCATCGCTATAAAGTTTTAACATATTATAAAGAAAATAATAGGAGAAAATGTGAAATTTAGCAGTTTATAAAAAGAAAACGGGACAATGTGCTGCACGGCTCAAAATTCCACAGTTAGACAAATACGAGTATTTTTTCCGATGGAGATGGGGATTCGTAAGGAGTAAACCGGTCCTTCACAAACCCCGACGGCCAGTCGCACTTTTGCTAATTGACCACGCAGTAAAAACCTGTTTGAAATTCTTTCCATTTTATATTTAGAATTTTAGAATTTTAAATTTTTCCTATAAAGAACTCCCTTAAATTAAGTCATTTGAAAACACTTTACTCTTTTTTAAGGCAAATATAACTTCGTTTTATTGAATGGACAATTGGCAAAAAAACGTGGAGAAAAAATCGAATTTATCTTAACGACAAAGCATAGCATTCAACTTTAAATCAAAAAAAGGACACTTGCCGGTTGGTCAACAATGACCGCGCACACAGATAACCAACCAGTCCCAAAAAAATACCCATGTTGACCGATAGGGACGACAACGCAAAAATTTGAGAAGAAAAACTGGAAAACTTAAAATCGGTAACAAACAGATAAATAATCCAAATAAAAAAATACCACAAAAAATTTATTCAGAAGGAAACACAACAACTTTTTTAAATTATATGTTCTTATAATGAGACCTAACCATAAACCAATCAAAGAAACCAGTCACGAGATTTAACTTTAAAATGGATGCGCTTGCTAGTTATCCAATATCCAACGCATATTCTTTATTTTTTTACAAAAAATATACTGGGAAGAGCGAGTGAAGTTGATAAAAATGGTGGAGAACGCCACAATACAATGGCAACACATCGACAAACACCTTGGATAACCAATAAATACCGATTAAAATTTCACTTAAGAGATGAATATTCCACCGGATTGATTAATTACATCAAAATAAAAAAAAAGAAAACAAAAAATACAATAAAAAATAAAATTAAGAGAAAATGAAAGTACAATCGAAGATTTATGAGGAAATTTCGCAAAATAAAGGTGTCCTTGTTTTCCTTGTCCATAAATTTAATGCGCAATTGGGCACTTTGGTCAAAAGCACCGAAATTAAATTAAGAACAATCAGACGGTGTGTTTATCAATAAGTCGCATTTCTACAATACTTAACTTTAACACAGTGCCAATTGCCTTTAATATATGCTTACGCTTCGAATAACTTTCACAATGCAACAGTTGAATGAAAACATTTCGAAGGTACTCCATATGCGCATCACTCGTATGAAAATTCAATTTACCTGAAATGTAATCGAATTTCATCAAAAAAATCAAAAAATCGATGAATTTTAACTTGGTTGAAATATAATATAACGAATAACATTATCATAACAATAACATCCGACCTTCAAGAATTCTGATCTCATCTTTAAGCTTTCCAATAATTTCAAAATGTTGTAGGTCTTTTGTTATTGAAGATTGCTGTAAATCACGGATGGTCATTTCAGCCATACGTATAGCGCTGCTAAAACCATTAAAAAATCAACATTAAACAAATATTACGATTTAAGTTCGGGAAAAGTTATAGGGAAGAATTTACTGGTTAATCTATTCCGAGATAATACGAGCATAACATAAATATCATAAAACGAACTTATTTTAACAATTTTCCAAATTTCCCTAGTGGGATATATCAAATCTCTATTTCAAATATTTCATAAATTATTCCAGGTTTTTTCTCAAACTTTATTACCTTAGATCAATAATTTCTTTTTCCTTAATCGCTAATTGCTGTTCATAAAAAATATTCTTAGCCTCAACTGTATTCGTCATGTTCGCCAATGAATACTTTTTTTCTGATAAACGTTCTGTAAAGTACAAAAATAATTTCAAGGTTTTTGTCAATATTTACCATTTCCAACACAAAATTTTCTTAATTGAAAGGTTTTGAAAAGGTCAAAAAAACAAGCAATAACGGCTATGACTTAATACTTACCATTGTATGCAACTCGAGCATGATCAAACTATTTAAATACATCTAACATCTATAGCTTTAATTAGCGTTAAGTTGCTCTCGTGAATCAAGTTCTTTAAGAAAAAAAACAAAAAAGCAGCAAAATATTATAACATAAAGCGACAGTCACATATTTTTAGCTCTATACAAAGAATCTAAAATAAAAAGAATTATTATTATAACAATAGTCAATTAAAGATTATACGATCAATTTCTCTCATTTTATAAAAAGATATACAACCTGCAAAATCTGATTACTAACATGTTCATTACTAATATGTCATTAAATATCGAAATTAAATCGTCATATTAATGACCGGAAATCACGAAAATAAAAACTAAATGAACCGAACTACAAGATAAATTTCAGATGAAAAAGATTTAAAATTTTTGTCCAACTGTTTGAATGCCATTCTGGAAAATTTCTATGGATTTATATTCAAACTGCCAACTTCGATTAGTTTCTTTTGCTGTTTGTGAAATTATTAGAGTGGTATAAAATTTTTCCCGCATCATTCAATTTCTAATTAGGCTTCCTGCTCAGTTGGCTAATACAGTGAAGCAGGTAAATGAGCAACAGAACAATGCAGTCGTATTTGAAGTCGTCCAGCTGGGTCCTCACCATCAACTGGATTTTTTACGTACCATTATATCCTTTCCACGAGTAGAAGCCATGATGCTAGAGACTAGAGATAATCTAAGCAAATAATCTAATCTAATCTAAAGCAATACTTATTCTGTTTTACTGCCTCTGTGTTAACTGCGAATTCAAGTCCAGTAATAAACCAGAAATGCAACTTATATTCTCGATATGAAATAAACAAAATAAAATAATATTAATTACAATATTAATTTAGTAATGTGCGACAAATGTGCAATAAATCTGATTTCTTTACGATGGATATATATTAATTCAAATCTAAATAAATGAGTTCATAAAAACTAATTACCCAGTGGATGCTCATCCATTACGCTGGAATAAGATTCAGTTTCACTTGCTGCGCGACCATAAGCGGCTAGGGAGGCACAAGAATCTATAATACTTAAAAATAATTTTAGTTCAAAGCAGAAAGTGAAAGTATAAAATCTCCAAATCGAATATATAAATATATAATCGAATATATAATCGAATGAATGTATATTAAATTAATGAATGAAATAAGCGAAGTTAAATTAAATTCAAAGTTAAATTAAAAATTCAAAGTTAAATTAATTTTACTCAAATTTATATTCAAATTTAAATTTACATTCAAATTTACAGCATATTTTAAAATTCTTCGAAAAGATTTCATGAGGCTTCAAATATTGAAAAAAAAATTAAAAAAGAATGCTGACCATTGAAAAACTTGAAAATTGTAAAGTTCTTTAAAAAAAGGATCAAAACAGTAAATCTATAAAATCTTTGCCAGCGCCTCTATCAATATTGCATTTTCTTCATTATTCCAAATTAAAGAAAAGAATGAAAGGACAAAAATAAAAAAAATTCAATACAAACTAAATTCGCTATAAACTAAAAAAGTAAACTAAAAGCAAAAATTATGAAGAAAAAAAATTACAATGAAGTTAAATGAGAAATAAAATTCTAACTGAATACTGTTGCAGGTTTTTCAATTGCGTTCGATGACTCGGAGAATTCAAGTGATGGTTTTTTACGTACCAACTCTCGCTGAGGTGGATCAATCGGATCATTCGAAACAACTCGCTGATTTCTCAACGAAAAAAGGATTGCTCTTAAAATAAAATATAGAATGTGTTTGAAGACTGAGATGACCGCAATATCAAAATTCTATAAATTAAATTCTACTTAGCAATTTCAAGTTCTTTCTCCTTTTCCGCGAGAATATCCAACGTTCGTACTCGTTGTTTCTGCATTTCAGCCTCCATTTCCGATACTAAAAATGATTGAACGAAAATAGCTATCAAAATTTTTAAAAATTATTTTGAAATTCCAAAAGAAGTTCTTGAGCTAAGTTTGAAAAAAAAACATATTTAATTAATGTGCGATTTCATATTTAATTAATATGCGATTCAAGTTTACTTTATTCACCTCAAGATTTCATTTAAATGAATTGGTCAGACAATTAAAGATATTAATAGAAACTATATTAAAACAATATTACGCAATTTGTACAATATACTTCATTAAATGTACTTTTTTGCTGCATTTGCTGTCTTAAACAGTTGACGGTTTTTATTTGTGAAGCTTGTAGTTCAACGATCGTTTTTTGCAATTCTGTGCACTTCTTAAATTTTAAAATATTTGAAAATTTTAAGATTTTCCAAAGATAAGAATTGACTTGAAAATTAAAAATCGCTTAATATTACTAGATACTATTTCATATATCAACTATGATCAAAAGGCAAGAAAATCTGGAAAAAAACTCATTTTTCCGAAAAAAATTAGAAAATAATAAATCATTTTACAAAAATTAATCATATTCTATTTGAAACTGGATTTAGTTATTTGATGGATATATACCTCTTCATAGTCATTCTTAGCGTTTGCATGATCAATTTCAATTCCATATAGCTTTTCATGAAGCGAAGCAACAGCAGATCGTAGATTATGAAGTTCAATTTCGGCAGACGCACATGAACTACATTCATCCACTTTTGGTAAGGAAGAAACAGAAGGAAGACCATCCTCACCTAGCTAAAATTTGTTTATTATAAACCATGAATAATCGAAGTACAACACTTCAAGCTTCGAAGTCGCCAGTGGCGAAAGCAAAAGGAGAGATAAAATAGCTCAGTTGTCTATTTGGAGTGCCGAAGATGAGGTTCTATATCCGGTAAAAGTAAATGTGGCCTTCAAAATTCCACAAGAAGATTTACCTCTATCGATCCTATCGCCAAATGCCTCTTTGGTAAAATTTGTACGGCCTGATAACCCAAGGAAACTGGACTAACCAGCAATGGTGGGTACTCTCAGTAAAAAAAATAATAATTTAATCATCAGCACGAGAATGCCTTTATAAACAATTTTATTTCCATTCAAAATGCCTCCCAAAAGCTGACTAAAATTGAAACAATAAAAATCAAACCGAAATATTCCTGGATCTGAGAACAGATTGTGCCTTTAACTTGTAAAGTTCGAATTCTTCCTTTAATTCCTCATATTTTGAATCATTAGAGGATTCTTTCACGCCAATAGTCTCTAATAAAATAAGACTATTTTTTCGTCGACAAAAATAAATATAAATATTGCATCATGAATTTTGAAAAGTGGTCACCGTAAAAATTGACTCCACCATTTCTATTTCTGATCATTTCTATTAAATGTAATGTTTTTTGTTTCAATGTTTCGAGATCGAGCGATTCAACTTCTTTCTGAACTGAAGACTGAAAATGAAATCTTTTCGACATAAGAATAAAGTTAATTTTAAATAAAAAAATTTTAATATAGGACATTGAATACCACAGAATTACTAGCGAAATTAAAAAACTAAATAAAATTAAAACCTGGGAGAGAATTTCATTTTCCTTCTTTAACATTGCATTTTTTTTTCTTAAATCTTTGATTATTTGTTCATTCTTTATTCGAGTTCGTTCTAAGTTCCCCAAAGAAGAAGTAATTTCTTTTAGCCTATAACATTCCGTACCACAATCTTTTCACTGAATCGAAATGCATCAATTATATAATAATATCCGAAAGAAATAAATATTTCATGAGCCAAAAGCATTAAAACATCATGAATAATAACTAAATGCCAAATGGTTTTTTAAATATATTTTAATCTCAAATTATGATTCGCCATAAAAATAATATACCTCTCTTCTAATTTTTGCAACCTCGATTCTTTCTCCGTATCAGATGCGTTTGATAATTTCAATTTGAGCTCTTGTATTTCGAGCTCACTTCCCTTCTAAACCATTCAATATCAGTCATTACATCATTATATTATGGAATGAAAAAATTAATATCAAACTATTGAAGAATGAAAACTGAAAAAAAATTAAGTTTACTAAATTAACAAAATTAATTACTAAAAACAAACATATAAAACTGAATAAATAAAATTAACAAAACTAAAATTTTCTTAAAATTCTTTTAAGATGATGGTACTTTCCCTTGAATAATATGGATAGTAAAGGAATATATAAAGGAATCTTGATAAAAAAAAAATTAAAATGCAAATAACTACAATAACTACAAAGGCAAATGACTACCAATAAAATACTTATCAGCTGCAGTACAGTTACTCAAATTTGGAAATTTAAAAAATCCAACTATTAAGCACATTGGTTTTCATATGAATAATAAATTAACGAAAAGAATAAACAAACTTTTATATTTTGCAATTCGCTTTCGAGCATTTGAATAGTTGGAATTTTTTCAGCTTTTTTTTTCCAAAATTCAACATCATCTTTAGCTTTATCTAAATCCGATTGTAATTCCTTTAGACTGTTTTCCATTTGCATTGGCAAAGCATCTTTCTCATGTAATTTCTTATAAAGCTCAGCAAACTGAAATGATTCTTCGAAGTGTTATATAATCACTGACAAGAAATTCATCCTAGATTTTATGGAATATAAAAATCTGTCTTCCTTTTATCGCTTTTATAATTTTATAATTTTTTGAGATTTTTTCAAATTCCATTTCAAATGAATCGAAAGAAAAGCATTAAACTTTATAAAACTGCCATAAGTTTATTGTCGTGTTTATTGTTTATCGTTTATTTTAAGTTTATATCCGTACAATAATTGGTAGTTCGGGTAGTCCTAGAGATTCACCAGTATCTCTTACCTATATCTCTTATCTCTAAAAAAATTACCTCATTCCAGCAAATAATCGAGAACATCAAATAAGAAATGGTGCACTTAAAATAAAATTAACCTGCTTTTTTATTTGCTCATTAGTACTTTTCTCTCTAGCGAATCGTTGTTGCATTTCAGCCAACACTGATCCGTGATCTATTAGCTCGCGCTCTCGGTCTTCTTCAATACGAATTAACTTGGCTCGTAATTCCTAAAAGAGTCGATTAAAACAATGAATTAATGAATTTACAATGAATTTACAATGAATTCATGGATAGAATGGCTCAGTGGGTTGTTGCTCAATTGGAAGCGCCGATGCTGAGGTTCAGTTCCCCGCAGGAGTAAACCTGCACAAAAATCTCCAATGATACTGTATTTCTATCACCAAGGGACTCCATGGCAATGCGATAAGCCAGTGGAGCGAGTTTATCCAGTAATGTCGGGGACTTTTAAAAAAAAAAACAGTGAATTCATGAATTAAGATAACAAATAAACAACCTTCATACGATTTTCGATCTTTTCAGCCTGAGCTTCTGTATCATCAGCTGACTGTCGGATTTTTTCTTTTAGATTTTCATTTTCTGTCTAAAAATCCGAAAAATGCGATAAAAATATTAAAAATGAAAAATAAAACATAGAAGAAAAAGTTTTTGAAGAAAGACAAAAAATACCAGCAATGCTTTTTTATCTGCTTGAAGAGCTGTTTCACGTCGCTTATTCTCAGTTATTAAAACAAGCAAAGATCGTTTCAGTTCTTCAAGACGATCCTGAAAAAAACAATTTAAATAACAAATTTATCGAGACATATGATAAATTTATCTATAAATTATCTGCAAATTTATCAGTTTGTAATATTACATAAAATTTATATGATAGAAATTTTTTTAAATTTTACCTCTGATACAGCGATTGACGTTTTTGATTCATTCGTTTCACCAACTTCGCTGCCGTTGACTAAAATTTGATATTTCTCTTTAATAAAAAACGAGAATGATAGAAATTTGGTGTGCGTAATAGGATTCCAAAGAATTTCAACCAAAAAAAGTTTACCAAAATAAATATGAAAGGAAATTCGAAATTTTAGACTACTTGCCAACCGAAAAAAATTCATAAATAAAAATAAAATAAAAATAAAGTAAAATTAAGACAAAAATGTTCGTATTCATGAATAAATTAACCTGCATCTGCTATTCCAAGGGCTTCGATCGTCGTTTGCAAGGCTTCCTTTTCAGCATTCAAACTTTTAAATGCCCGAATAATATCTTAAAATGATTACTTTAAATTGTATAATTTTCCAAAGTTAATTTAATTTAATTTATAGGAACTTCTGATTCTACAAAAAAAATATGGTCCAAGCTACTTTTTATCAATAATGTATAATCCAATAGGTTACTTCACATTCACTCTAATATAAAATAAGTTTTTAGTTTTCAAGCTTCGCTTTTTTTAGCATTTTTGAATTAGTTTTCTTTTTAAAAAAATAAAAAAATATAGTTTAAACACACATTAGAAAAAAAATCAATTAATACTGGAGTTTATCTTCTTTCGTGGAATATTTTTCCACATTCGTTTTCGTTTTCTGTGAAATATTTTTTTATTTTTTTTCACATCTTCTATCCATTGTAATAATCCATTTCTTTATCTCATCCTAATTTATTTATCAGAAGACAAAGTTTTATTGGATTTTTCACTTTCACTATTATTAAGAGTTCATATTTCTTCTTTTTAAAAGAAAAATTCTCGTAAAGAAAAGTTCAACCTTTCAATTTTTTTTCGTATAATGCTAATTGTTGCTTTTGTTCTCCAACCTGTTTTAATAATTCACTTCTTGATATTCGATCGCTTCCTCGTAACATTTATTGTTTGCTTAAAACCTTGTTAAATCTAAATGACCTAAAATTCTCAAAAATATATCCTCATCTGCTTTCCTGCATAATGCAAATAAAAAATGAACATAACATTACTTATTAGAAAAGCAAGAGTACAGGATTCAAGAAATTTTATTTCCATATTTATAATGAACTGAAAACATTGAAAGAAAAAAAAAGCTATCGTATAAAACTTTACGGAAATAGCCGAAGGAATAACAATTTATTTATCATCACACAAAGGCATATGAAAAGTAGCGATCTCTTATCCACTTTATATTATGACTGATGAAGAGTGGGAAGGTAAAAGAAAGACACAAATGGAGGAGAAAACGCATGTTTTCAATTCTATTTCGAAAAGAAGAAATATTCACAGAAAATTGATGGATGATTCCAAAATTAATACCGCTCCAATCACAATCTCAGTTCGAAAAATAAGGAACAAGAATTATTACCTCATTGAAAACACATAAAACTATATCAAAAATGTCGACTGAAAAGAAATTTGAATAATTATTTATCGATTAGAAATCCAAACATGTAGGTATCATTAAAACAGAAAATTTAACCTCATTCAATACTTTTTTTAATTTTAGCGGTCAAAAATGGATTCAATTAACCACAGAAGTTTGTGTGCCAGATATAGCAGTTCATAAAAAAGATTACAAGAATTCGCATAATTCACTGACAACTAAAGCCTATTTGAAAAACTTGAAAGTTACGAAATTATATGAGACAAAATGTTGTAGTTTTAAGTGCCCATCCCCTTTTTTTTACCTCCTTTCCTTTCTTTTTCGAATCATTTATTCACATTCTCTAATACATAAGGCATTCTCTAATACAATAGTTAGAAAACAAATTTACTGATACATATATTTACGAAAATCTATATGAGAAATTTTTACAAATTTTACTTCAATGATTGATACAATGATTGATATTCTCAAATGCAAATAATTTGAAAAATGAATCAAATTAGGAGATAAAAGAAAAGAAGAATACATAAAATAACAAAAAATACCATAACTAATGAGTTTGAATGCTTTTTTAATATACATGTACCATACCATAGAGAAATACCCAAAAAAGAATATAAGTAAAAAGCCCAGACACAAGAGAATGAGTGAAAGAAAGACTATGACTGACAAAATAATTTCGCCAATGAAACGATGCTTTTATTTGCCATATGCAAGCCTACAAAAAGGAAATTAGATATTAACAATTTAAATATCTTCTTTAACAATTAACAATTTAACTTCTTTTCCTTCTCCGAAAAAAAATTTAAAATAATATTAATCATCCCTTACAGTGATCCATAAAAATCATAGGTAGTCATATTTCAGAAAGATATTTCCAGTTTTAATCAATCGAAAAACTTAAGATTACTTAAGTTCTCGTTTCGATTAAAATGAAAATTGCAAAATGAAGAAATCTTTTATCTCTATTAATTGTTAAATGTTGACGAAAATCAATTAATTACCTGGAAAGCAACGAAGATGAAATAAAAAACAAAGCCAGATATACCAGTAAGACCTAAAATACCACTTGTCATTCCCGTAACAGCGGCCTGACATGTACGCGAATATTCGAGTACTCCCATGTTATGACGCATTGCTGATTCATTGAACACCTAAAAATTAATTCTGATAATTTTACTGATCTAAATAATACAAAAGGCAGCTAAAAAAATTAAAAAATAAATTAAATTAAATAATTCTCTATTATCCGAGTTGGTCTTTATTAAAGCACCAAAAAAGAGTTCTATTACATCGCTATATAATTTTTCTTAACAACAATTTATCTCCGTTCAATATCCACTCGCGAAATAGTATCAGGTGCCAGTGTATATTGCATATTGGGCCAAAAAATGCTTACAGCAACTTGAGATATATCCTTCATAGATTTCTCGTTAACCGATCGTTTCGTTGGTTTCGTCATTTCTACAGTTAAATGATCTAATTAATTTATTAATTACCACAATTATTATTAAAGAATAACTACAAAAACTGCAAATAACAATCACGATAAATGATAAATAAAATATAAATATAAAAGAAACACAGAATAATTTCAATTTCATTGATAAAAATTCTTTTAACAATTCTAACATTTTCTGAATTTATTTATTGTTTATATTTTAATTTATTTAATTTAATTTAATTTATATTTTCCAACAAAACTCTTTCAGATGGCTATCAGATAACTAATGGAAATGGACGGACCAATAATGCGAGTACCCGAAGATTATCCCTTATCTCTTTCATGCTAATAGGCTCATAGAACATTTACAATTGTCCCATTTGAAGAAACCTTTTAGTGAAGAGGTTTGCAACCATTTTTATACTATGACATACCTATTAAATTTTTGATCTTAATATTAGTTTCTCCTTGATTCAGAAAGTTATGCATCCTTAAATACACTGAAAATAAACTGAAAAAACTAGATTCTTTCACTCAGTACTTTCAAGGTGATCTGATCTGTACAAACTGGTGATGAAATGGAAAACTGGTAATGGAAAATCTGTACAAACTGGTGATGAAATAAAATGAAAGTGAAATTCTTATGCAACGTAAAAAACGGATGGCCCTTGCTGATTTTAAGAATCAACAGAAACTTTCCAACAGTTCACCAAGATTTTGCCAATTTCATCAACTAAAATCGAAAATCAACATCAGATTTACTTCGCGAGACTTAAATTGTTCCGTTCAAATTATAAAATATGCGAAAATAGAAAGGGAAACTTGTTTTACTTTTGCAAAATGCCGCCCAATTTATTGATAATTGAAATATATTTAACGGCAAATTACCTTAAATTACCTTAAAAAATACAAATATCAATTAATTAACATCAAATTCATTTTATAAAAATCATTAAGCGATAAAAGCGAATTACATTAACGGTGTCGCAATTCACAGAGAGAAATAAACGCTGTTTTTAGTTTCTTTTTTCGTAGAATATAAATTTATAAATTTACAAAAACAATGGAAGAAAGTAAAGAACTTGGAGGAGAATTCGTTTAAAATTGGAATAAATGCTATTTGCTATTTTTTGCAGAAATACAACTTAGCATAAACGCCTGCGAAAAATGAAAAATATTAAACAATTCTAATATGCCCTCTGACCTTTAAGGCGATTTCTGATTCCATATCAGCGTTATTAAAAGTTTATTTAGTTTGTGACTGATAAGTCTACCGGATTTCAACAATTAGCAAAGCGTAATAAAACGATATTCCACTCGAACTATTCCCATTTGCAATATTTGCAAATATTAATACCAATACAAAAAATTGGAACCATTAAAAAAAGCCAACCATTAAAAGAAATGAACCCTAACCTCAACTAATCAGATCAATTACTATTTGTCAGATATCGTACGGATGAATCCCTAACAATCAGATTTTTCGCCAGCAATTTAATGAAATTTGAGTTCGTGCTTGGGAAATAAGAAAGGAAAAGTAGGATCGATCAGTGGGTTATTGTCGCAGTTACGTAATGTCTGTGTTTTATTCATGACAGGAACAAAACAGCTCCTGGAAAATCGGGGTGACTCACTCGTGTTTCTACGGCCAGATGGGTCCTTGATGGGTCCAAAATTTGTCTGGTCCTACAAGCCAGTGGAGCGAACCTAACCAACAGTAGTGAGTGTTCATGGGAGAAAAAGAAAAAGCAATTCATTTAATCCGAAATTTTTGTTCATCAACTACCTCGCTATGTAAAATTTTCAAAGTCGGTTTTTTCCCATCGTGTAGATGGGTTTTGTTTTCCAACCGTGTAGAAGTGCATCAGAAGGCAGTTTAAAACAAAGGGGCACTATAAGGTCGCCGATCACCTATGCGAATTGCCGAGGCAAATTATGGCAAATGGAGGGTAGTTTCTGCCGCGAGTGGACATCTCTTCTTCTGCTTTTCCAGTCGCTTTTATGGAGTAAATTGTGCTTCTGCGAGTTAATTTGGTTGACTTATTAGAACGGCAAAGAAATGCGAGTGAGTACGAACGAAGAGTTTTATTCGCGAAAAGTTTATTTCTCCGGATAAAAATTAGTTTTACAGCACTATGGAGATTAAATTTATTAAATGAATATCGCAGTTATAATTTTTTATTTGAATGGAAGATGGAAAGAGGTTTCGAGTGATTCGAAACCAAAATGCAGCTTTCTACAGAGATTGTTAATTAATTGAATAATGCCTTTGTTAAGTATTTTGAGTTACTGGGAACAATAAGGTACTCCGTGGAAGTGGGAAATCCCCAGGCATGTAGCAGAGGACGCGGGTTGAGGATAGCTAATGTCAACCACAGGCGGTGAGTAAGGGATTTTTATATATAAATACTATAACGCTAATAATTTAACTCTTCTACGCATGATTGTTTTCAGCGGGTTTTTCGGCAAGTTCTGCTTTTTTAATTTTATCTCTTTCTGGCTTGGCCGATCACTAAGGTGAGACTCTTTCAAATCCTTTTCTTTTCGCAGATCATACTCTTTATCGATGGATTAGCTTGCATTAAAAGTAATGTTTATATGAACAGTTCCGATCCAGTTAATTTTAATTAAAATTAACGATATGTTGTTATTTTTTTTTTGCTAAATCTTGATTAAAGTTTTGTTAAGGCAAGGCAAGAAAACTCGGCGTGTCATCATTTTTGTCGCTTTTGTTACTGGAGGTAGTTGTAGTTGTTTGTAGCTGTGGAGCGCCAGTGCTGAGATTCCACGCCCAACAGAGGTAAACTCGGGTAATGCTTACGATTCAGTTGGTAAAATTTATTTGGTGCGACAATCCAGTGGAGCAATGGTAAACGCTAGTAGAAAAAAATTATCCTTTTAAATGGTGCAGTTCGGTGTATGCATGTATTTGCGTGTTATAGAATATAGTAGTACGTTGTTTACGTGTATGCCATGCATTTTACCACCATTTTTTATGATATGAAACGATATAATAATTTAATATACTGGACAAAAATTATTTTATTAACTCTCTTAATTGACAAAAAAGATTGAAAGGCACAATTAATTCGACGATGATTGTGAAAAAGCATTCATACAAGAAGAAATTAATAATGGATGAACATCAGTTATGGTTTTCATAAAATTCAAATTTTGGTTAAGTGTCAGCTAAATTAATTTAATATTTGAATGCCAAATTACGAATATATTGTAAGAAATATATTCACCTGAATTCATCAATATTTCCATTGAATTTCACTTTATATTTAGAATAAAGGCGAATTAAGTTTTCAAATCCTTAAAAAAGGTTTCCGGAACTGAAATGGTAAAAGCGATAGCCAATGGTCAGATATCACATGATAAGAAAATACTGAAAAAGATTTATCGCATTGTAACGAGAAATATCCCAAATTTCCATTTTTTTTATTATTTCATCTTATTAAATTGAGGATAATTTGATATTTCAAACATATTATTATTCAAGTCATATCACTATCACTCTACATAAATTTCCCATCATACTGATTTAATAACGATAAAAATTTCATTTCCAGTCATTTCCAATAGTCAACTTTTTAATCATATTGCCATTCTATCGACGAACCAGTAAAATTATCGGTTTCAGAAAATTTCAACTTTTTTCTAATTTGAAACCTTCAGAATTGCTTTTTTTGCATTTTTTAATTAGTATCTATTATTTTAATTGTCCGTTTTAAGATTTGCCGATAAACCCTCGATAAACCTTGATTATGCCAGTGGTCAGTGAGTGACGGTCGGAGAAAAAGGAATAAGGAATTTAAATTTTTACACGTTTATATTACTAGCCAACATCGCTATCTCTGTGATGAAGGTTTATATTATCAGTTATTTAGGCCATCTAATTCTGTTGCCGCACTTAGACCTAGAAAAAGTGGAGAAGCCTGGTACTACTCCGTGAAAACCTTATTATCTCTGAAAATAGCCTTTCTTAAACGAAAAAAGGCAATATATTAGTATTAATTAATATTGCTAATGAAATTTTCTATATATATAAATAATTATCGAATGGATCAGATCAATTTAGCATTGTTTAACAGATTTTTTCTGGCCAATGTTTTCTGAGAAGAGGAATTGTTAAAGTTATTAAAATCGTATAGATTACAATGCGATTTTGTTTTGATTTCGATGAGTAATGATCGAAAAAATAAGAAAAATTTAAAGATAATAGAATTGAAGTCGTTCAAATAATCACTTAGGGTTGACACTCGTTTAGCCATGACGATTATAAATATTAAATCTGTCAATATCAAATTTTTTTGCAGCTTTGAACTGAAAATGTCTCGGCACAATTGGAAAGTGCACTCTGTTATCGGTGATGAGTGATATCGTAAATGAATGAGTGAGTGGATTTTAGTACGGCTCTTGAATTTTAATGTGATTCATATATCAACTGAACCTTTAATAAGTTCTGACACTTTCGGTGGTGACGGTGAACTATTATCAACGCTTGGTGGATCCATTTTGATTTGTGGTATTTGTTGTTTTATCACACCGCCATCGTGGTCAGCCATTAACCTTAAAATGATCGCCCATTTAAACGGCATTTATTTTCATAAAACTCTTAACAGATTTAATGCTTAATATTTATTAACTGAAATTCAAATAGATTAAAATTAATTTTCCAGCTATGTGGACGAAGACATGGTGTTTTTCGCACCGTTTAGTGATTTTCATTGACTCTCCTAATGGTTATATATTGGAATAAAATGCGAATCAAGATGATTTCTACTGGTGACGAAGTGAAAGGCTCTATCTACTATGTTGTATTAGAATTATTAAACCTTGTAGTTTGTTGTGAATGATTCATTCCGTGGCGCATAAATGTGGGTTGATTTCGGAGATTTCTTCCTAGAATTGGTGAAATTATGAAAATGCAAATTGCCATCTTCGTTTGGCATACATTCGCAAATCACTTCTAATGGAAATGATACGATTTTTCAATAATGAGACGTAATTTTAAAAATTTTTTTCTTTCGTATTCCACTATCCTAAAGCTCGAGAAATCGCACTCCTGCACTTTGAATGAATGAAAGCAGACTTACTGAAAAGACTTAGCAGACTTAGTTTGAAAATTGCATTAAGCATACTGTTCTTATCAATATTAAATATGATTAAGCAATGGTTTCTATTATAACGGTTAACGGTTTTTCAAAAAGGTACCCATGTAACTTGGCACGTTTCCCTGCCCGTCACTCCTCACTGAAACAAGGTCATCGTTTTGCACGTGCGTTTGATGGTCGCGATTTTCAATCTGCATTTGTTTAAAAAAATAGCACAACATAACATAAGGTAAATAAATGCACTCGAATTTTCAGCAATAATTATCGATATATTCTCTGTCTTCTGACACCATTTCTGGCTCGTGGTTCTCCCGTACTGGCTAGGAGGCTGAGCCCGTACTGGCTCGTACTGGCTAGGAGGCTGAGAAAAGAAATACGGATGGATGCCTGCATTTTTCTTCCAATAGCAACTCCCATCCAAGGCAGATTTCAGTTATTAGTTAATTCAGTTATTAAATAATTTCAACTATTATAAAAAGTTTGTGTCGATTTTAACCATGTAAATGTGAAGGAAGAATCATAAATTAGGCTATAAGCGAGGTTTTAGAAATCGATGACTAACGATAGACTTAATACGTAATAATATGCTTCTTAATCTGATCCTTTGCCTATAACAAGGAAAACATTACTTGATAATCCCAACGTCCTCTTCTTACAGCGCCGTTATTACTTAAACCTGCTGGACGCCTTCGATTTCGTTTCACACAAAAAATTGCACCATAGATGAATAAAACCAAATAACAAGTAATAGTAAGGGCAATAAAGCACATTCGCATATCGTTGAGGTATCGGGCAACATCATGAAGATCATCAGCCATTCGTAAAAACTTATAGGACTCACTAAAAAATTTTTTTATTATGGTAAATTTACCACTTAGCTTGTTTTTTTATTGCTTCATTTATTCATATTATATTACTATTCTTATTGCTGCTATTAAACGTTACTATTTATTACTTTTATTATTAATGAATGAAGCACAAAAAACAGATTGTCTATTCATGGGATAAAATTTTCGGAATAAAATTTGTGAAAAAATCAAGCAGAAATGCTCAATTGCTCAAAACAAATCATGCAGTAATAGAAGTTTTTTGAAATGGGAAATTTGATATTTTTGGTGGAAAAACAAAGGTGAGCTTTGAAAAAATTCATAAATTTTTCATAAAATAATGAAGATAATCTGCCTTAATTTTGCGAAAAAATGTTAGTAAAATGTGAAATAATAATAAATAAAAATCACAATAATAGCATAAACGAAAATATGAAATCTCATATATCTCCGTTAATGAAATAATTTTCAATTTTATCGACTTGCCAAATTCAATAAATTCAATAAATGAAAAAATTTTTCTTTTTGATTTATCTTGAATTTCATCTTTTTTAATCTCCACGAAAGATTATTCAAAATTATTTATTATATGAATATAAATTATGTAATTTCCATAGAACTTTTTAGCCAACAATTTGTACATTTTTTGGAAAGTCATCAGTGGACAACCAGGATTATCGGATCGATGATCGTTAAATGAAGATAATTTCTCTACAATGAACTATGATTAACTAAAAATTTGAATTTTGAAACATTTTTATCGCAAAATTAATTTGTGTAAATTTTATTAAGAAATTTCTTAAAAAGAAATTTAGAATAAATATTAAATAAATTTGGAAAATTTTTAAGCTAATAGCTAATTAGGGCGAAAACAACTTTCTAAATTTTTATAACATCAGTTTCAAAAATTAAAATTTTAAAAGATTTCAAAATTAGTTGCAAATTTTTCATAATGAGAATGAGTTTTCCAGCGAAAAAAACAAAAAGAGGCTTTAAAGAAATTTAAAAATTTTCCGTAAAACAATGGAAGTAACCCTTAGTTTTAGAATTATTAAAATTATTAATGCAAATTATTAATGCAAATATCGAGATGCATATTTCTGTTTTATTCCTTTTTTTTCACCGCTATTTTTACTTTTACTTCGTGCATATTTTTTAAGCCTAAGAGCATCGAAGAAAAGTTTTAAAATTCTTCGCATTTAAATGAGATTCATCCTTAAAAATTCGGATCTTACGGAAAAAACTTGGCATATTCAATTACTTTACTTATTTTGTTAAAAAATTATCGAGCACAGCTTAAACCATAAGTTTGACATTAACAAAGAAGTAAAAAAAAATAAAAAAAAGAAATGAGCAGTAAAATATGGTAGAGTGATATGCTGAATGAGTTTCCGAACTCCAGAAATATATTTGTAAATTTGAATATTCATGAATAGCAATCGCTTATATATACGGAAATATGTCATATATATATATTCCTGAGAAATGACAAGAGGCTATGGGTCCACCGTCGAGCAATAATTAATCGTCAAAAAAATTCTATGTTTTGCTCAATGAAAATTTTTAAGATAATAGCAAAAATGAATAAGAACATAAATTATGCAACAAGGATTTTAAAAAATTTACAACAAGAAGAGATAAATAATGGCCGAATAATTTGAGTAATTCTGGTTTAAAAAGAACTATTTTAGCAGATAAATTAAAAAAGTAAAGCCAAGAAATAAGGAAAAGAGACCAACAAAGGTCAAAATCTAGAGGGATCGTCACAAATCGGGCACTTATGACTTGTTCATCTGTTTTCTGCCATTATTCAACAAATATTTCTTCATTTTTTTTACTAGATATTTGACCAATATTTTATATTTCTATGATTTATTTTATAGTTCTATGATTCTATGATGAATTCTGGTTTCTAAATGATTAAAATCAAACCTTCATGCTCCATTTTTACCCCTTATCGGAATGAGCTTATCTTCTTCTTCTTCTTCTTCTTCTAACAGCTCTCACACTACTGGTTATGCTGGCTCCAATGGCTACAAGGGTAAGACGTTTCCAAGCGGCGCGGTCCGATGCCATCGTCGACAATAATGGAAGCCATTCCTTTTTCCATCGTCTAAGTCCATATATTGCTGGTCCACCTATTCGTTCAAAATCTTTTCTCACCATATCAATTCGGGTCTTGATTGGCCCACCTCGCTTTTGCCAATTATCGCACGGTTTAGCAAATAACAAAATATGCATCAACTCCTATGATGTAGAATGTGCCCTAACCATCGAAGGCGGCGCTCTGTGATAACATTATTTATTCAAGTGGCATTTGAACGAAGATTGATGCGATCATACGATATCTTATCCGCTCGACAGATCCGTAATATGTACCTTAGACAAGAATGGTCAAAGGCAGATAACTTCTTAATATCCTCCACTCTCATTGGCCATGTCTCAGAACCATATAGCAAGATCGAACGGATCACGATATAGATGCGGACTTTCGTTTTTATAGTGATTTCACGACGACTCCATAAAGGTTTCGTCAACCGGAAGAACGAATTTCTAGCTGCCGTGATCCGAGTTGTAATATCATCTTTTAACTATTCATTTGGTATTAGAGTGGACCCAAGGTATTTGAAATCGGGCAATTCCTCAACCTGCAATGAATTTACAAAAAGAGGCATTTTATCAGCTTCTTGCACATAAGACGAAAAGACTTTCGTTTTATTTACATTGATCTGGGTCCTATTCTTGCTGCAGTTTCTGACGCGTTTCTACTTGCATTTCGTTATAACTAACAGCAAAAAGAACTACATCATCAGCGTATTCAAGATCTGTGATACGATGCTCTGGACTGATTTGGACACCTCTTGAGTGACGACAAGTGGTGTCCATGATCCAGTCTATCTCACAATTGAATATTGTGGGGGAAAGGACGCAGCCCTGACGGACACCTGTTATTATTTCGGAGGAATTTGTCAACTCCCTATATGCACAGATCTGCGCCGATGTGCGCTCATAAAATGAGTCAAACGATTTTCTCTGGAACACCGTTACGTTCCATCACCCCCCAAAGCTCCGCTCTATCAATTGAATCAAAAGCAGCCGCAAAGTCGATGAAACACGTGATAGTGGATTGCAAATATCTGAAGCGATAACTCTTTTTAACGTGAATATCTGGTCAGCACAACTGCGCCCCGGTCTGAATCCAGCTTTATTAGAGCGTACTCTGCTGTCCCATACTTCCATAAGTGTGTTGAGTAGCAGGGAAGCAAAAATTTTTGCTGAGACGTCTAGTAGGCCGATTCCTCGATAATTGTTGCAGTATGTCCTATCATCTTTCTTGAGAATTGGGAGCAGAATTGCTTTCCTCCAATCATCTGGTAATATTTCTTTTTTCCATACTAAAGAGTACATTTGTTAAAGGTGCCTTATGACAATGGACAGCATTTGAAAAGCTCAGCCCGAAGACCATCTTCTCCTGGAGTTTTGTTGGCCTTAAGCTTATGGATAACTGAAATTATTTTTTCTTCGGTTGGAGGCTCGCAATTGCAAACGTATGCTTCGGCAAACGTATCAGCTATATTAGGGGCAACAGACGGCGCTTCATGGTTAAGTTTTGCCTCAATGAATTTCTTCTCTCCATCTTATGTGATTCTTAATACTTTATTAGTACGCCATTGCTGTCTCTTTCTATTTCACTGATCGTTCCCCGAGTCATAGTAACTTATGAAGAAGGCAGAATAGTTTCCT